CAGTAGATTCGCCGGCGGGCCTCCTCGTCCCCGTCATCAAGAACGTACAAAACCACAGCATTGCCTCGTTAGCCCAAGAAATCCAACGCCTCAGCTCGCTGGCACGCGCTGGCAAGCTCTCATCCGCCGATCTCACTGGCGCAACCTTTACAGTCAGCAACATTGGTAGCATAGGCGGCGGTACTGTGGCACCTGTCATCGTTGGACCCCAAGTTGGTATTTTGGGTATCGGAAAAGCGAGAGTAGTGCCGGCGTTTGGGGAGAATGAAGAGCTAATCAAGAGGGAGGAATGTGTGTTTAGCTGGAGTGCGGATCATAGGGTTGTGGATGGCGCGTATGTAGCGAGGGCGGCGGAAGAGGTGAGGAAGTGCTTGGAGGGTGTTGAGGCGATGCTTGTTAGGATGCGTTAGGGGTGAGAAGTAGGTGCATGGTAAAATCGAAACAAATAAGTCAATTTGCACCTGCACGAATGTCACTCAATCATCTTTTGAGACACCTCGTCATAAACCATTCGAAAGTGCCATGATTGCCATCCACGACATATTGAATCTGATGCCGTATCGCAATTATCCTCATGCTATCATGTGTAGACTAAAATCTGGTCTTCGCCATTAGCTTTTGCACAACTCGATGGCAAGAGCAAGCATCTGGACAGACTCCTTCCAGTCTTCTTAACTCCTCGTTTGGATTTTCTGTATCGATCTCGTATCCATGACTGGGCAATGACAGCACACTCAAGCAGCGCCCTTGAGCACCTGCTCTAGGCTGTTCTTACTGTTCGTATACGTCTTCTCCAGATAATCCTCCTTCTTATCCAGATTCGTCATCTCCTTGTTCAACGCCTCACTCTCCTCCTGGAGTCTCTTCTGCACATCCGGGATAGGCGTGCAGACGAACCTACCCATAATAGTTATTCTCTCTGTCTCACTCTATCTTCCTGCCTCCCCCGCAGCCGCGAGGGGCAAATATCGAGAGATGCAACTTACATCTTGCCCACACCCTCATACACCTTTGTCTCTGTAGGCAGCGACGAGACTTCCGAGGAGGTGAGTTGCAGCATACGCCCCTCTCGTGTCCGGGCGGCTTTCTGTTGTTTGACAATGACGAGTTGTTGTTCGGCGAAGGCCTTCTTTTGGCTGATTTCTTGTAGGACCTGGGTGTTTCGCGCGTTAGATCCCCGCTCTTTTCTTTATCCATCGCATCGCAATGATTGACGCACCTTCTGCAAGGCCTCGTTTGACATGGACATGGTGGGCGGAGATTTGTTAAAGTTGACGATTGGCTCGTAGGTCTCGTGAGAGCGCTGGCTTGTTGCTGCTTCTCAAGCTTTCTCGGTTCGGCAGTTGCGAGAGACCCTGGGCGGACGTGATTGGTTGATTGGATTCACACCGAAAACTGCTGCGCGACCTCGGGAGCCAAGCTTTCCGACGTGTGCGAGAGGTATACGTCGGCGGTAGGAATGTGTACTGGGGTTGTTGCCTTTTGCGCAGTAATCCTTACTGTTTGCCCACGTGTGGCGTGGTAGTCTGGCAGCCTATCGTTGAAGCATGGGCCTTTCTTGTCGCAGATTGTCGCTCTCCAGTCTTTCCTTCCGCAAAAGCCGGGACTAGATACAAGCTTGATAGCGAGGTTAAACACCTGCAGTTTCTCTCTCCTTGAATTTCTCGCTTCTTTCTTTTTCTCACTTCGAGATTTACAGAGTGAAGATGGCCGCGTTCTTTTCCCGTCTACCGTCGATACCGTACCCGCCGGAACAAGATGGGTTCTTTTCCCCGGTCACCTCCACTCTCGATTGGTGTGAAGAGGTTAGTTGAGAGGATTATTGCGCTGTAGAAGCGCATGCTAACCGATTTAAGAATTATGTAGTCACGCAGTACTCTGCAGAGATCATCAACACGCTCACGAACCTTCTGTTCATGTACCTCGCAGCAAAAGGCATACGCAATTGCTTAAAAAACGGACATGACACCGTCTTTCTCGTGGCCTTCATTGGCTATCTACTCGTTGGAACTGGGAGCTTTCTCTTTCACGCGACATTGAAATGTATGTCCGCTGTTGATTCAAATGTTGACATGCAGTACCTGATCCATATTAGATCCTATGCAGCTGGTAGATGAGCTTTCGATGATCTACACGACTTGCTTGATGAACTTTGCGACGTTTTCTTATGGCAAGTCAAGACTGTACTCTACCGTCCTCGCAATTGGACTCGTGTCTCTTGCCGCCTTCATTACGCTCTATTACCACTTCCTACAGGACCCCACCTTCCATCAGAACGCCTATGCAATCCTCACAGCGATTGTTCTGTTCCGCGCGATGTATGTAATGGAGGTGAACATTCGCCCGCGCTTCAAGTCCAAGGAGAGAGAAGCAGCGAACCCGCGGCCGCACGGAGGTGTGAAGGCGGTACAAGAGAGAGAAGACGTGCGCGACCAAGAGATTCTCAGTAAGATGTGGCAGATGATTGCATTTGGTCTCAGTATCTTCCTGGGTGGCTTCGCTGTCTGGCACCTCGACAACGTGTATTGCTCGCAGCTGATCCAGTGGCGGAGGGAGATTGGTATGCCCTGGGGTTTCGTGCTCGAGGGTCATGGCTGGTGGTGAGAATTGCACCTATCTTAGAAAGACGAAAGCTCACAATACCAGGCATCTCATGACGGGAACTGGAGCTTACTACTACATTGTATGGGGTGTATGGCTGCGACACTGCCTCAACTACAGGCAGGACGAGTATGAGCTCTACTGGCCAAACTTCTGGACGATGCCGCAGGTTGTCAAGCGACAGGCAGGTGGTCATGCAAATGGCTCAATGAAGAAGAAGCTATAGGCGGTGACGACGTGGAGTCTTGGGCAGGATTAGGTTCGCGTGTCAGGGAGGATTTATGCATGTGCTTTGCAAGATCAGCGTTGTGCGGTATTCCGCGCTGCGAACAACGATACGGATAGGCGAATTTGATAGGGGATGGGATGTGAACAGCAAGTCCGCAACCGCCTCAAGTAACACGTGTATCACGACATGAAAGCAGCAAGTAATACACCATACTGCAAAGCGACAGATCCATTCGACAGCAGCAACTCATGTCTTGCTAGTGCAGCTGTACATGTTCATGACTAGCCCCTTCAGCCGGCAGGCACCAGCTTTGGCGCGTTGTTAGTAAATAGCTCTAGCGCCGACGGCCCGTGCAGACGACCCACAGAGATCTTTAACGCACTCACCGCTTCTGCTCCTCCTGCTCTCCACACCAGCACCACCACCAGCGACCAGCCATAACCCAGCTCCTCGCATCTTCACCTCTCTAACTCCCATATTCCTCGCCCCCAACCGCCAACATGCGTGAGATTGTACGTATCACCCGGATTGCCGCCTAGTGGTGGCGCGTCGCTGCCCCGCGCCGAGATTCAGGGACAACACAAAGAACAACAGCTAACGACGTTTCTCTGCAACAGGTCCACCTTCAGACCGGTCAATGCGTAAGTTTTGATATCGCTCCTCTGTGTACAGACGACAGCTAACATTCCATAGGGTAACCAAATCGGTGCCGCCTTCTGGCAGACCATCTCCGGCGAGCATGGCCTCGACGGCTCCGGTGTCTACAACGGCACCTCGGACCTCCAGCTCGAGCGCATGAACGTCTACTTCAACGAAGTGCGTCCCCCGATTACGCTTTTGGCAGATAAAAGACCAATACTGATCCGTAGCAGGCGTCCAACAACAAGTTCGTGCCCCGTGCCGTGCTCGTTGACCTCGAGCCCGGTACCATGGACGCCGTCCGCGCTGGACCCTTCGGCCAGCTGTTCCGCCCCGACAACTTCGTCTTCGGCCAGTCTGGTGCTGGTAACAACTGGGCAAAGGGTCATTACACCGAGGGTGCCGAGCTCGTCGACCAGGTCCTCGATGTCGTGCGCCGCGAGGCCGAGGGCTGCGACTGCCTCCAGGGTTTCCAGATCACCCACTCCCTCGGAGGTGGTACTGGTGCCGGTATGGGTACGCTCCTCATCTCCAAGATCCGTGAGGAGTTCCCCGACCGCATGATGGCCACCTACTCCGTCGTGCCTTCCCCCAAGGTCTCCGACACCGTTGTCGAGCCATACAACGCCACACTCTCCATCCACCAACTGGTTGAGAACTCCGACGAGACCTTCTGCATTGACAACGAGGCTCTCTACGACATCTGCATGCGCACCCTCAAGCTGAACAACCCCTCATACGGCGACCTGAACCACCTCGTCTCCGCCGTCATGTCCGGTGTCACCACCTGCCTGCGTTTCCCTGGTCAGCTCAACTCTGACCTGAGGAAGTTGGCCGTCAACATGGTTCCTTTCCCCCGTCTCCACTTCTTCATGGTCGGATTCGCTCCCCTCACCAGCCGCGGCGCCCACTCCTTCCGCGCCGTCACCGTTCCCGAGCTCACCCAGCAAATGTTCGACCCCAAGAACATGATGGCTGCGTCCGACTTCCGCAACGGTCGCTACCTGACCTGCTCTGCCTACTTCCGTGGTAAGGTCTCCATGAAGGAGGTTGAGGACCAGATGCGCAACGTCCAGAACAAGAACTCCTCCTACTTCGTTGAGTGGATCCCCAACAACGTCCAGACCGCGCTCTGCTCCATCCCTCCCCGCGGCCTCAAGATGTCCTCCACCTTCGTCGGTAACTCGACCTCCATCCAGGAGCTGTTCAAGCGTGTCGGTGACCAGTTCACTGCCATGTTCAGGCGCAAGGCTTTCTTGCATTGGTACACTGGTGAGGGTATGGACGAGATGGAGTTCACTGAGGCTGAGTCCAACATGAACGACTTGGTCTCCGAGTACCAGCAATACCAGGAGGCTTCCGTCTCCGAGGGTGAGGACGAGTACGACGAGGAGGCTCCTCTCGAGGCTGAGGAGTAAGCTGGTCATGGCTGACGTCCCGCTGGACTTGGTTGTTGGAATATTTCACGTGTGGACACGAGCGTTGTAATTCGATTCGTACTTTGAGCGACCTGGCTGTGATCAGACATGTTGCGAAAGTGACTAGACAGACATGGCAGGCGTCTCAGCTTCTTGTTAGCGAAAAGATGCTATAATCAAATATTGTCCACTAAACGTTGTATTCTGCGCATACTGATCACGTCATACTAATCTCCTTCGCCATGTTCCCTCAGGTGTTCAAGGTAGCCTACGAGCCGTTTCTTGATTATCACACCCACCAGTTGTCCTGTACCCTCCTTTGTCACCATAAGATATCTCAAACCCAACTTGGAGAACATCTCGACAGCATATTCCAGAGGTGCTTTCGCACAGATGCTCAATGGCGTCCGATCCACAAATGGCGTCAAATCCATCTCCAAGCTCATCGGACTCGTCGGCTCATCAATCTCCTGACCCAACAACCTAACCTGAACATCTTCTTCCTGCGTCGACGCAAGCACACCAGGAACGAGTTTCGTCAATCCAAATTCAAGCTCCGACTGCGATATATAGCCCTGCAGCACTTCGATGCCACCATGATTCTTCTGTACTAGAACAAGGCCCGCGTCCATGAGACCCCGTTCTCTCAACGCATCGAGCTTTTCTTTCAGCAAACTCAATGTTACTTTATTGCTTGTGGGTACGTGGACGGTGATGTCAGCCATGGTGCGCTGAGGCGGGATGAGGACCGCAACGCAGGCTTTGTGGCGGCGGACGATGGATAGAGCGGTATCTGGGTCGAGGAAAGGATGGGAAAGGAGGGATTGAGCGAGGTCGTAGACGCCTTCCGAGGAGATCGCGTCGGCTACCCATTTTGCGGTTAGGATGGCGAGCATGGACGGGACGGTGTAAGAGAGCTGGCCTGTGAGTTCGAACATCTAGGTGGGTGTTAGTCGACGATGAACACTGAAAGAAAGTGGAGATGAAGGGACTTACTATAACAGCAAGGGAGATGGTCATCCGAGACACACCTGCCAGAAATGCAGCAGCGCCCACCATGGCGAAGATACCCGGACTGATCGAACCGATAGCCTGACCAACCAGCCTCCCAAAGAAAGCACCCGCATCCAGGGCAGGAATGATGACGCCAGACGGGACCTTGATACCAAACGTGATAGTAGTAAGAACGAGTTTAGCCAACGTCCCATACGTCAACCAACCAACATACTCCCAATTCGTCGTTCCCTCTTCCATAGCAGCCCTCTCATTCCGACAAACCCAAGACCAGCGAGATCCATCATCCCCACAATCTACCAGCAAATTCTTGATAATGACATCCCCCGGCTCGCGCGTCAACGGATTAGGATACTGAATCAACGCCGTGGCAAGTACCACAAGCGCAACCTCCAGCACAGGATATTTCTTGATAACGCCAAAAGCCCTAAACCACTTCGACCAAAGGAAATTGAACTTGCAAAATAGACCTCCGAAGATACCGCCCGCTACACCCAGCAGCACGAAAACAAAGTAATGAATAACCTGATACTCATCCCCGAACCTTGATTCAAAAAGCACCAATTTCCCCGTCCCCGTCGGATTGAGTTCCTTCAACACCATCGCCGCAGTGAGACTACACAGAAAAGCCCTCCACAGCACTTTTCTCGGGAAATACGTACTGATCTCCTCGTAACTAAATAACACGCCTCCAATCGGCGCGCCAAATGCCACTGACAAACCAGCCGAACATGCCGCGCTGAGCAGCTCCCGCATCTTACGGCCATTGGACGCGTATTTGGGGATTAGACGCCCGACTAGGTGGCCGACGCAGGTGGATACGTGGACGAAGGGACCTTCTTTTCCGAGACAAAGGGATGAGGATACGGCGAAAATTGCGCCGAGAGATTTTACGATCAAGACGGGCAGGGAGAGGAAGGAGGGGATCGAGAAGCCGGAGAGGATAGTTTTTATCTCCGGGATGCCGGATCCGGAGGCTAGATACATTACTTTGCCCGCTGGAGTTGGGGTGGGTGCGTCGGAGGCGGGAGAGGTAGAAGAGGACGAGGTGGTGTGGCCGTTGCTTGCGTTCTTTGTGGATTGGGAGGATGAGGTGGATGGGAGGGTAGACCGAGTCAACATGGTTAAGCTCGAACTTATGACTCCAAAGGCCACTGCCATGGCCACGTAAATTGCAAAACTGCTCTTGTAATCATTGCTCCAGACTTTCCAATCTGCACATTCTTCCACCCCTTCTTTTGTCAACAATCTTATCAACGAACTCTTCTCAGCGGCGACACAGCAATTATCCCTATTCCGCAAGAAACGGCCAGAGCAATACCCGATTTTCCAGTCCGAAACAGTCACCACTGCGACATCGACAAGGAAAGCGATACATGCCGTCAGTGCGCCGATTACGACGACAGCGAGCCAGCCCGAGGAAGCGTCGAGGAGGGTGAGCAGTTTGAAGCGCAGACCGGGGTGGGAATGGAGGGTGCGGTAGCGGTATGAGTCCTTGACCTGGGTTTGCGTATTAGCAGACTTACAGAGTGTGGTTGGAATTGACGAGAGATGTTAGTACCAAATCGTGTAGCCAGTCGATTGTCGTGTAATCGTTATACGGTAATCGTTCTCCGACTGGACTTTCTGCTAATTGCTGTTCTTCTTTCGTCACGGTGGATGCGATGATTGAGGATGCTTCTTCGTCTTGTTCATGTTGGAGATGGGATAGTCGGGTTTGGCGGAGGAGAGGGGTACGTTCGTGTCCGTTTTCTTCATCAGAAGCCATGGCTATAGATTTGAACGAAGTATCAACGAGAGTAAATAGAAGACAGCATGATGCGGATAACTAAGGTACATATCGAAAGCTCCCATGTGGCTTGTCCAATGACGCAGTCAAGCATATCCCGTACGCACGCTTATCTGCCGCGGAAATAGATCTACTCGCAAACCCTGGGGGTAAATGTTGTGGGATGGGATGATTGCCAGGCTTGGCTGGAGGTGGTAGAGATAAGGAAAGCACGCTAGATGATTGGTGCGCAATGTTACTTCCTGTGCAACTACACCAACTCTCAATACTTGCGATTGCATTAGAATAAACCACAATCACAGAAGAAGCATTACAGTGCTCTGAGAAACTACATGGACATGTCTCCGTTACAGGAATCTTACCATTTCCAACCTTGACACCACCGTCTTCAACCAGAACACCAGGTAAGGTCCAATATCCAGATTGAACATACACGGTATCATGGAGGCCCAAATCATGACTGACAAAAGAAATCGATGCGGCTCTGAGTAGAGGGGTAATGGAGAAGCAGGCGCTACAAGCGATTGCCGCTAGACGTATTATGCGGATGCAGCAGCGTTCTTCTGAACAAGATAGTCGTCTGTGTATTTCTATAGATCTGTTAGAGCCTGTGTCAATGACGTGTTCGTTATGCATACCTTCTTCTCGGCAGCGCCCAAAGACTTCCACTCCTCGGAGATGAGTTTCATAGCCTCAGGCGGGTTAATGCCCTTTAATTCTCCGGTCGCAAACCTATCTCTGACAAATGCGCCGAAGGAGGATGGCGGCACCTTCACATGACGGTCGTCGACAAGCTTGGCAGTATGGGCAGGAGTCTTCTTCTTTTCACTCGCATAGATCCTCCGTAACTGGGCACGTGCGTTGTTTGCAATGCGTATCTGGTCGGGAGTGTAGGTCTTGATCCATGCCTCGTACTCGGCCTTTCTGGCGGCGTTCTTCTCGATTGCGAGGTGGTTGTAGTGCTTCAGACAGTTAGTATAGTGTCATTGCACTGTGAGGCGGACAGGGCTTACCTCATGCTCAGCGGGGGTCAGCTTTTTCCACTCAGCCATAGCAGCCGGAAGTTGCCCAGTCTTAGTACCCGGAACACCAGCCAGTTTGTCAGCTATGTAGGCATTGAGAGCAGACAATGCGCTGCGGGTTACGGGTTCCCTGAGTGCCTTGGCGCGTAGCTCTCGGAGCTTGACCTTTTGTTGTTCTTCGGGTGTCAAGACCTTCTTGACACGCTTCTTGGGCGCGGGCTTCTTCGTGGTGGGTTTCTTTGCCTTCTTCTTAGGCGCAGCCTTTGCCGCGGGCTTCTTCTTGGGAGCCGCCTTCTTTGCTGTTGCGGCCGTCTTCTTGGGCGCAGGCTTCTTAGCGGCGGCTGTCCTGACTGCCTTCTTCACTGTCGCCGTGGGCTTGGTGGCGCGCGTAGTTGTAGCATAGGACCGGCGATTCTGGAGGGCAGAGACGAAGGCGCGTGAGAGGGCGCGCGCATGCGGGGCCTGGGCGGCATTGCGGGCGAGGAGGGTGCGGCGGAGGGTGCGGGCGAGCTGCGGCATGTCGTGTGGGGAGGCCCTGGGGGCGTCGGCTGCCAAGCGGCAGAGTGCGCCGGCCAGCATCGTGAGAATTCGTGGGCGTGTCGTCGGGGCGCGTGGTGGTGGAATTGACGAGCGGCGGCGCAGCTCTGGGCGGGCAATTGACGGGGTGTTTAGGCTCTGGAGCGTCGGCGGTGTAACGAGAGGCTGGGAGCTAGAGAGACTAGCAGGAACGTCATCTAAGGAGGGCGTAGTCAGGCACGCTCTGCGTCCGCATCCTCTACCCCACCATTGCGAAGTCACCGTGCCATCACCGTCGCCAATGTCAATGCGCCAGGTGCGACATATCTTTTCTCAAGCTGCGACTACGTCTCATGTATATACAGTCTATTGCGTAAATATGCACGCTTAGCACGTCACATTTATATCAACTACTTGCTTATATCACCTTGTAACTGTTGTCATGTTAGCGAATGATCTGCATAGTGACGGGGAAGCTCATACCTCCACGCGTGGTCCTCGTCGCCGTACTGAATCGCCTCCATCCAATCCTTCATCTGCTGTGCAACCGGGCCGGCCTCGACGTGGTCTTCGAGCCCACAGTCAACAAGCTGTCCCTTCCAGCTGATCTTGCGCACCGGAGCGACAATGGCAGCAGTACCTGCACCGAAGATCTCCATCATGCGTCCCTCGTTAGCAGCATCGGCCACCTCCTTCATGGTGAACTTGCGCTCCGATACGGTCCAGCCCTTGGGCACCAGTCGTTCCCGCGCAAGCTCGAGGATTGAGTCTCGTGTTACTCCCTCAAGAATAGTTCCGTCAAGAGGCGCAGTGAGCAATTCTGGCTTTCCTGTCTCCTTGTTCTTGATAGCTGCAAACAGGTTCATGGTGCCGACCTCTGTGATGAACTCCTCCTCACCAAACAGCCACAGGTTCTGGTGGAATCCGCGGCTTGCAGCCTGCATCTGCGGAACGATGCAAGGTGCGTAGTTGGCACCAAGCTTCTTGTCTCCAACACCTCCAGGCCATGCGCGCACGGCGTAGTCTGTAGCCTCGAGCGAGATAGCCTTGAATCCGGTTGGGTAGTATGGGCCGACGGGAGAAGCGATCACGTAGAGTAGTGCAGACGCGGGAGGGCCGACGCCGAGGGTGCGCTGTGTGCCGATCATCGTTGGGCGGAGGTAGAGAGAGTAGCCTCGCGCACTGGTGTGGTTAGAGTATGTTCTAGCTAAACAGTGGATTCAGACTGAACGTACTCGGGAACGAAACGCTCATCCTCCTTCACAAACTTGCCGATGAGCTCGATCAAGGCATCAGGGTCGAATGTGGGCAATGCAATTCGTGCTGATGACTTGTTCAGCCTAGCCATGTTCTTGTCCGGCCTGAACAGCCTGATGTTGCCGCTCTTGTCTTTGTAGGCCTTCATGCCCTCGAAGCACTCGAATGCATAGTGGAAGACACACGTCGCGGGGTCGAGACTGAGGTTCTGGTAGGGGGTAATGCGTGCTGGCAGCCATCCTTCTGTTGCTGTCCACTCGAGCGAGAGCATGTGATCTTTAATATGTGTTAGATATGAACTTTGGTGCCATTGGAGCTGTTACCAGAGAAGTTGCGGCCAAAGACAAGTTCTTCATGCGGCAGCAGATCTTTTGGCGTCGTCGTCTTGGTTATCGAGAGCTTGGTCGGGTCGATATCCTGTATCTTCTCGCCAACAGACTTGTCAGCATGAATGCTGTAGGGTCGCTGGGTCCGACATCGCAGCGACGCGCTGAGCGGTGCTACAGGCGAACGGAAAGCGCCACGCGACAGGCAAGAGAGCAATCGTGAAGACCGCTGCGGAAGCATTGTGAGGGATGCAATGCAGGCGGAGAGGGTGGGGCGGAGGAGAGTTGGTGCAGGTGGTGGATTCCAGAGTATTAATTATTTTGGGCTACAAGACCGAAGCTGACCGCAGCCTGGAGATATCGGACCTCGCGACACAGTTGCGACAGTCACCTCCGATCGCGCACTGCACCAGCCACCAAATAGGCAATCACAGGGCGCAATTGACATCTGAATCATCTTCAGAGCGGATATCTGAGGTTATTCGCGTGCTTGGTATCTTGGCCGTTGCTGCATTCACACTGCCCAGGTGTGCTGCGTGCGCTCACGTCATGCAAGGCGGGAGACTAGAGGCGGCCCTGGCATCCTTTCTCCACAGCTCGCGTGGGGGAACTAACACTTGGCTTTGTCTATCAATTGACTTTTGGGTCTCCGGCATCATACCGACGAGTCTAGACATTGCGCGACTCCTGGGTGATTATCCCAAGACATTTTGCGGAAAGAGCGACCCGAATGTCTTGATCCTCTCGGCGGTTCCAGCTGTCTGTCTCAGATCTCACGCGCATACCAACACTGCCCATACCAAACATCACAGTCCATGACGCCCTCGCTCGACTCCCACAGTATCGCCGCGCGCGCGAATAGACCACCCGCACCATGTTTTCCAACGCCCTAAAGTCCTTCACTTCCAACATCTCGAGCAACTACACCCTCAGCCCCCAACCCACGTCGTATTCAGGGCCATGGAAGATATACGACGCGAAGAAGAAGTCGACGGGGAAGGCGGCATCTGTCTTTGTGTTCGAGAAGAAGTCATTGGAGCCACCAGCTGGCGCAGGCTTCGGCGGACGCTCAGCGGCTTCAGGACTCAAGCGGGCGCATGAGGAGGTCGTGGAGAGACTCAAGAAAGAGGCCAGTTCCCTAGCTCGGTTACGGCACCCAAGTGTATTGGAGCTGGCTGAGCCAGTCGAGGAAACCCGTGGTGGTGGCCTCATGTTCGCGACAGAGCCCGTCACCGCATCGCTCGCTGGACTGTTGCAAGAAAAAGACGAGCAGGAGAAGGCGGGCGGTGTTGGTGGACGCCGCAGCCGATACGTTATCGAAGAAGCCGATGGCCAGAAGCGAAGACGCGAGCTCGAAATCGACGAGCTCGAGATACAGAAAGGGCTGTTACAGATCGCAAAGGGCTTGGAGTTTTTGCACGAGAGCGCTGGACTGGTGCATGCGAATTTGACCCCAGAAGCCATCTTCATCAACGCTAAAGTAGGTAGCCACAATGCCACTCAATCTTTACGAACACTTTGCTGATCACCGTGACAGTCTGATTGGAAAATCTCAGGTCTGGGTTTCTCAACACCTCCAGAAAACTCCACCAAACCTACTTCCGTAACGCCCATCTCGCTCTCGGAAGTCCTCAATTACGACGCCCGCCTGCCTCGACACGTTCAGCTGAATATAGACTACTCTTCGCCCGACTTTGTCATGGACAACAACATAACTCCTGCGGCAGACATGTTCAGTCTGGGTATGCTCATCATTGCACTGTACAACTCGCCGCACAAGAGCCCGTTGGACTTCAATGGTAGTTCCTCCTCCTATAAGCGGGCATTTTCTTCGTCTTCCTCGGTTCCCAGTAAGACGAATAACTTCATGTCTTCACAGCCATTACCGCGAGATGTCGTCAACGGCGTCCTAGATCGCTTGATAACACGGCGGCCGGCGTCGCGCATGGATGCACGGGAGTTTCAACAAGCACAATATTTCGACAACATCCTTGTATCCACAATCCGCTTTCTTGATGGACTCCCTGGGAAGACACCCAATGAGAAGTCACAGTTCATGCGTGGTCTGCCGCGTATCTTGAACCAGTTTCCCAAGTCTGTACTTGACAAGAAGATACTGCCTGCTCTACTTGAGGAGATGAAGGATCGGGAGCTTCTTACTCTGATACTTCAAAACGTCTTCAAGATCATTACTATGCTTCCATCTGGCAAGCGAGCATTTACCGAGAAGGTGATACCCAAGCTGCGAGAGACTTTCTTGAGTGCCACGGCTACGAACCCGAAAGCCCCAGCTCAGGAGAGGGACAGCCTGAAAGAAGCTGGCCTCATGGTGCTTCTTGAGAACATGCAGATCGCTGCTGATAATTCGAGCGGCAAAGAGTTTAAAGACGACATCCTTCCGATTATCAACCATGCGCTCGAATCGCCTACTCATTCGTTAGTCGATGCAGCTCTACGCACGCTGCCTATTGTCTTGCCGATACTAGACTTTTCGACTGTCAAGAACGAGTTGTTCCCTGTGATTGCCAGCATCTTTGCAAAGACCAGTAGTATGGGTATCAAGATCCGCGGTCTAGAGGCATTCAAGACACTTTGTGGTGGAGGAAACGAACAACAGGACGACTTTCAAGGAGATGGTCTTACTGGAGTGGTGGCAGCACCCAAGGCCAAGAGCTCGAACGTTTCTATCCTCGACAAGTACACCATCCAGGAGAAGATTGTGCCGCTACTGCGTGCCATCAAGACGAAGGAGCCTGCTGTTATGGTATGTCACTACAAACAGACAAGCTATAGACAACACGCTAACGCATTGACAGATGGCTGCATTGGATGTCTTCAAAGCTATCAGCAATCAAGTTGACAGTGACTTCCTCGCTATGGATGTACTTCCGATCTTGTGGTCGTTCAGTTTAGGACCGCTGCTCAATCTGCAGCAATTCCAAGCGTATATGAACCTCATTAAGACGACGTCCGCACGTGTCGAAAATGAACAGACACGCAAGCTGCAAGAGCTCGGCGCAAACGGGTCCACAGCAACTACACGCAACGAGTTCATGTCCTTTGGCGGTCCATCGGCGACCAACGGCTTCGATACTAGCAACGGGAACGGAGACACAGATTTCGAAGCGCTTGTACGTGGAGGACAGCAAGGGTCATCGGGTGGCACAGACATGCTGGGTGGAGACCCATGGGCGAACGCCTCCGCATCAGCTGCATCCTCCACCATCCTCCCCTCGCGCCCATCCACCAACCGAACCAGATCCAACAATGCATCTCCCGCCCCGACCTTTTCGTGGTCCACGCCTCCCGTCTCACCACCACCAAACACGAATCTCGGTGCCCCGAAACCACAGGGCAGGGCCATCACTCCAGACAACACACTAAACACGCTCAACTCTTCGTTCCCCGCTCTTAGTGCGGCAAACCCAGGCATCGGTAGCTCATCATTCACGCAACAACAGCAAATCCGACCAGCCATGAGCATGAACAACATGATATCCCCCACAACTACAACACCCTCCTACACAAACCCCACACAAAGTTCAAGCATCGACTGGAGCAAGGCAAGCGGCAGCACCACAATGTCATCTTCAAACACCTGGGGCAACAACACAAACACGGCAACCAATTCTTTGTCCAGTTTCCCTTCTATAGCTCCACCGCCCTTACAGTCACGCACGCAATCCCCGTATTCTTCGTTTAGCATTGCGCCTCCGCCGGCTAAGCCAGCGGGTACGGGGTCTTTTAGTATTGCGCCCCCGCCGATGGGGAATCGCACGGCGAGTGCAGGGGGTGGTATGGGCATGAATAGTATGGCGAGTTTGAGGGCGCAGACACAGAATCAGCAACAACAACAACAGCAACAACAACAGCAGCAGCAGCAAAACCAGCAACAGATGAATTGGGGTAGTGGAGGGGATAGTCTGATTTGAGAGAATTGTAGATGTAGATGTAGGTGTGGATGTGGGAACGTGTCGGAACGGAAAGAGTGGTCTTTTGTGGCGTATTAGCGGGCGTCTGATTTTCTGGGGTGTGGTAGAAGGGTGCAAGAGATGGTATGAGTGATACGAGGTATTCGCTAGAAAATATTGGACAGACGGATATCAGGCCGTTGTACACAGTCGTGTACTAGGACTCGTCAGAAATACGTGTTCATTTTTCCGTACACCTTGTTTCTTGGTCTGAGACCGCGTAGTGGCTATCCATAGTCCACCTCCGCCAACTTTCCATGTATCTAGTCCATACCCTATCCACGACTACGCCTAACGGCTCCAACGACTATCTTGAGAAACACGTGCTAGTTGCGTTTTACCGGCGCCACGCGTCATTAAAGTCTGCCTAATAGGTCACTACGGAATCAGCCGTTAACGGTTTTCTGCTTAAGTGTTCGGGTTACTTTGGGCAACTTTCAGTATTTGACGGGCCGATATGTTGCAGGAAACGGTGTTGCATGTATCAGTGTCCTATCTTTCCGGCCATGGACGGTATGATCCATATATTCCCAGCTTGATCATTGGGTCCCCGTCCCGTAATAGGAGCTCTCGACCAGACGTGCGACAATGCAGCAGACTATCCTGTGAATAGAGGTAATTGGTTGCCGCATTCCGTGGAGTAAGCTGTTGTTGCCTCGTCAATCGGGTGGTTGTTGCTATACGGACTCGAGCACCTCTTGTGGAAGCGATACACGGATCAGTATTCACAGCTTCACTGGATTTGGGAGTTGTACGATGTCGCTCCCTTATCTCACCCGGGTGCAACCTCCCAGTCTACATCTGTAGCGCTCGCGATTGTGAACGTGCACGAGACAGGATTTCTCTACAACTGCCAAGTCAATGATCAGCAATGCGCATAAGCCACGCAGCGCCCAGGACAGTAATATGGACGATCACGCAATCTTGCGTGCGCCTTCGCTTTCGCTGCTTGGCCGGACTGCCAGTCGTCGGGCAAACGTTGCATCTAGATGCGCGAGTCTGCAGTACGGCTAATTCGGAGTACGATGGTCGGGAGTTGCGTCTAAGGGCTGTCTAGATAGCGGATCCGTACCCTGCAGGACAATTACCCCTACGACATGGCCGACACTGTGGTTCTTGCCGTTACCCTGGCGACATGGACTTGAATCCGATTAGACGGACAGAACTTCCGAGGGAGTCCCATATTTTGCACGCGACACCGCGTTTGTGTGGCCAGTCGAGATAAGCAAAAACGGAAGGATCGAATGCTGGGTGCTGGCATTGGCGAGGCTTGGAGGTGGTATTTCGCCCGCGTTATGGCGTAAGCTAAGCAAGCCAAGCCAAGCTTACCGGTGGTGGAATTGAGCTTAGCAATGGAGCTTAGCGGGCGCCACAGTGATGTCAAGCCTGGAGACCTGACTTTTGAGCCAGTACAACGGTGTGCCGACCTGGAGAGGGTGTGATAGATACGCAGGAATGCGGCAGCGCAACAGCGCCACCGGTGTGGTTATCTCGAGGACTTGACGATTGACGTAATGAGTCTTCGACAAACGACCTGGTATGGCCAGACTCTCCACGTGCGCGACAGTGAAACGGCAGATCTATGCCGTTGAAGCGGTAGCGATGCGTCGGACGTCACGCTCGCCCGGTACTAATCAACTAACGCAATCAAAGCACACGAAGCGGCACTCGCGGCGCCAGGGCAGAGGATTTCACTGAGATTTCATAGCGTGAGAGCGGGAAAAGATGAGAGTGCAGCGGTCATAGCGCGGCAAACGGCTGGTATTTGTGCGAGTCTTCATAGGCGCGTTCAAACTCGGTAGGCGCCACCAGGCAAAAGCAGTCCCCACTCTTACGCCTTCCCTGTTCGCCTTCACCGAACTCTCCTCTGCCCCCGCAAGTTTTGGACTAGCCATCCCGGCACCCTAGCTTACGCTCCTCCACTGCTCAACTCCCTGCACCCGCTATCACCTTGCCCCCGCGTATATTTAACGATCTTCCTGCCGCTCTTCCATCGTTTACTCAACCCACTCCGACACTACCCTTCCCGGATTTTATACACGCAATTAATGCTCCCAGAAGCGGCTAACCGTCGTTCTTCCTACTACACTCCTTACAAGAGGTGTATCCGTTGCGTGAAATGGCGTTGAAGTCTCTCTTCGGCGGCAAGGCCTCGCCCGCCGACAACAACAGCCAAAGCAGTAATGAAAAAGTCGCCTTCGAGAAAGAGAAGAGTTACGACGCCGAAGCCCAAGGAGGAATTCTACCTACGTCCACCGACGCCGACTCTGACGCTAGTATCACCATCGGCAGGCAGATCGAACTGGAAGCCAACAATGCTATCAAGTACCGTACTTGCAGCTGGCCAAAGACCGCGGCTCTGTTGTTCTCCGAGTACATTTGCCTGGCTATCATGTCTTTTCCCTGGTCCTACTCGATCCTTGGTCTCGTTCCAGGCTTGATCTTGACTTTCGTCATCGCCGGTCTTGTCCTGTACACGTCCCTGACCACCTGGTACGCGCACTCCACATCCCATTCGTAAACGCCATACTTACACGACACAGGGAATTCTGCATGCGCCACCCCCAGATTCGCGATGTCTGTGACATTGGTCAGATGCTCTTCTGGAACAAGAAATGGGCCTTCTACGCCACAGCAGTCATGTTCGTCCTGAACAGTAAGCGACCATCCCTTTTAATATGCAGCGACCTAGTACTGATTTTCTCCAGACGTTTTCATCATGGGTCTGCACTGTCTCGTCGGAGCCAAATGGTGGAACACCATCACCGGACATGGTGCTTGCACAATCGCCTTCGCGGCGATCACCGCCATTATTTCGTTTGCGGCTTCTCTTCCGCGGACGTTTAGCACCCTCGCTACGCTGGCGACTGCCTCCGCAGGCTTCACTTTCATTTCCGTCATCCTCGCGGCAGCATTCTCCGGTGTTGACGGAAAGCCCGCAGGCTATGACCCTGCGGATCCGCTCAAGGTCTACGCTGTACCTCCGGCTGGAACCACTTTCGTTATGGGCATGAGTGCTTTCATGAACATTAGCTATACCTTTATTGGCCAAATCACCCTCCCCAGTTTCATCGCCGAGATGAAGGAACCCAAGGACTTCCCGAAGGCGCTCTGGGCGGTCACCATTTGCGAGGTCCTCGTCTTCAGTCTTGTCGGAGGCGTTGTGTACGGTTATACCGGTACCAACTACATGACATCCCCGGCCTTCGGCTCCATATCCAACGAAGTCTACAAGAAGGTGTCCTTTACGTTCATGGTACCCACAATCATCTTCCTTGGTGTTTTGTATGCTTCCGTAACGGCCCGCTTTGTTCTGTTCCGCATCTACGGTTCCCAGTCCCGACACAGGACTGGCCACACCGTTGCCGGATGGCTCACATGGATCGCAATCCTCGCGGTACTTTGGGTTTTCGCCTTCATCATCGCCGAGGTCATTCCATTCTTCTCCGACCTGCTCTCGCTTATGAGCTCGTTGTTCGACTCGTTCTTCGGGTTCATTTTCTGGGGCGTAGCGTACTTCCGTCTTCGCAGAGAGGCGCACGGAGTAGACTTCTGGAAGACTCGCGGTCTCAGGGGATATCTCGGGTTCTTCTTCAACATCGCACTTTGTCTCATCGGCCTGTTGTTTTTGACTGCGGGTACATACGCAACTGTCCAATCCATTATTGACGGTTACAAGGCCGACGGTTTTGGTGGACCTTTCACGTGCGCGGACAATGGTTTGTAGACATTGAGATCATCAGGGGCCATTGGTCACGATGCCATCGTGTAGCATTTCGAAGGATTCTAGCTGTGATGGATAAAGAGCGAGTCTGCTGGGCATATGAAGTCTGGTCGGAAATACACGGTTATACAGGGCGTTCTTTGGATTTCTCATCATTAAGAGACATGGTATACCCCGCAGTAAGGGCTGCAGAAACTGAACGCATTGTGACAAAGGTCAGAACTGCGTAGTTTCATCAATAAAAGTTAAAACAAAACAATCGTACATGAACACATTGACGTTCGCCGATAATGCGTGAGGCGCTCTTTCCGCGAGTGCTAAACATGCGGATTACCGAGACGTCATAGCTCCACATGTTCATCTGCCGGGCAAGCTGTCAACACCTAGGCATCCCCCACAGCTTTCGCATGTTGGAACTCACGCTTTTTCTACACTGACTACTTTCGCGGTTTTGTGACCTGTAGCTTTTCGAAACTCTTGCGCCACCATGACTTCGTACATTGACTTCAGCAAGCCCAGTCTGTGGGGTAAGTGCCAACATCCAGATCCCCGCAGCCACGGATGCGACAGCTAACATGTGGCAGTGTCTGCGGCGAGTATCGTGTTCAACCCTACATTCTGGAAGTAAGTGAAATCACTCATCCTCTTTTATAGTCACTAACAGAGCTTCAGCATCGCTGCGCAACAAGGTACATAACCTCATCGTTGCTTTTTGCGGCTATAGCCGAACCTCGGGAGGCTGCTGGGTGTCGTAGAGCAGACGATGGGATCAAAGAAGGCTGACAAAGGTCAGAGTACCACAATAAAGTTATCACAAAGCTCTTCGGTGGTAATCCTCGACTTGGATGCTACGCGCTCGCCGTAACCATCTTCTCGCTGGGAATCTTCCGAGACTACCTGTATGTAAAAGACTACCATTGTCTTCAGACATGGACCTCTACTCGAGCCAGTCACGATACTGACAGCTTGTTCACAGTTACAATGAAGCCCTCGCCGATCAACCCACGCATCCAACCCTCCTCTCTCCCGCCATCAAGTACTCCGCCATCCCTCTCTTCGCCATGGGAAACACCCTTGTCCTGACCTCCATGTGGGCCCTAGGTGTCACCGGAACCTACCTCGGAGACTACTTCGGCATCCTCATGGACGAACCCGTAACAACCTTCCCCTTCAACGTCTCCAGCTCGCCCATGTACCACGGCTCGGCCATGTCCTTCTTGGCCACAGCTATCTGGTACGGAAAGCCAGCTGGTATCTTCCTTACCGCAATCGTCCACACCGCATACTCGATTGCGTGCAGGTGGGAGGACCCGTTCACTGGTATGATCTACCAGAAGCGCGAGGAAGAGAGGGCCAAGGGAAAGAAGGGCTTGTAGATGATGAGTTTCTACGGTGGTCGACCCGATACAACAGGATGGTATGCGACGAATGTGCTCTCCGCAGTGCTACGCCGAAGCACACGAGAGCACATTGTGTCTCCATCCATACGCGCATGGATAGCAGGGGAGAAGAAGGTGAGGCAGCTCGTCTTTTCAACAAGACAGTGGAGCAGAGGGTATTCAACTGCCAATGGGTGGAGAGGTATACGTAGCAGCATACAAAAGTACAGTTGATTTGACATGACATGATAGCCCAAAGCGACAACACCCCAAGCGACCTTTACTTTCATCTCTTATTGGTAGGTACAGTATCTCATGCAATCAGCCTGCGTCTCCATTCCCGTTTTTCGACTTGATTGGTTGTCTATTCGTGCGATTCCATCTCCTTTGCAATTCGATCCACACAAGGTGTCAGCCCAAGCACGTGGCGGCACGGCTCTCCCTTGCAGTTCGGGTAATGCACCATAGTGAACAGGCATTTCATCACTATAGCAATCTCTAGAGCAATGACATAAAGTTCTCAATTCTTTGAGTGTACACTCAAATATGTGCAAAGTAGCCAACCTGGTATACACCATCTCTGATGACTACCCTTTTCCCATCTGTCTACGCTATAAGACACGCATTCCACCAAACGCCATGCTTCCCAATCCATTATGTGGTATTAAAAGAAACAAAGATCAAACCTCCTGCGCAGTACCTCCCCTCGAGTGCATTGAGCTCGGTGGATTCCCAGCATGCGGCGCGCCATTACGATTCAGCACACCCAGTTCACTCTCATCCACACTATGCCCGTTCGCAGTGCCCTGGGCATCTGCGCGTCTCCTAAGCGCAGTCTCACTGGCTCCGTTCCTGCTCCAGCCCTCTGTACCAACATAACTTCCCCTGCCGACACCAATGCCCCAGGCGCGATCATAGCTCCTAGGTCCCCAGGCCCATCCCGCACCCCGTGTAATGGGGAGATGATACCAGCGGAACGAGAACCACGCACACGTCACGCCAATCAGCGTACCGAACAACATGTCGAACCCGAAATGGCGGAAATCGGTAAAGCGGGTGCTTGTTATGTAGATAGCGGCGCAGATGGGGACCAAGATGAGGACCAGGGTGTAAACAGGTGGAGCGGCGTTTTGGTAGCGGATGGGTACTACGGCGTCGTCGTTGTACGAAGTTGGGGACGAGAGGGACGAGTCTTGTTTGTGGATGGGGAGGGTGGCTTGTTTCTTGAGGTTGGAGGGGGAGACGGCAGAGGTGTGGGCGGGGTTTGTGGAGAAGGGGCGGTGGGGGAGGAAAGGGATTGCGACGGAGAATTTGGAGGCGAGGAAGAGGGTTAGGTAGAGGAGGCCGGCCCAGGAGACTGTGGGATGGGTTAGTAGGTGGTTTGTAGAGGGAGTGGGGAGATGCTTACAGCTGGAATGGCCGCTGGGGAAGGACTTGAATCCGTCTTTAAGGATGTCCTGATCGGTGTTCTGGCAGATTCCTGAGGTGACGAGGACCCAGGCTGGGTTGAAGACCTCTTCAACAACAGGATTGACAGCGAATTCCCGAATGCGTTCCAGGTCTGGGTTACATCTTGACAAAAGATCAGGTCGCGGCTTTCCGAAGAGGTTCTTCATGCCCTGTGTGATGAGGAATGTAGTCGCGAGCGAAAGCGCAAGGCCCATCCAACCGGTGTTCCATTCCCAAAGTTTCCTCCTCCAAATGAGCGACTTGGGTGTCCCGCGTTCGGCAGTTGGTCCAGGGACCCAAACAAGACATACGATCATGACGATGGCGGCGGGCGCAATGAGTGAGACGACTACGAGGAGCCATGTCGGTATCATTTCGCTGGTCTGGTACGGGTACGATATCGAGAGGTCGACTGGCGAGAAGGGTCGTCGGAAGGGCTCGACATACTCCCAGCCGCCGGCAATGGCTGCAATGGCGATGATGACGATCCAGTCGAAGATATAGGAGAGGACGAGGCGAACCGATGGCACGCCGACGCCTTTGATGGTTCTCATGTTTGCGAGAGTGGGTGTCTAATGGCGACAGACAGAGAAGAGAAGAATGCAAGTCAAGTCCAGACAATGGATCAAAGGGACAAGCGCATTAAGGCGGCTAGAGAAGGCCAAGACAAAGGCGAAAGTCTAGCGTCGGGAGGCGCTGTGTGACAGTATTACGAAGATACGGTATACGGTATGCTGCGGTCGGTGTTGACGTGTATGGCGTCTACCAAACAGAAGAAGAAAGAACAACTAGGACATGTAAAGATTACGAGGCAGGCACGGAAGCGGAGGGCAAAAGTGTGAAGGGGCACGCGAGCATGGCCAAGGCCCAGGCTGACGGTTTGAGGCTGTGTGTGATGGGCGTTGTTGGTCTTGATCGTCCGGATGTCTCAGCTGGCGCCCAGAGCGCCCCAAACAGTGACATTTCCTTATTGCGCCGGCCTGACTTCGGTGTCCGAGGGCTTGCACCAGCTGTTCATTCGCGCGGTCCGTAGACAAGTTCACGTAAACATTAAAGATGTGCAATATTGATAGGGTTGAATAGAGTTTGGCATGTATTTCGCAGATGCATGATGATGAAAGTCAAGATGTTAGTCGATCTGGGGCCGGGATGGCAGCTAGCCGCGCGATGAGGAGCGCCACAGGGAAAGTCTCCGCATCTCCGCCCACCACGTCATTTTTAGATTTGCAGACAGAATTGCGCGTACTCGAATGCGCAGCACCCGCGATCGTCCAACACGCCCAGAATACCGAGGGTACCGAAACAGACGCCCGGCACTTCCGACCAGCCTCACGCGCAGCCCACCATGGCGCTTCCAGCACCAACCATCGATCTCCTCCTCAACCTCATCGACACGCGCCCGCAGTCCATCCTCTCCTCGCTCGAGCAGCATCCACACCTAGCCTCTGCCCGCGATGCCCACGGCTACTCGCTAGTCCATGCCGCAGCCTCCTACAACCAACTTGCCGTGCTGCGCGACCTGGTCCAAAAATACAATGCCGACGTCAACATCACCGACGAAGACGGTGAAACACCCCTCTTCGCGACCGAAAAGACCGAAGTAGCAAAATGCCTTGTTGAGGAACTAGGCGCAGACACAAAGATACAAAACCAAGAGGGCCAGACAGCAGAGGAAAAGATTGGCGAAGAGGAGGGCGAGACACATGAAGTTTACCAGTACCTCAAGAGTCTACGCACCGGCGACGAACCAGCTGCACCGGGCGTCATAGAGACTGAGGGTGTTCACCCGCCGCCTCCCCTGCCCGATGGTGTCAAGGTCAATGTGGGCACCATGGAAGAAGATGCTGTCGATGCGCCGGATCCCGAGATACGGAGGCGCATTGAGGAGCTTGCAGCACGAGAAGACTACGATTCTGAGGAGGTGCAGGCGCAGTTGAGGGAGTTAGTGCAGGATGTTGTTGGGGGCATGGGTGCTGATGGTGACAGAAGTGTTAGGCGGAGGGTGGATTGAAGAAGACAGAAAAAATGCGCAGTGGGGATGTATATGGCCGACTCGTCACAGCGCACCAGACGACCAGACGTGACCCGCGCAACACCATACATAAAAACGTCGAATACGAGATAGGACCCTCCGAACCGATTCTCGTTCGACTTGTCCTGAATACAGTTCAGCACACGCTGTGTGCACAGCCTCTCGGGATGGTGTGCCTGAAGTTACCATGTTCATCTACAACTGGCATAACCCAACGGTGGTATACTTCCAGCATATGCAGAGGGGTAATTGGATACCAGACTGCCTCCCATAGATGATCTACAAAATGTACATCTCATGGTCCCCACATTGCACCGTCCAAATCTGCATTTTCTCTTGTTTCCCCTACGCCTACCTGATCACTATTCAAATCTCGACTCAAATCTCGATTGCCAGAATATCAACTTACCCAATCCAGCAAAATCTATTTCGCCGTTGATTGTGGCAGAATCTGGATTTTGTAAGCCTACTCGGAGCATGTCTCCTTTCATACAGCGGTTCGGTCAAATGCACCGACCTTGGTACACCCATCCGGTCCGTCTGCGTTAGGCAACCTCGCTCTTATGCATGGATTCCAGCCGGCCACATCGGCGATCTCTGGATTATGGGCAATGGAAACGATCTGGAGCATCTGTGAGAGATCGGGAGAAGGCACTGCTTACATATACATTCGTAATCCGATGTGCCAGCGTGAAAGGGCCGTTCACGACGGTAATAGTCTTATCCACACGCAAAACCACACCATCGGGTACAAGCATAACCCATCCGCAACACCAAGCGCACCGAGAAAAACGTCATAACGGCCCCATCCGTTACTCCAAGAGGAAACAAAACGCAAAAACCATGGATTCCAGTCGCTCTTCTTCGGACTTATTATTCTCACCAAGACGCACTGATGCCCCTTGACCATTTGCCATTTCCGCTTTATTCCCACAAAAACCCGCGTCTGTGCAGCCTTCTGGCTGGACCGGGGAACACGGCCATCCTCGGCAAGGCATCGGCATTCCCATAATTTTTCGCAAAGTGGGGCGTCTACTCTTACCCGAATACCCATACCCTATCCTCCTCTCGGATCGCTCCCTTGTTTCAACGTTGGCTTGGCATCTTCGCCACAATCGTTCCCTTGTTGCCACTTCACCTCCACGGTCTCCACCCACCACCCTTTTCGGTCAAATCTGCTATGGCAGGTGCCTGTATGGGGAAGGAAAGGCCAAAAAGTGTTGATTCTAGTCGGTCAATTGCGGTGCTTCTCGGGGGCTTTAAGTGAATCCTTCGGTGAGTTAAAGTGATGGGTGGATGGAGAGAGGGGTTTGGGGGGCGAATGGGCGTGAGACGTGTGGGTTTATGTGAAGAGATTTGTGGAGGATGGGAGAGGCAAAGGTGAAGTATCTGCTTTCTTTTCTTCTTTCTTTGGTTGAGAAGGGGATGTTGGTTCATGGGTAATGCTGCATATGCGTATACGCGTTGATCCTTCTCTTCCTGTACCGTGTTTTTGCACATACGAACTGCGACTCGCGGTTCAAACGGCTATCATGGCGGGCCCTCTCCGATATGCACTATGCATTACCCTGTTTAGGATGTCCCGCGTACACCTCCATGTCTGAATCGCGTTCCATCCGTCCCAACCTCGGTTCACCATATCATCCATCATCATCAGTACCGAATTCTCAGATTCCCATCCCGAATGCCCCCAAAGAGGTAACTTCCAGATACTCCACCGTAGAACACAGTCGCACTTTTGCCGCACTCCATCGCACTTTCTCCCTGATCTAGCAGACCCCTGCCTCCGCGGAAGCAACCCTCATACGATATGTGGTCGTTGTATTGGAACATCCTGCTCCTCCTATGTTCTGGATCTGTTTTGCTACCATATTGGGAAAGAGAAGAAGAGTGTTGATTGTAGCCAAGACTGCGGGCCGTAACGGGTATGCAAGGTGATGGTTCTGCATTAGGGGCATTGCTGGTACATCACCATTAGTGTTGAACCATGAGAGGGATTTGTGCTCTCAGGCTGGTGGGTATTCCGTAGCAGCGAGGCTCAGAGGCAATTACAATCTGTGCATGAGCAACTCGCACTTACTTCTTTATTCATGCATCACTGTCGTAGCAGTTCCTCACCATCCTTGATATACCTAGGTGTACTCGATATCCGACCTGGGTATCAACGAAGCCGTACTTCCTGCCCCTTTCACCCAGTGCATGGGTAACAAAAGTGCTGTGCTATGACACAGTCTTCCCCATAGCAATATCCCTGGTTCGTATAAGATGACACGCACGCATTCATGGATGATCTTAACGCTCGTCGATGGCGGACTCGAGCCTCTGAGCTATGTAGTCCTTTACTTCAACACAATAGATGTAAATTCCTCTTTTCCCCTATATACCTAGGTACTCTTTCTTGAGCCGCAGTGTTAACCAATCTCCAAAAGCATTTAGCTGTTAGAATTAGCCAGGTCTCAAACATCGTCCATATCACTTATCTTGAACCAGATTTCTATCAACATGTCTGATATGAGATATTGTATGCATACGTCAGAGACAATACCTACTGAGATAGGTATCGTCTCTACATGTCCTCGACGACCTCGGGAGTATTAAACCTCTATTCTTACCCTTGGATCTCCCTGTTCGTACCTCATCGATTTCAGAATTCGTGGTATCCCCTTTGTCTTCATTTACACAGTCCATGGCAGATTCTATTTCATAGGTGTTCAACCCTGAAGTGATCGAGAGAGGGAAACACGTGCACAGTGGACTACAGTTCTGTGCTTAGCGCTAACGCAGCCGCGGGTGGCGATCTTTTTAGTCAGCCACCTGAGCAGCCCTACGAGTTTCGTGAATCCGCGCCAATCTTCAATCACAATACGACCACCCTCTGCGCACCCCGCACCACGATCGCCTACATAAAACTCATAAGATCGCACGGATAGTGTCCTCGAGATCTGCCGTACCTTTGCACTGTATACGCGACCATCGTCCTTGTAATCATAATCCCCTCGACGTCAACCCACCACCGACGCCGCCACAACCGCAACCATGGGCAAAGCCGAGGCGGGTAGTACCAAATGGGTGGCCAACAAGATGAAGTCAAAGGGCTTGCAGCGCTTGCGCTGGTGGTGTGAGCCGTGCCAGAAGCAATGTCGCGACGCCAACGGCTTCAAATGCCACGTCCAGAGCGAGGGCCATGTCCGAAATTTACAAGTTGTCGGCGAGGACCCTAAGAAATACATCCAAGGCTTCAGCAACGACTTCCAAAGGGATTTCGTCAATCTTCTGCGGACAGCACACAACGAGAAATGGATCGGTGTCAACAAGTTCTACAACGAGTATATTCGAGACAAGGAACATGTCCACATGAACGCTACTAAGTGGAGTTCCCTCACCGAATTCGCCAAACACCTAGGACGCGAGGGTATCTGTCATGTTAAGGAAGACGAGAAGGACGGCTTGATGATCGCTTGGAGAGATACTTCCGTTGCGGCTTTGAATAGGCGCAACGAGATTGCCGAGATGGAGGCTGCTGAGGCACGGAGTGGTGCGGGCGAAGACAAGATGTTGAAGAAGATGGCGAAGCGTGCACAAGAAGAAGCCGAGGCCAAGAAGGCTATCGAGGCAAAACGAGCTGCGGCACAAGCTGCAGTGCAACAACAGGTCACCCCGCCGGCAGAAGGAGCGTCTCCAACGGAGGAGAAGAAGGTCGAATCGCTGGTTGACGAACAAATACAAGGAGATGAGATCACCGATGCTACGGAGCCAAAGGCGGATGCAGCGCCTGTCAAGCTCAGTTTCGGGTTGAAAGCAAAGGCTGCGCCTGCGAACAAGGCCGGGCTGAGTCAGATGAAGAGCCAGAGCATCTTCAAGCGGAAGAAGGACGACGCGACAGCGGAACAAAAGCCTGTCAAGAAAGTCAAGTTGTGAGCGGTTGTTGGACCTGATCAATATCCACAATGCATAGCGCGGCGTTTGGGTCAACATTTTTTGGGCAATGCAATAGGATTCAACGTGCCGAGAGGGCATTTGCAATACATCGATTTTGCTGCTGCAGCCATCACCAGCACTTTGCGTATACTTCGGGAAGAGTACCGCGCCATTTCGCGTTCTTCTGTCTAGGGGGTGCACGCGCCATACCATCTCAAACTTAGCGCCATTCGGCGCGTCTACATCATCGCGACGCGTCTTCCTCCAATATATACCCACCACTTCTCGCCTCTTCTGCCTCAAAACCCAACACCTCCGTCTGCAAACTTGTCGCAAATACTTCGCAGCCTGGTCTCTTATCGCAAATATGTCTCTCGTTACCTTATCGTCCCTCCCCGACCCAGTCCTCCATCTAATATCCGTATACCTTGCGCCAGATCGGCCCAGTGTCAACGACGTTGAAGAAGGCCAACAGTCAACACTTTACCGCCATATCATCAATCTCTCCTTGACGGCGCACTCACTAAATCGCATATCGTCCATACACATCGCGAAAAACATCAGCTTAACAGTCGCCTGCACGCGCTGGGATCTGTTCCTACGCACCGTAACCTCGAATCCCACCTACGCGTCGACCGTCAAATACCTGAAAATGAACGAAGGCACGATCGACGACCACTACGGCAAACGTATGGAGGCCATGCTCACAGCGCTGAGTGGATTGGAGGCACTGTACATGCACCACAGCAAACGGAGCCACGCCAATGCCATCCAACAGCTTCTCACCTCAAAGCCACTGCCACTATGGGATACATTGCAGGTACTTCGCTTCGACCACACCAACAAGTGGGGCGAACCGGCCATTGTGCAACTCAATTTCGAACGCAAAGAAATAGACAAGAAAAACGGACTAGGCTTCATAACTGGCACAGAGCTGCTCACTGGAGAACTAGAGGATTTAAGCATTCATAGGTTTCTGGATATACCAGTCATCTCTGGTGTCAAGGCTTCCACACGCGACTTTGAGAACGATGGTGATGACCAGGACGATGCGGATTGGGTGGACGAAGAGGAGGATGAGGAAGCGGACGAAGATAGCGATGGCTGGAGTGAGCGCGACTATGAAGATAACAGCGAGGAGAGTGATTGGGATTCAGAGGATGAGAGTGACTACGAAGACGATTGGGAGGCCGAGTATGGGTTTGCTGTACCAAAGGCTGAGCCCTCTAAGGATCTGCCGGTTCCTAATACTGCGGTCGTTGTCCCTGGGAAAAGCCTTCTGGACTTTTGAGGGTGCATGCGATGTGGAGATGCTTTTTAATGGGCTGAAGAGGCTAATACTAGACTTCTTGTTGTGTATTATACTGCGTTACTTCTACCTGTTTATAAATTCTACTCAGGTATTGATTTTACCTACATATCACAACTAGATCATCAAACAGTGAGACCTACATCTGGAGCATCGCGTTGGGGCTTAACGTTAGCTGTCGGACTTGCTTGTAAGCATAGACCCACACCATTGATATATTGCACCGTATTGCATTTACCATCGGATACTATCGTAGGCTACATATACGCATGTAGCCAAGCGAAGACAACGCTACCAGTTTCGCCCATCAATGCCAAGGGCGATCCGTGGCGTCAAGAGCAACCATTTTCTTCTTCACTTGCTGGACGTACGCATCCAGTGATTTGGCATCCACTGTGAGTTCGCGACCAAGCAACTTCTGCTGGATATGCAGTAGTAACGTATCCCGTTCGAGAACCTTCAGGTCGAGTTCTGCAACGTGCGGACCGGTTGCAGGGTACAACTCGTTCTCATGCAGTATATGGTCGCCGAGGACGTTACGCTTTATTCTCTCTTCATCATCCTCGTCCTCGTCCTTGTCTGAAGGCTTGTCGCCCTTTCTCCAGATGTCCAGATCCAATTTAATCAGTAGAAAAGGAAGACTCTCCAGCATTGAGACAGCGTCTTGTTGGGTATTGAACGAGTTGGTAGTGAGCAGCGATATGTAGCGTACTCATGTGCTGGGATTTCCTGTGCTTTCGATCCACGTAAGTAACTGTTGGCGAACGCTATCGTTGGGTCGCTCGACATAGCCGCTGGAGATTCAAGCCGTTGCTTGACACCACGTATGAGCACAGTAGGACGATGGAAACATCGCTCGATATTGTCCCTCCGCAGATCGCCAAGTTCTTTGGTATCCGAGTCTGGACGCAGCTGTAGAGCATCGATTTCGCAGAGCTTCAGTACCTGTAGCCAAGAATGGTTAGCCTTCTGCTGCATACACACCAGTGAATGTTAATAAGTGATCTTCTTCCAAGGCGCTTCTGTTACATCATTGTTGCTCCTTACCGCGTACAGCAGTATAGAATATGACATTACGAAGATCACAAAGCAATGTAGTCTACTGGGTAATTTGCTTCTATGACAGTCTTGTTGCCTCTTGCAGCCTACAACAGCGAAAAGAAGGAAACTTGGACGCATTGACAGCAATGTAGACTTCTGGGTACTCGCTTTTGTGAAGTTCTTATTACTTGTTGCAGGCTACGATAGTATGAGATAGGAAACTTGAAAGAACGGACACTAATGTAGACTTCTGGGAAACTTTTATCGAGGCGGAAAACTGTATGTATGGGGTATATAGTAGTCTGACATTACAGACATGAAGTACAGAAATGGTCCGATTTGGCCGCTACATAGAAGAATGCATCGTAGCTATAGGAAGATCGTACATGATGCGAGATGGAAGTGTAGGAAACGGAGCCACAGTATGTGGGGTCTACATGGTAGGAATTCGCGGAAAAGAAGCAGATAGATGGCGGTGAACATGTGACTGGCGTGGCGTGCTCGTCTGACTAGGGGGAATTCAGCGTCCGGGTTGATGTGACTTCGGTCGTAGCTCTTGCCGAAGTAGCTGCCCCTACTGTCCTGCAGTATCTTTCACACCGCCATCAGCTCATCGGCTTTTCATCTTGGCTAGTGTCCGACTCCAGCGCCTTGAGAACGAGCTTGGGGTCATACCGAATCCACCAAACTCTGTAATGATCATCAGCGAACTTGGCGCTTCTGCCGTTAGGCAAGCAGCTGAGTCGCACGACGAGGTCGAAGTCCAGTTCGGTGGCTTGTGGCCACGGAATGATCGCTCTCTAGTCGCAGAACCAACCGTCAGCGCTCACGGAAACTAGACTTGGCCCACCCCAAAACTAGTTGGCAGCTTCGATGTCGTTGACGATCGCTTGCACCTCAATCAAGGAGAAAATCGAACACTCTGGAGCCTACATTGACGTCAGGTCATCTAACTTGCATGTTTTTTGTGTTAAAGTAGGCTGCAGACCGGTTCAGTTTCTTCCTCGTACGAGGTACTTGCATAAAGATAAAGGTCGAGGCCGAGGCGCTCGACGATTTTGGCTTTGTATTTGTATGACCGACTTCTGTGCTTCTAAGGGAGCATCTTAGTGCGGTCGTGGAGGTTGTCGCGGTTGCCCGAGCGTCTAGGGTATTGGAGAAGAATGGAGCGGTATTTGCACTGTCGGAAACGTGTCGAAGTGTACCTGGGCATTTTCCGCTCGACGTGCGAGATTTTGCTGTGGCCGAGTGGTCAAAGGTGCTGCGTTTAGATCGTTTTAAACATCCTCCGCAGTCTCTGTGGCTGTTTGTAGTGGAGACAGTCTATGCTCTCCAAATGGAGCCTTTTCGCCCAATGGAGTATGACGAATCGGTGGTGACTGAGATGTCCTACCTTACTGCAACGATGTAGTGCAGCAGGCCACTCAGGTTTTACGCAACACATCATTCCAAACGCAAAGCTACTCGCTCATGGGATATGTTGCACTGAGCAGAGACTGAGATGTGTCGTGGCTATGACCGTCACGATAAATCCAGCCCTGATCTCGAGATCTCATCTGCATACTGACTACATGCAGCCTACGTTAGCATGGCATAGGGAACTTGAAAGGAATGACAGCAATGTAGCCTTCCGGATGATATTCCACGCTATGTTCAGATACAATTCCTATAAATGTAAGAGATCGTTGAGTCGTCAATGCCATCTATACCGTATCCCAAACGTGCTTACTGTGCCTTCACAAACCTGACCATCATCGGCGGCGCACCAGCAGTAAAGTGATCTAGAATGCCTTCCCAGTAAGCGTTCACATCCGTCCCCTCGTCAAGCATAACATCAAACTCGGCCACGACCCTCCCAATCACACTTCTTAACTCCATCAACGACAGTGCTTTGCCCGCACAGCTATGTGACCCCGTCGAGAATGGAATGAACGCCTGCCTGTTGAGTACCAACTCCGGCTTGGTAGTCCAGCGCTCAGGTATGAACTGATCAGGAGCCACAAAGTTCCTCGCGTCGCGGAACAGCGGGAAGATAGGGATATGTACTATCATGTTTCCTGGGATGAAGCGCCCGTTTATCTCCATACCTTGTGGCGGCGTGATGCGTTGGGAGCCGAAGAAGACGGAAGGCCACATGCGCATCGACTCTTGGATACAAGCTTCTAGCATTGGCATGGGTCGCTGGCAGTCGTAGGTGCTCATATTGGAGAGGAACTCGGCGCGGACGGCGGCCATGTAGTGTGGGTGTGTGGCGAGATGCATGAAGAGGAAAGTCAGAGCGGTGGACGTTGTTTCGCTGCCAGCGGAGATGATGAGGCGCGATTCGCCGTAGAGAAGTTCGCGGCCTTCTGGTGTTTTGGGCGTGGAGGTGATGAGATGAGAGATCAGGTCCGGTTTGGCGTCTCTGACCTAGAGAAGACTGTTAGTAATGGCTTTGGTTATCTTGCGAGGAAGAGAGATGTACCTGCATGCGTGCTTTCATTTGGCTGACGCTCCAGTCTCGCCATTCTTTCATGGGTCCGTTGAACGAGGTAAGAACACCGATCGCGTTCATTAGCCATGGCATCAGATACATGTATCCCAAAGCCTGAACGCTGCCCATCATAGTAGCAAGAATGCTCGCAGCGACGTCGCTTTGTTCGCCTTTGATGAAGCCCATGGGCTTGCCGAAGGCCAGCGCTGCCATGACGTCGTAGCTATAGTAGCTTGCATACACAAGCAGCGGAACTGACCTTCCTTCCTCGTTCCGCAACCGTGTAAGTAGCTGGTCTGTGAAGTTTTCGACTTGAGGCGCGTAGTCGGAAAGCGATGCCTTCATCGCATTGTCCCAGATCTTGCGGCGCTGGCGGTGGAACGCCTTGTCGCGATTGAGGTGCAAAGACTTTTCCATGACGTCAAAGAACGGTCCTTTTGAAGTCTGTGATTGGGCTCCGAGGATTGGTTGTATCGCAGCTACATCGAAGATCGTGAGCTCACGTGGTCCTGACGGTGTTAACACTGGATGTGGAAGGAAGTACACGGGTTGGACAGACCCGTCCTAACATAATCGCCGTATTGGCCTTGCAATCGCTGAAGGACTCTATGGTAATGCAAGCTGCTATCATATGTCTGCTTGACGGCCCACCATCTTGATAGTTTCGCAGCCCAGGGCCCCGGGTAGTCGTTGAGTGGGTGAAAGAAGCCACGGTACGCTCCGATGTATAGCCATAGTGGAACCCAGAAGAAACTCGTTACTAGTGTCGCGGCGGTGAGTCCAGTGTAATATGATAGAACCCAGTATGCGGTAATCGCTAGTCCAAGGATCTGAAGGGTCAAATGGTCGACTTCCACTCGTCGCAAAATGAACTCGTGCAGGATGACTGCCGATAAGGGTGCGAACACAAAAACAGCGGTAGGAACCGAATCCATGGTTTCTTGTGGATGGCACCGGAATCTTGTTTGGGTTTGCTGGAGTTCAGTGTAATCAAGTGCCAGGCCGCGGTGGCCGATAGCTAGTTCTCGGTTGCTACTCGGTAAAGGCAACCGCCATCCACCGCCTGTGCTTGAATATGGGAGTACTGGAAGTCCGTATCCACCGTTGTGATTTCAGTGTGTTGTTTTTATCGGGAGTACGAAACGTGGAAGTTTGCATGTGCGATGCGTTTGGTCGGAAGCCCACAGTCACACGTGGAGACTGGTACGACAACGCGATCGGCAGCCCCGGTTTATGAAGTGGGACATGGCCAGGTCTCCGTTGATCCTTCTGACCGCAGATTGCGACTGCAGTTGGTGCTCCGCAACAGGAATCTTGCCGCATAGTAATTAGTGTGCAGGGGTCAGCATTACAATGCTAGGTTTTGTCGCACACTATCGCACATAGCCGACTAGCGTCTCGGTGCGAACTCATGTCTAGTTAGTCTTCCAACGTGTCGATATCGTGGAGTTCTCTAGCGGACCAAAACCGTTTAGTCCTCTGCGAAAGGAGGAATGTGGTGTAGCCTCAATTCTCCGACCGCCACATTATCGGATGTGGTAGTGCCGTAACGCGGCGTGTGTGACTTCGGTACGTAGATCAGAGTTGCTGTTGCTGAGTGGCGCTTACCCTGTTCAAAGACGGCCTGGGGAAAGGTAAGCAGGCAAGTGTCTGCTAGGCGAGGTGGCGGCAGGGCTCGGTTCGCTTAGAACGTATAGGCTGAACGGGTAGGTAGAAAAGGACATGGTTCCTCTTCTTATGATTTCATGAAGATCTTATCTGGTATTCAATTCAAGCCTCCGACCGAGCAATTTCGGGAGATGCGCACATCCATGAACGTTGTGCCGAGAATGCGCCAGCACCTTACGGTTCCACTGTTGAACAGGCAAGGTTGTACGGAAAGGATCTTTCGTGTACCCCCGTCTTAAGATCGCTGGCACCTGGCAAGGTAACTCAGGCTGCGTGTAAGATAAGTTCGATGCATGTCCGGGACAAAACCCAAGGTCCTAGCGATCACGCCTTCCCTTCAAAGTTCCGACTTCTTCTGCAAGCCCAAGAAATTCTTCGGCTGGGATGACCGCGATTACGACCATGTCGGGCGTCCTGCCTGCGCCACCTGGTGTTGAGACAGACTTCAGTGGTGAACGAACGGATCTTCAGAAGAGAATCGTCGTGGTGTATGTAGTGATGACGATACTCTCGACCTTCGTGCTCGGATTGCGATTGTATACGCGCATCTTCATCCGCCGTATGACCGGCTTGGACGATGTGCTGGTGGTACTCAGCTGGTGCGGCTGCATCGCATGGATGGTCATATGTTTCCGAAGTGAGTCTGCCCCTCTGCTTACTCTGAGTGCGCAACTGACCTAAAATGTAGCGTTCCAGTATGGCTTCGGTCAACATATGTGGAATGTGACTATGCAGCAAATGTTGGGCTATACGAAGATGCTCGTCGGTATCATGGTGGTGTATGTCTGGACTCCAGCTCTAGCTAAACTCTCGTTATTAGCACTCTACTACCGACTCAATCCAGATCAGAAAGTCCAAGCAGCCATCTACGCATTGGCAGTCCTAGTCACTGGATACTCCTTGGCCATCACCATAGTCGCCGCCGGACCCTGCAATCCGCGATCCCATACGGACCAAAGGTGTCTTACAGACCTCAACCTGTTCATGGCCTGTATAAACATCATCACAGACTTCTTGATCCTGTGCCTGCCGATACCGATGTTGCGCGCCCTGCAGCTACCCGCTAAACAAAAGATATTACTGGGATTTGTGTTTGCTCTAGGATCTGGGTAAACTTCCTCGGGTAATGCGCCATCTTGCCTTCGGTGCTAACAGTCTCTGTAGTGTCGTAGTCATATCCACCGTCCGCATCATCTACGTCTACAGTATGATTAGCGATCCCGACGCAACTTACAACGTGGCCAAAGCATGCATCTTCTCTACGGTCGAGCTCAACGGTGGAGTCATTTGCGCATGCGTTGCGCTACTCAAGCCTTTCATACAGCAGTACATGCCCTGGATACTGGCCCTTTCGAGCGGAAGCGGAAGCGGAGATGGATCCAAGATTCGCAAGTTGAAGATGTTCGTGAAACGGAGCGGGGAGAAGAGCTATGAACTACAAAGTGCAGACGCAGATACAGATGCGACTAAGCATGCTGATGACAGGCCAGATCATCGGATTGCTGTGACCAAATCATACAGTGTCCAGGGTTCGAAGACAGGAAAAAGCGATGGCGACAGCATGGAAGACCTCTTTGCGCCGAATGCGGGCTGGAATGGTGGTCGGTAGCCGTCCTCCCTAGGATCCGTCGGGAATGTATATGTGTGTACGATCGCGAGGACGTGTGAGGATATTGAAGGGATTGCTTCGAACGGGAGTCCCTGATGATCACGCCGTCGCGGGCTTGGCGCAAGCCCGACGGAAGGGACCACCTGTAGAAGGACCAGTACCTAGATAGCTGCAATACGACACCAGTGTTCAATCTTGGCCTTGAAGGCAGCTGAGGGTATCAAGAGTGCGCATTGGAAGAAGTGGGTATCGACAACAACCCCGCTCTAACCCATCTGCATCTTCTCATCTTCCTGACGTGGCTCGCTTGAAGATATGGATAGCCCCTCCATAGCGATCTTAGCCATATACTCGTCCACCATCAGCTTAATATTGCGATATTGAGTGCTGTTGGAACCGAATGTTGCAAGCGCATTGCGGAGGGAGGATTGGAGCTGGTCCGAGTCAATCGTGCATCCACACTCCATTGCCCACAACCTTGGAAGTCCTGACACGATGGAAAAGTGCGACAACATACCGATAGAAGCAAGTCGTCGGATTGAGAAGGCATGGTATCTGCTAGGGAATATCGACGCGTGATCGCCGATGTTTGAGTATTGATAAAGTCCTTATGCCAAGTATCGTGGTCTGCTAGAGAGAAGGCGCACGCTCGGAAGGCGGTTGTAGAAGATGGTCTAGGTTGAGTAAACCTTGAGGGTGTGATGAGGAATGAGAAGATTTTGCGTAAGCGAAGTAGTAAAGATCACTGTGAGCCGAGATTCGTTTGCAGGCTCAGAGCAATATAGAAAAGAAGATCTCGCAATCTACCACGTCCAAAGCAGTCTATGCGCTTGGTATGGGCCTTATGTGCGCTGCGCACCAGCTATGCATACTCGCCAGCGCAAGCCATAAGCCAGCTACCACCACCTTCAGCCTTTTTCACTTGGAACAAAAAGAGACGCCCACGTTCTTGATGGAGGCAAAAAGATTGGGCAGTTGAAGTGTTGACAAGAGTGGGATTCGAACCCACGCCCGTGAAGACTGCGGAGGATGTTTAGAACGACCTAAACGCAGCGCCTTAGACCACTCGGCCATCTTGCCGTTGATTACTTCATGTAAAACAACCAGACTATCCATTTTATAACCTCAAATTCAATTTGACTGAGTTATAACAGGATAGGCAGAGGATGAGTAAAGGCTTTGTCCTTGAGGTGGAGATACTCCACTATTGACTGTGAACCAAGCGAGTGGATCCCACATGCGAACACATGAAGACAGAATATTGATCGACATGAGATACGCCGTGATGACATTCTGTTATGGACAGGTGCAGTCAGGGGTATGCCTTGGACAGCAGTCATCTCTCAGAGATGGCTATATTCGCCACCAGCACAACAAGACAACCTACCTAGCTATTGTACCGTCGTAACACTATCACGCCAACAGTGCACATCACGTCGTGCAAGAGTACAGGCCACTCAATTATTCACGACCAACATGCATCAGTCGGAGTCATAGGCAACAGTCACCAGCGTTGCAGTCTGAGTTGGCCAAGGCTGAGTCATACTATATCACAGGAGTCACTGTGGCAAAGAGTCATTCGTGAATCATGTATATATAAGGAGACTATCCCGGAGACTTCAGCACGAAAGCTCTCCGCGACTATGAATGCATGCATCAGAAACTAACAACACCACATTACCACCTGCACCAGGCGGAGTCAATCGAAAACCACAAGGGGAGACTGCACACCGGCGATAAAACATAAGGACAGAAGCGCGGAAACACCATCCATCCAGTGACGGGGAGGCGACAGAAGCGAAAGGAAATACCGCGGGAAACAACACGGATAGGAAAACTTTTGCCGAAAGGCAAGGCTGGTTTCTTCACCAGCTCCTTACGACCACCGGGAACCATATGAGAGAGACGAGGACATTCATTGTCCGCTGTATCCATGAGCCATAGCAATGCTCTTCCACTTTTCGACCTCAGCCTCGAGCTCAGAGTTGCGAGCCTCGAGGGTGCTGACATGGTCAAACTTCCGTTGTCGCGACTCACGAGCAGCAAGGGTATTGCGTGCGCGCTTCAGAGCGATCTTATCGCTAGGGTCGACGGTGATGCTGGGCAGAGGACCCTTGCGCCGACGAGACTTGCTGATGCCGTTTGTTGCAGGTGAGTTGGTGACAGATGACTTGCGTCGAGAGTAGTTGTCCAAAACGAGGGGTGAGCCGGTGCTTGAAGAACCAGATCGCTCCATAGACTGGCTGCTGATAGTGCGGTCCATGGGCATGGAGATAGCAGGTGCATAGACAGTATCAGGAACCTTGGTCTCCTGCTCGGGGAACAGGGAGAACCAGTCGCTCGTGTCGGAAATAACAGGCTCGCCGTTGAACATCGGCGAGCACTCGAAGCTATCGTTGATGAAGGGGGAATCACCGATATCGGGAGAAGTTAAGTTGGTGAACGCCGTAGAAGGGGGTGCAGACCCAAAGCCATCATTGAAGATGTCCTTGGGGGACACAGTGCGCGTAGACCCGGCGGCAACGGAAGGATCGTTGATCGCCGTGAATGCGGACACCTGGTCCATAGAAAAGCCTCCGTTGTTGAAGTTGGACATCAGGCTTGCGCCCGAGTCGAAGGAGTTGTTGCTGTTCAAGTCTGCGGGGAACGTGAGCTCGCGATCGAGAGCGGGGAAAGCGTGCGTCGTACCTGCCATGTTTGGGACGTTGTGCAGTTGAGGAATGTTGTTGCTAGAGCTGGGGAACAGTGGAACCGGAGGACGTTGGCGTAACCGTGGCTGTTGGAATTCTGTAGTAGATGACGGGGCAGAATTTGCGTAGAAGTGCTGGCCGTTGTTAAACGTATGCCCAGGCTGAGGCGCGCTCGGTGCTCGCAGAGGCCGCTGGGAGACCTGTGGTTGATCGTAGAGCACGAAGTCCGACTGCGGATGGGCGAATGCTTGTTGACTCGTATGTTGTGGTTGCCGGGTGGCGTGGGGAGCTGGTGAAGAAAGCCATGATGACTGTTGAGAAGCCGTGATGGTCGACGTGAAGTCGAACGGGAGGGAAGACGGCGAACTAAAGTTGCGCGAGGCGAGACTTGAGTTCAGAGGTTCCGGGAAGGAAGACTCTGAGGTTGGAGTTGAAGTGGGGATGGTGGGTATTGTTATGTCGGCGGTTAGCGGACGGCGAGATGCGGGGGAAGTTAAAAGGCAGCCATTGTTCGTGACTGTCTTGTGTATTGTTTCGTGGTGTAGTATGATGAGGTGAGTAGGAAGGAGAAATTCAGGCAGCGAGGGAAGTGGGGGATTAAAAGTAACCCGAAGCGAGCGCGGCGCCAGGAAGGGCCGAATTCTGTGACTCACAAAAAGGTGCAGCAGTGTCGGTGGCTCCCAACCAATGACTTCTCCCACCGGCGCCATCTCCCATCAGCCCTAGGGCCCGATGCGGCTAACCAGGCATCACGTTCGCGAAAGAGCGCGCACGATTTCATCCTTTGATGTTGTTGCGCGGCCTGTCCATGGCCTCTCAGGTATAGTCACGTCTATTCCTGACGTCCGGAGAACTTCAATTCCCTCATCTACCCACAGAAAAAGACCGTCGAACGTCGCGACCATGATACACTGTGCCATCCATCAGCGTCGCAACCACTAGCAATCAGGCATCAGCTTTTGTGCGCCTCTACAATAGGGCGCGCGCCATCGGACATGGGGTACCCCAGTCAGCTGCACTCTGTATTCCAACCGGTGGAGGTGCTTACGAAGAGCCAACCCAAGAAGGGCGAGATGGAAAAAGAAGGCGGAGCAGCTGCGCCCTTTCCATCAATCCTAGATTGGCAGATGCGCGCGGTATGCGCCCCCGTTTCTCAGATTGATTGCCAATATTGGTGCCTTCACTACTGTCTTCTGCGCAGTTGCGCGATTGCGCGTAGGCTCTGTGAAAGGCCCAAGATACCACGTTAAGAGCGGTGAAGAAAGGTGTGAAACAATAAGGTTGTCTGCCACATCCAGCGCGCTGGGTCGCAGGGTGGCTCGCACAGTCCCATTGATATTCGGAGCCGCACTCAGCCTCCGACGTGCTGCAAAAAGCGCAGCACAGCATGGCATTGGACAATGAGAGTGGCTCGGCGTGAATCCTGTCACACGTAGCCTCGCTTCCGTGGCTAGCGCTCGCATCTGCTTCTTCTTCAGAGTTGACGGATTTTGTTGTGTTTGGTTCTACCAGTGACAACTCATACGTGACCCGCCTGTCACTGCGAATTTCCCAAGGTTACGCACAATCAAATCGGCCCTATGCGGCCGCGGATAGCTGTGTTTCAGGTTGGAATAGTCGACAATCAAACAGCTTACCTAACATGCATGGAGAACAAGGACCCCGAACCCCATGTCTTGATGTTCGATAATCCAACACGTTATCCGTCATCAAGGCGGGGCTAGTTTGCGCAGCCATTCTTCATGGGGATGTGCATACAGAGCTGGCGAATTTAGGCGTCCTCGGATTACGATCCCCGATCCCACGCTGAACCACAACATCATTCTGATACCGGGCTCGACATCTCCACTTTCAGCAATATTGCTTCTCCGATCTCAACATCTCCGTGACCCAAGACTATACAATGGTGCAGCACCATAAGCAACCAGCGGCAAAACTACATGCGGCTTGCGATGAGTGCCGTGAGTACCTCAAGCTAGGCTTCCATCTGCCCCGCGCGACGCTCAACTATGCCCAGGGACACGAAAGTTGAAATGCTCTGGCCACACTCCAAGATGTGTTCGTTGCGAGAGAGAAAAGATTGATTGTGCTTATTCGCCGCAGAAGCAGATGGGTCGCCCCAGGAAACGAATGAGAGAGGACGAACCGGACGAAATAACGGGATTACTTGCGGTAGTGCAAGACGACTTCACCAACGTCTGGAACGACTTCTCTGGTGTTCCAAATTTGCTAGATCTTGACAATCTGACTTCTCCCTCACTTTTGCAAGACGTGCAATCATCAGATGGGTCGGCAGGATGCGGAATCGTGACGCCACAGCACTATGACTTTACCTTTCAAGATCCGTCTGGAACGACAATTGGGTCTGATAACATGTATGCGAGCCTCTTCAAAAATGTTTTGATCAGTACTAAAGCCATTACAGGTATAATCTGGACCCGCCCCTCGACCCAGCACTATGGAATTTACAACCTGACCTTCCACCTGACATCCAGCCAACTAGTCTTCCCGAACCAGTCCCCGATCAATCAGATCCAGAGCAGTGCTCGTGTCTTACGACGACATGGTTGACTCTCACCGAGCTACAAGCTGTCGTTACCTTTCAATTTCCCCAGGTTATCATACCCTTACGAAAAGCGATGTCAGCGCTCTCGGATCTAATACATTGTAAACAATGTCCAAAGGAATCATATTCCGCAATCCAGAATGTACAGTCAATAGTGTCTGTGATGAAAGCAATAGTGGAACGCTTCAACAAAGTGTTGAATGAGGTCAATCGCGAGGCCGCGCGTATGGAAGAGACTGGTCAGAAAAAACCATTTCGGATCGGAGATAACAGCCAGGCTTTGCAACATCTCCATACCGGGACCCTTGACTGCCCGATGGGGTTCAACATTGAGATTGAGGCAAAGGATTGGAGGAGACTTGTCAAGACTGCGCTCAAGACGGAAATTTACGGTGGAGGTAGCAATCCACGACCACTGTTGGACTTGGTGAAGGAGAGCGAAGCGAGGCAAGAAACTTGGCATAACGGGAAGCATTCTTGGAGCGATGAGATGAGGCAGCTACATGCTGGAAGACCTGAATGCGATAGTTCGACAAGCTGCGAGGCGTTGGGAGCGCAGCACATACGGAGAGTTATCAATAACCTGAATTGGGGTTGATGGGCTACAATCAGGCTTGAGGATTTGTTGAGAGTAAAGTCACTTATCTCGCTTCCCCTTCTAGCCACAATCTCATACTATGCTGGCGAAGTATTACAACTCGACACAACAACTGTAGTGAAGGCAAGAGTCAGCCATACCAAATAAGCCCGCAGAACACTTGCACTCACTTGATAAGGTCGGTATAGGGGTCGCAATGGGCTGCTCACTTTACTAGCAAGCCTGGGATATCACCGCTGATAGATTTGCATGCTCACATCCACTAGGCAGCAGCGCTAGCGCAGGTTCAAGGCACACAAATCGCCAGTGACTTTGTTTCCCTCCTTCACTCCACTCTACTCTTCGCTGTCTTACTCGGTACCCCGCACAGCTCCATCGAAACTGCGCACAACCAGCCATGACAGCAACAAAAGAAGTTACAACCAGGAGTGGTGTGCCTTCTGAACAGCTCGGGACACTTCGCCGTATGCAGAGCCCGACTATCCGGTCGCGCCAAAGCCGCACTACTTCTGAAAGTCTCTTCGCCTTCAAACTCTTTTCTGGAGCTCCTCGATTTGCCCTCCATATCACAGCCGTTGTACGTGGTACGACCCCGAGGAAGGGCGAGATGTACCCCGGGAAAATCTGGTTGTACAAGGCAAGCAAGCAGTGTAGCCACCCGCAAGGATACTATCCAACCTTCAACAGAACGGTACAGCACGTCAGATACCAGCACCCGATGAGCCATTCGAGGTCGACCGTGCCCCAAAGATGGCGGGGAAACGTTCGCCACATACCAGAAAGCAGTCCAACATGCAATGTTACCGGAACGCACTGTAATTCCCAAGAAGATCTTTTTTTGCGCCTTTAGTTATACATTACCCGGTCGAATGTGACAAAGAGCTCAACTCAGCAAGGGCTCTCGCAAACCACGCACGCGCTCACCAAAGACAGCCGCAGCTCGTACCAGTGCCGCATACAGGGCTGTAGTAATCTTCACGCAGACCTAAACGACTAGCTGTGCATGGAACGCGATGTACTGCGAGCCTAATGTCAAAGCGTCGAGCCATCTATGACTACTATCCCACCACTAGGGGTAGCTACAATTCGTGTTGCGTTCCACGGAGAATATTCTAGGGTAGGAGCATACGTTATCTTGAAGACTGTCTAGCTATTAAGACATAGTAGTATGTATACTGCAAATTACGACACGATTTCTAGTCACTCCCCTCGTGCCACTTCTACTCGGCATGACTATGCAAGCGAGAGAGTATTGATTCTTCCAAGCAAAGAAGGATTGACACTTTCTTCACCAAGCGCCCGGCCCCGACGCGTCGCCCGAATGTGCAGATCAGAAGCGCCGGAAAGTAAGCTCCACACCAACGGAGACCCTTACTAGACGGCAGCCCGAAGGTACCCTGTCTCGATAGCTACGACATCAAATCGGATGCACGCACACGTCCCGTACCGCAAAAGGATTAGCGAGCCATACACGCAGCCACACCAAGGACAGTAGAGGGTTATATCAGTGCAGGGAAGACGAATGTAGCAACTTATATGCCGACATTTACGAGCTAGCAATGCATGAAGAGCGTTGCAAGGGAGAGAGGTCATCACCGGAGCGCAAATCATCACTCCGATTTACCTTGACTGCGGCTACTAGAAATGAGGAACCTCCGAGGGTCACAGTCGTCAAGCGCTCTTCGGCAAAAGCTCCCGAATGCTGGAAGCACGGAACCAACAGCGTCGAGGCCTGCCAAACATCGGCCGTCGATATCTAGCCCATGCTCTAAAGCTGTTACAACGCCGCCACGCGGTATCTTCCTTTCCCTGCTATAGATAACAGCTTTTTAGCTGCGTCACAAAGCCACAGAATCAAACAGCATCGCGCGTTCATCTTCACGTAAGCGACTGTCAACGACATCGAAGCTGCGAACCAGTCTTCTGTACGCATGACTTAGCAGCGAAAGCGAATACATGAAAACCCGTGTGGGAGGCCGGCTGTCCTAGAGGTAGTCGCAGTATCTTCTATCGATATAGCAATAATATATACGGAGACGTAGACCTTAACTGGGGTTCTGCAATATGTGCGGCCGCTCCACATGCAAAAAAAACCTCATCAAAACTTCAAAAACATACAACAGCGGGGATTCGCTAGTGGTCACCCACCTAACTACTAATCCGCCGGTATCTTGCTTAAGTACCGCTGAGCGAACGGGAAGCGCTGGTGTCAAGATCCTATGGTCGTATGTGAAAGGACAGGTGAGTGGTGGTGTATATAACGAAGCATTTGAATCTTTGTACGCGCCTAGGGTTTCAGGGGTAGAGTGGTATCTAAGATTGTGCTTACTCACTCCTCATAGTATTCTGTATGGAGCATTAACGATGCTAGTTTGAGGCATAGTCACAAGAGATATAATCGTGCGACGCATTCCCTCCATCCTGCCGTGTTTCTCTACCTCTATACCATTCATGTGTATTCCCCTCTTGCCCAATAACCACCACCGCGACCATTCTCTAACACTGTACCCCAAGCTTCCGCAACGTCTCCTTACCCGTCGTAATCTTCATACCAATCCTACCCACGAGTTAGCCACAAACACCACACATCGATCAAGGAGTCACATACCTAGCATCCAAATCAAACCCACCCATCTTCGTAACCTCATCCAACCAATCCTTACACTGCACCAACAACTGCGGATTCTTCTCCGGATGCCCATCAGCATCAGCCTCGCGCCAGATATTCGCGGCCATCTCGTAGCGCGCACAAGGCGCAGTCCAGTTATCTTTAAAGTTACCCGTGATGAGTAGTTTGTCAACAGGCAAGACTTCTTTCTCTAGGATGGCCTTGGCTTCAGCCGTTTGGTCCATGTTACGGAGTGTAGCGGCGCGCAAGACGTGGAGAATGGATTTCTCATCTACGCCCTCTTTGTCCCAGTGTGGGTTGGCTGGTGATTCACTCCAGGCGAGGTTGGCGAGAGAGACTTGGAGGTGGTCGTCTCGCATGCGCTTGTATCCGTTCCAGAAATAGATCATTTCCTCGAGAGGGGAGACACCGACGGCGTCGACGAGGTCGCAGTTCCATTCCTTGGCGCGTGCTTCCCATTTCTGGATCTTACGTGCGACAAAAATGTCGAAGGGCAGTTGGCGTGCCATGAACTTCTTCTTTCCGACGTTTGGCATGACTTTCTTCATGTACTCCTCCGCTTTTGTACCGTATTCCTTTGCCTTTGTTGGGTCGGTCGTCTTGTGTTTTCGGTATAGTTCGACGTATGAGGCGGCGATGATGTGGTAGTACAGCGCGTGGGACCAGTTGTTGAGGCCAATGCACTTCTCGAAAGCGAAAGCAGTAGCTTCGTAGTCGTGCATGTACATGTTGTTCAAGCTGCGTTCAAACCATGTAAGCGCTTCGAGCTGTTTTAGCTTTGACTCGCCCACTTCGTGCATGAATTGAACAGCCTCTTCCAACTTCTTATCAGAGGCGAGCATCCTGGACTCCTCAAGTAGCCAGAGATGACTCTTGGGGTATCTCGCGCGCATGTAGCGAAGCAAAGCCAGACACCTCTCCTTTGGGTATGCACCCTCGCCCTTGGTAGAAAGTATGTCGCAGAAGTTGGTGAAGCCATTAATGTATCCCATAAGCACAACTCCAGCCATGGCACCGTGAATGTTGTGGAATTTAGTCGCTTGCCACAGCATTCGCATTCCTCTCTCCCTATCGCCCTTGAAGCCAACGATCTTCAGTAATCCAGCAAATGACGGTGGAATGAACGAGAGAATGAGTAATAGCATGCCGAAACAAAAGTTCGATCCGGAGAGGATGAAGACATCGACTGGGTGTTTGCTGAATGACGCGATGTCTGCATCGGCATCACCCTCATCGTTCAAGGTAAGCTTCTCAAAGTACTCAATAGCGTCCGGTAGCGAGTTGGATGGGTTGTCGTTCATGGTGGGAAGTCCTGGGGCCGAGCTTGCTGCGATATCGACCTTCTTCTGAGCATTGTTTAGCTCGACAGTAGCGCCCTTATCAGCGGTGACGTTGAGATGCCCCATGTATTCCACAGGCGTTTCACCGCTAGTGTGATCCTCTGGAGCATCCACGAAGTCGGCATCGTCATCGTCGTCATCTGCGGCCTTCTTCGCAGCCGGTTCAGTCACTTCAGTCACTGTAGTAGTCTGCTTCAGACTAGAAGTTGACGCTGCAACGGACGGCCCGGTAGACGTAGGACCTTGAGAGCTCTTCAGTGCACTGCCTGTCACATTTGACCGGACCGAGCCTCTCGAAGAGCCGCGTGATCCCACTGAGTTGACGCTGCTCGTACTCCTCTCTGCCAGAAACTTCTTCTCATTCTCCATCACGCCCTCCAGCGCAAGGTATGCCTTCCTCAACTTATAAAAGCTCTTGATAGCTTCCGTCAAGCTCTCATTGAGCACACCGACAACAGCACTCATCAACTGTGCCTCTGCCTGACATACCGCATATTCAGTGCCTGGAGGGTATATGGGTGATTTATACGCGTTCGGATCTTTGCTAACACGGCGTTGGTGTTCGTAAGCAGAGTTCTCGGCCACTGATAGGGCATTGGCAGCTGTTGACCATGTCAGTCAGTGCATGTCCTTGATACCATGTTGAATACGTAATCAGACCTTCGCGTACAATTTCCGGCTCGAAACCTAACGTTGCCCGTATGAAGACACACACTCCCGCTCCGAGCTACACGATATAAGACTAGAACCGAACTATAGGCCCGGGGGCTGGAAGGTAGGTGTGTACCTGGTGGAATGGACTGGAACCTTTGCTAAGGTGGGCTTCGGCGCTTTCGATATCATCGGCCATGATATAGGTGACGGCTGTGCTCGCGTGTGATTAGACATGGCGCTACATTGAGTAGTAGAGAGTTCGTACCGCTCATGGCATCCTCAACTGTTTTGCATTAGCAACTGCCTGACCCCACACATCTTTTAACTCACTCTGTGCAATTTCGCTCAAGGAATCCAAGCTCTTGGAATGCCCAGGCGTATGGCCCTTGAGCCAACCGCCGACTTTGAACATGCCGTATAAAGAAATCTAGCGTTGAGGAGAGACTGGCGGGACAAGGTTGACCAGAAGAGGCTGAGAAAGAGAAAGGGAAGAGAAAGATCGAATGAAAAGAAGAGGTAAGTATATTCAAACGACAGCGTAAAGCGGATACGCCAGCTAAAATACTGAGCGCGTGTCTAGACACCTACTAAAGTCCACCAGAACGGGCGGTGCTTACAGCTTCGTCCGGCTACTCGGAGCTAAAGTACGTGTACGTCATGTTCATTATCCGTACTTTACCCTCCAATGCACTCCGGGTTCGCCTTGAAGAAGCGTGAAAAAGGTAAGAAGGCAATAGTACACCACCCATATGCATCACATGGACCTTTCTCGGAGCCAAGCAGCGACCTCGACGGACTCGTACCCCGCGAACCCAGTTTCCAGGTGTGCCCACGTGACGTCGCGCTAAGCCTTGCGGACAATCGCCGCCTCTCCTCCGCTGTTAGAGCCGCATCACCAAAGCTTACGGAAGCCACAACACCGCGTAATCACAACTCAACTCACCCAACCGTACCATAACACATCGCCGATCGCATCTCCGAAACCGCCACAATGTCCGGCTCAGCACAAGGCAGCAACGATATGAAGAAGGCCGTCGTCAGCGACTCCAAGAACGGCGAGCAACCACTGGCGCCCGAGAAGAAGCCCGCGACACAGCTAGAGGAGGATGACGAGTTTGAGGACTTTCCTGTAGAGGGTATGTTGGAACGATTCAAGGGGGATGCATCAAGCTAACGTGTCTACAGACTGGACTGAGGAGGAGACACAGATCCCCAACGGCAACACACATCTCTGGGAAGAGAGCTGGGATGATGATGACACGAATGACGACTTTGCGGTTCAGCTGAGGTGAGGACGCTTATTCATTGGAGACTGGGATAGTACTGACAATATATAGGGAGGAGCTTAAGAAGCTGGGCAAATGAGCAACACCTGACAGTCGACACGAACGAGACGCGATTCGAACGGAAGACATGACGACCCTTCAGACGAATGAGGATATGGCTAGCTCGAGACACATACACGGTTGAGAAAGTGAGCCCAAAGACTCCACGCATCACGTCCATAGGCCACGAGGTGGAATACGGTATCTTTATTGAACCGAAAAGAGCTATAGCTACAATCATAACTTCGAAGATATACCTTACCTCATCTTAAGCTGCCGTTCACTTCTATGAGTGACTGGTCTACTTACTTGACAGGGCGGATACACCGGGCAGGTCCTTGCCCTCAAGCAGCTCGAGCGACGCACCACCACCAGTCGAGACGTGGGACAGCTTGTCTTCTACGCCGTACTTGGCAGCAACAGTAGCTGTGTCACCACCACCAATGATGACAATCTTGCCGCTCTGCGCAGCATCAACGGCAGCATCGAGCGTCGCCTTGGTGCCCTTGGCGAACTTCTCAAACTCGAATACACCGGCGGGACCGTTCCAGAGGATGGTCTGCGCCTCGCCGATAGCCTCCTTGTACAGCTTGATTGATTTGTCACCGCAGTCGAGACCCATCCAGCCGTCTGGAATACCGTCCTTGTCCTCAGCGTAGCCAGTGTTGGCATCCTTGTCGAACTTGTCGGCGGTGATGTAGTCAACAGGCAGGACAATCTTGACGTTGTTCTTCTTCGCCTTCTCAACAAGGTCCTTGACGGTCTTGCTGCCGGCCTCGTCGAACAAGCTGTCACCGATCTTGACGCCCTCGAGTGTCTTCTTGAAGGTGAATGACATGCCACCGCAGATGATGAGGCTGTTGACCTTGCCGAGCAGGTTGTCGATCAGCTGGATCTTGTCGGAGACCTTGGCGCCACCGAGGATGGCGAGGAAGGGGCGCTTCGGCTCCTCGAGCGCTTGTGCAAAGTAGTCGAGCTCCTTCTTGACAAGGAAGCCAGATGCCTTTTGTGGGAGATCGACGCCGACCATGGAGCTGTGTGCGCGGTGGGCAGTGCCGAAGGCGTCGTCTATAACTGATTAGTACTTTCCACCTACTTGTAGTACTACGAAGCCACTCACTGATGTAAATGTCACCAAGAGCAGTCAGGCCCTTCCTGAACTCCTCAACCTTGCTCTTGTCAACCTTCTGCTTCTTGCCCTCGTCATCCTTGTAGCTGCCCTCCTCCTCAGCGTGGAAGCGCAGGTTCTCCAGTAGGATGACCTGGCCGCCGCTAGCGCCGTTGACGGTGTCCTCGACCGCCTTGCCGACGCAGTCGTCTGTGAAGATTACGCTCTTGCCGAGGAGCTTCTCGAGTTCGGGAACAACCGGCTTGAGACTGTACTTTGCGTTTGGCTTTCCGTCTGGGCGGCCAAGATGCGACATGAGGATGACGGCCTTTGCGCCATTGTCGACAGCGTGCTTGATTGTGGGAAGGGCGCCGACGATGCGCTGGTTGTTGGTGATGTTCTTGTCGGAGTCGAGAGGGACGTTGAAGTCGACCTGGTGTGTCGCGATTAGATCCATGTTCGTGCTTCACACATAAGTCCTGGATATACTCACTCGGATAAGGACGCGCTTGCCCTTGAGGTCAACGTCGGCGATTGACAGCTTGTTAGAGAGAGACATAATGGGTAGTTGGTAGTACTGTGATGGTGTGAGTTTAATGAAGCTCTAGATGTATCAACCAAAGCATACAGCTGCTAGCTATATACCTCAAGTAAAAGTCCACTTACGTCAATGAGTTGGAGAAAAGAAGAAGCGTGGGAGGTGTTCAATGTTTGTTGTCGAGCTTCAGATCGTCATGGGCAGGCTTGGTGGGGTGTAGCGGGGCAATCCACGGGTTCTCCTGCATGCAAAGCTTCGCGCTCCTTATCGAACCACAAAAAAGCAAGTTGACGTGACCGGGCTAGAGAAATTAGCTGATGTAAAACACATTTTGCTGCCCGCGCGTCCTGGCGTTGGACAAAGTGGGCAGCCAAGGTCGACATATCCCGCGGCCGAGAGTACTCGGTGGTGTTAGGGTATCGTTGGAACGCGTCTCGCATGACCTCTGCCCTTGTAGAGACTTAGTAAAACATACTGTGCAGGAACATACGTAAAGCAAGTAATGTCTATGTATAGCAATAGTTTCATTCTGATCAAAATTCAAGGCTGTACGTAAACACATGAACTGTATCAAAGTCGACTAACCGGACGCCGTGCAAATGCCCAACCAAACATGCTAACGCGAGACGCTCAAGGGGAATCACCCGATACCACCATGACCTGACCTTATGTGTACGTATGATATTTAAACATGGGAATTCGTTCGCATAATTGGATAGGCTTAGGCTTAAGCTTCGTCGGCCGAGTTCGTCAAAGAGAGGTAAGCTGTCCAAGCAATACCCACGGTAGATACAAATGGCTGGCATACATTAGTCGCTAGCATTATAACCTGGAGCAAAATACTCACAATCTGGAATTGAATGGGCATGACTCGGAAGTTGATGAGCTGCACGGCCGGCCAGACCATGTAGTTGGCCTTGAGCGCAGGCACGTATACGTCCTGGAATTTGCGCTGCACAGCACGCTTGCCGCCGCCCTCGGCAACAGTCATGAAGGTGAAAAAGGCAGCCAGACCAGCCGGGGCGAACAAGAACTGATCAAAAGCCACGCGCTTGAGTGCCGGCAGCCATGTAGCAGTCTTTGAAACGGGGAAAGTGTTGGACAGGAAGCGGAACCACCTGTGCTGAATTGGCGACATGAGGAAACCGTAGGACATGAATCTCGTGGTTCGCTCGAAATCGAAGGGCGGGGGGAGTATCTTCGAGTCAGGGATGAGGTCGTTCTCGTTGAACGGGTTCCGTCTGTCGAGCTCGTGGATTTCAATCGCCAGGAAGTCGTCCTTGCCTGGGCCGCCCTTCTTGCGTACTGCGCGCTCCCGTACAGCAGTGAGCGTCTGCGCTACTGTGTCCGCGATACCACCCAACACCTGCAGATGATGTTAGCCTCCCTATTTCGTCATGTCTGAGATATGTCGGGTTCGGCGCAGAAGTCGCAATATGCGGTGTGGCGAACGCACGACATGCCACTCGAGATGCGCATAATGTTTAGAGCAAGGGATCACGTACGGCGTTGGTGATCATTGTAGTGAGGACTGGCCGCGCCGCATAGTACTGGTTGTACTTGCGCGTGAGCATGCTGACGGCCGCCATTTGGAGCAGGAATACTATGGAATGCAGCAGCGGCTGGAAATAATTAGTAGGTCATCAAATAATATCAGGGCAGTGGCTTACAATCTTCCCGTAAATCCAGCGGCTGTTTAGCTGGTAAAGCAGTCTGTGTCTGGTGCTGTTCATGTTTAGTATGGGTCCTGTGAAAAGCTCTAGGTGTAGCGTTGCTCGAAGATCGCGATGACGTTGATGAAACGTAGCCGCAGGCCCGTGTGCGGCTATAAGTGGTCCTATCTATGGCGACTCAAAAGCGCGATAAGGGAATAGGGCAGGCGACAATACTGTCGTGATTAAGAGCGGTTTGTTGTAGGAAGTGTAGCAGAGGCATGCGATCCGCAGCCGCAGCCCGGGGTCCAGTGCGGAGGTGCTGCAACAGTGGCGAGAGTTTCACGGCCCGGGACCAATGACGAGTTTCAGACATCAGCGATGACTGGCATCAGCCTGGTTCCGCGCGGCTATGGCTCGTACTATTGAGCCATGTCCAAGACCCAAGTTGAGAGCCCGGGCATCTAGCACTTTCTTGTTGACCAAATTTTGTGGTAGCATCTGTGCTCTGCTCTGCTGAGTGCCTGGTGAGCTGCACAGTGTGTCTCAGCGTCAAGCACGACCCCGTCGATGGTCTACTGTAAGCACCAGCGCAACATCAAGAAGAGAAGTAGTGGAGTATCTGCATTGCACGCTTCATTGACTAAAGATAGTCTAAGCTATAGGAGGTGTTGCGAGCTCACGAGGCTACAGCAATGATACTTGGTAAATCATGAATATCAACAGCTTCGTTGGTGACCAGATCGACGACTCGTATCGATTCCACGAACAAAACTCCTGCAGAAAGCGCAAGAAACTTGAGGTCGGCTGTGTAGCAGGAGCCGGGTGAGAGTTGCCTGAGCACGTTAGCCCTTCGTTCTGTGACCCTTCTACTTACTCCGACTTACCCGAGCCGTATGTCGGTTGTCAAGCAGATCAAGTCCGCTGTATCGGTCCTCGCACTCTTTTGCTTAGCGTACACGACGTTTTCGTCAACTACCGCCGTCCCAAACAACTCCTTCTTGTCCGCTCGAGGTCCGCCTACAGAAGAGACGGATGGATGTGATTTGTGCTTCCCCGAGTCTCTCGGTCTTTTCGCGATGACCAGAACTGCCAGCCTTCGCGTTTTGTCCGATCGGTTGACTATAAACACATCCCAGGTGAAGATCTCGCCAACCTTGACACTGGGCGGCCCAGATACTGTCAGAGTGACATTGACGTCGTTGGTTGAAGCGTCCTGCTCCGGTTGATCTTGTGCATCTTGGGGGACAAGAGCGTCAGGATTGACTGCGTTCGCGCTCTGTGTTGTGGAGCTACTCTGCCGGTGACTAGCCTTGGCCAGGTTGAGCGCTTGTTCTGACGGAAAGTCAACGGGCGTCTTCCACTCGATAGCAATATCTGGATGGCAATGATCAGACATTGTGACATTTGCCTCAACATTCAACGTCAAGTAATGACCCTTGCTCCCGAGTGCTGGTGTTCCATCGGTACCGATATCAGGCCGAATCTTATACAGAAACGTCAGCTGGTCACCAGGCTTGTGGCTCGTCGCGGTATCCAGCACGTCGTTCAACTCTTGAACCTTGCCTCCATGCAGAGCCAGGCTGACCTTCTTGATTCTGACGTCGTAGGTAGCGAATTGGGCGACTTCCAGATCCAAAGAGGCCATCAAAGACAAGTCGCTTATTGATGTTTGAATCCTCGAATAACGTATCCTCCATATCAAAGGCGGCAGCACACGAAATAGTAGTCTTTGTCCGTTTCGGATCGGTCGAGCCATTTCTTTTGCAGCAGGGGCAGTCGGAGTGACCTTGCTGATACGCATTGCTGAAAGTCGTGGGTGGACACCAACAAGAGCGGGATCATTCTCGAATGACTGCAGCAGATTCAATGGTGTTGGCACGCCGCTTGGAAGGTAGTCATCCTCCGACGCGTCTTTTTGAGGCTTTTCTTCTGGCTTAAAGGATGCTGTGGGTTGGAAGTATACTGCGGGCTTGTGAAATCTGCCCTGAGGACGAGCTGCTGCTCATTAGACACAATGTATGATGAATCAACTGGTAAGCTCACCTATGAAGACATCCACCTTCCAGATGACATAAGTATGAGCACTGTCCCCTTCACCATGGTTGACAACCGTAGGTTCATCTGTGTGATTAACGGTACCTGAGAAGATGACTTCTTTGGGAGGCGTAGCTTTTGGATCCTGATCAGACGGGGGAACCGTACTGAATGCAAAAGCCTCAACGTTGATCACCAGTCTTGCAAGGTACGACTTCAAGGTCGCTTCGTCTAACAGCGGCGTTTGGAAAACAACACATACGGCCAGGAGTTCATCTAAAGGCCTGTGCATGAGTAAGAGACGTGCTGATTGTATGGGACTGTTCGAGACGTACCGAGAAGTAGCACATTTCGTTGTGCTAGGAACGGCAATATGGAACCATTGTCGTCTGCTGCACCATCCCAAGAGTCGATCTCGCTCTTGATGTCGATGTCGGTACTTGCAGGCACCACAGCTTCCAGCACTGAGCTCTCTGCAAACTCAAGGCTCCTGCGTGGTATCACCTCCTCGTCTGCCATGATTACCCACAGGACTGTCGAAGTGAAGGTAGATGTGAAGGAGCACGTGAATGCGGTGCCTGAACTACGGTAGGGGTCCAGCTTTCGTGCTAGTTAAGCCGTCCGTGCGCGAACAAGTTCCACAACTTCTTTGCCGACAAGCGTTCTCACTCTACCCATCCCCACGCGCAACCATCGACAACCGGCGCAATGAACGGCCCACCTTACGCGCCGCCAATGGCTCAAGCTTCTGTATGGTCAGTCGCGACAGCAGCCGATGGCAAGGAGTACTACTTCAACAAGGCCACCAACCAAACCACGTGGGAAAAACCCGACGAGCTCAAGGACGATGTAGAGGTACTTGATCTCATGATCATTCGACAGCGAGACCATACTAACGCTAAAAAGCGCGCAATCCCTGGCACCGGCTGGACTGCGCACGTAGCAAACGGCAGGCGATACTTCGCAAAGGCTGGCACGACCGAGACCACGTGGGAGATTCCCGAGGTTGTCCAGAAGAAGATCGACGAGTACAGGCAGAGCCTGCAGAACCAGCGCCCGCCCCCTGCCGGTCCTGCGGGATGGCCAACTGGACCAGCCTCGAGCGGGCCCTCATACGACAACAGACGCCCCGAACGCGACGAGTACCGCCCCGACCGACACGACCGCCGCGATGACCGTGACCGTGATCGCGAGCGCGACCGTGAATCTGGCTTTGGCGGCGACCGCCCCAATATCAGCTTCACGACCGGCACCGAGCTGCAGTTCTCTACTCCGCAAGAGGCCGAGGCTGCTTTCATGAAGGTGCTCAGGCAGATGAAGGTGCAGCCTGACTGGACCTGGCAGCAGGCCGTCCGCGCCGGTATCCACGATCCCAACTGGCGCGCCATCCCCGAGCCAGAGAAGCGCGAGGAGGCATTCAAGAAGTACTGCGAAGACTTGCGCGCCCAGGAGAAGCACAAGGAGCAGGATCGCCAGGCCAAGCTACGATCCGACTTCACCGCCATGCTGCGCTCGCACCCCGAGATCAAGTACTACACACGCTGGAAGACTGCTCTGCCCATCATCGAAGAGGAAACCATCTTCCGCTCAGCCAAGGACGACAACGAGCGAAGGGCCTTGTTTGAAGAATACATCATCTCCTTGAAGAAGGCGCACGAAGAGGAAGAGGCAGAGAGCAGGCGTTCTGCACTCGACGAGGTCATGGATCTGCTGAAGGGCTTGGATCTGGAGCCGTTTACGCGTTGGCAGGCAGCCGAAGAAAAGTTGGAGCAGAACAACGAGTTTAACAGCGAGAAGTTCGAAACTCTGACTCGAATGGATGTCTTGAACCAATTCGAGAAGCACATCAGACAGCTCCAGCGCGAACACAACGACAAAGTCCAAGCCGAGCGACGCAAGAAGCACCGCGTCGAGCGCAAGAACCGTGACGCATTCCTCGAGCTTCTAGACGAGCTTAGGAGGGACGGTACGCTTCGTGCAGGTACTAAGTGGAAGGACATTCACGGTCACATCGAGAACGAACCGCGCTACACGGCCATGCTTGGGCAGAGCGGATCCTCACCACTCGATCTATTCCGAGATGCTCTGGAGGAGGAAGAGGGCAAGTTCCGCACTCTGCGCCGAAGGGCGCTTGATGTACTAGAGGTATGTTGGACCCCAACTCCCCACTAGAACTGGACTAACTGTGCTACTAGCAACAACGCTTCGAGGTTACCACGTCGACCCCTGTGGAAGACTTCCTTAACATTATGCGAAAAGATCCTCGCACCGCTGATATTGACGAACAGTCCATGCATAGCATCTACAATTACGTCCTTGCAAAGGTCAAGAAGCGCGAAGAGCAAGAACGCCAGGACGAAGAATACAACGAGCGCTCAACTGTGGACAAGCTTCGCTCGGTCATCAAGCATCTTGATCCGCCAGTGTCGCTGTCAGACACCTGGGAAGTGGTACGTCCCCGCGTTGAAAAGACAGACGAGTATCGCGCACTGAAATCAGATACCCTCCGCGAATCCGCTTTCGAGAAGTTCATGTCCCGCTTGAAGGAGAAGGAGAGCGACCGCAGGGACCGAAGCAGGCGCGATGGCCGCGACCGTAGTAGGGACAGGCGTGACCGAGATCGTGAGTATCGCAATGGTCATTCTGACTCTCATCGTCGTCATCGTACACGAACTCGCTCACCTGAACATGACCCGTATGCTGCAGAGCGCCGTCGCGCGGTGCAGGACAGGGAGGCGCGCTACAGGAACAACGACAGCACAGGCTTATCTCCTCCCCCGCGCCGTGAGCGCCGAGACGACGATCGTTACGAGCGTTCTCGTCGCAGCCCTGGCGGTGATCACTACGTACGTGAGCGTCGCGAGCGTGAAGCCGAACGCGAGCGATCCTATGTCAGCAGGGCCGATCCCCGTGAGGCCACTGTCAGTCTGCTAGACTACGGCGACAGCGGTGGTCGCACGTCATCAGCACGACGCCGTCGGGAAAGCGACGAGAGCTCTTCCAAGCGCGATCGTGAGACTAAGGTCCGCAAAACTACGCCCCATGTATATCAAGAACACGACACTAACTTCGTCACAGCGTGCTCGCTACTCTCCCCGCCCTGACCGCAAGTCTAAGACACCTGTTCCTGAGTCAGCCAGCACGGTCAAGAAGGAAGAAGAAGACCGCGCCCTCCGCAGTGGAAGCGAGGAAGGTGAAATCGAGGAGGATTAGAAGTTCTCGCTGATTCACCCGTCTCGTAGGACACAGGCGACTTTTCACCGTCCCCAGCCAGTCAACAACTGGACCTACATGTGAGTAAGTCACGGTACCTTGTTTCTCTGACATTCATTCGATTACTCGGCTACGTTGATACCACTACATCAATAGCTTGAGAGTATTATACCATAATCACCTAGCAGAGTGCGTTCAAAAAAATAAATAGCTAGGATACCAGCAGTTTCTATGATCTTTGGACTACCATATGTTTGATGTACGTTCTGATATCAGCAGCAATGGCCTGCTTCGATGGTGATGAAAGATGATAGCATCTGAAATGATTGATGTCCATGCTGTATGAAGTGATCGTAGTTATTACCAACAAGCAAACTCCAGCTCTGTTGGAGTGATATCTCAATTCGCTATTTGGTTGTTGAGTCGAAACTGTAGATACTCTACTGAACGAGGAACAGACTTCATAACGAACACGATGCTTGCCGGCCTGTGAGGATAGAGTTCCCGTGTTTGTATGATGGAACTCGCAGTTTCCGAGGCATATGCCGTGGAGGGATTTGCGCCTTCCTCGGTGCCTACATCGTGTCATGCTCCGTTCTGACAATGATGGGGGAAATTTAGTAACGTTACTATATCGTTACTATTTCGCTATTTTACCTGCAATCGACGGCTTTTGGCAACCTGCCTGATTCATCCTACATGCCAAGCAGCGCGCAACACCAATGTCCAATCCCTCGGAAACCGAAGTTCGTATGTAAGCGCAGACCGAAATAGTCTTTCCGGCTATCGCTTTAGTGCTGGTTGCAACTGCTTACCATTCTCAACCCAAGTAACGTGGCTTGCGCCTCGACCTGGTAGTTGTCGGTTCATGACATGTCAGAAGCGTGTAATCCTGGCGAACCTCGGCTCACCTGAAGCTACCCCGGACTCCACTTCTCCTCTCCATATACCGAGCGCAACACCATCATGTAGTCCACACGTAGCAGAGCCCCGTCGCTCAAGTCTTCCACTCTATCTTCGGCTCGCCTCGACAACATCGCCATGTCTTCCACAGCTTTCGTCCCGTTTTCGGAACCGCCCTACATCGTCGGCCTACCATCCCCATACTACAAGGAGACGCATCTGAGATGGCAGAAAGCGTGTCGCAGATTTGTGGATGAGCATCTCCTAGAGAATTCCCTAGCATGGGACACGGAAGAGACTGTGCCTGAGCATGTCTTTGAGACGTTCGCGAAAGCAGGCATGCTGCTTCCGACGCTACCGGCTCCGTTGCCAGTGGAATGGTTGAAGAAGCTTGGAATCCATGACATCCTTGGCGTTGTGAAGGTCGAGGAATGGGATTACATTCACACCATGATCTATGCCGATGAGGTAGGATTTGCCAACACCCGATTTGAGCGCAGCTAACAGCCGCACCAGATGGCGCGGACTGGCCTCGCGGGACCGGCTGGGTCTCTCACAACAGGCATGTCTTTCGGTGTACCGCCTATCATCAAATACGGCAGCAAGCAGCTCCAAGAGCGCTACCTTCCCGAACTCCTCACCGGCAAGAAGCGAACTTGCATCGCCATTACCGAGCCCGAAGCCGGATCAGACGTCGCAAACATCACAACGACCGCTACGAAGACACCCGATGGAAAACACTACATTGTCAACGGAACTAAGAAGTGGATCACAAACGGAATTTGGTCAAGTTACTCTTCGATGGCCGTCAGGACTGGTGGCCCTGGACCCACAGGTCTGTCCATGTTGGTCGTGCCGTTGAAAGGAAACCCGGGAGTCAACATGCGCCGACTGAAGGTTGGCGGTCAAGTCAGTGCAGGAACGACCTTCATAGAACTTGACGATGTCAAAGTACCAGTTGAGAATCTCATTGGAGAAGAGGGTATGGGCATGAAGTACATGTAAGATTCCCCTGGGGTTCGGGAAACACTCTAGCTAACGGCAACCTTCACAGCATGACCAACTTCAACCACGAACGGCTCAGCATTGCCATTGGCGCAACCCGTCAAGCGCGTGTCGCCCTCTCCGCCGCCATGGAATACGTCCTCAAACGCGAAGCCTTCGGCAAGCCACTCGTTGAACAGCCCGTCGTGCGCCACCGCCTAGCGAAAGCTGGTGCTCTACTAGAGTCACAATGGGCATGGGTCGAGCAATTCGTATACCAAATGGTACACCTACCGAAGGCGTCAGCAGACATCGAGTTGGGCGGCCTGACCGCCATGGTCAAAGCACAAAGTGGCATCGTGCTGAACGAATGCGCTCAAACGGCGCAACTGCTTTTTGGCGGAAATGGATACACAAAGAGTGGACAAGGAGAGTTGATCGAGAGTAAGTGGAACGAGTATCATGGTATTGCAGGCGGTAACTAACATGCGAGCAGGAATATACCGCGAGGTCCCGGGTATAAGGATACCAGGTGGTGCGGAAGATGTAATGCTGGATTTGGGTGTGAGACAGCTTGTTAAGAATTTCAAGAGTAAGACTAAGGCGATGGAGAGACCGAAGGGATCGTCGAAGCTGTAGACGTCGTGAACATTAGAAGCATTAAGAATTAGACAACAATCTAACATTCTTTTCAATTACTACCATCGGGATTTGGCTACGGGTACATCAGCTGTTGCTCGAGTTCCCGCTCACGTATCCATTAGCAGCTTCCTACTAATATCCGTCAAAAGTCGCAAGATAATCCCGTTCGTATGCTACCCTTCTCGCCAGCCACAGTATCTTACACAGCGCTCTTGGAAGAACGCATTTTCCTATTCAAGTTCCATGCCGCAGCCCAGGGCCCAGAGATGGCCTTCTGTTCGTACCAGTGGTTCAAGGTTTGCTCAGCTCTCGCTGAATGTCTCACACGCCTCTCCGAACTTGAGCCAGTATCACGTCAGACAGTGAAGCCCCGAGTAGAGCTGGTTGACATATAAACTCCTCATCCGTTGGACATTTGAAGCTCTACAACTACGCCTCGAAACTACCTTCACATCTGCTTTCTCTGCATCTCCAAAATGAAGTCCGTTCTCATCGTCTCCGCGCTCTTCGCGGCCGTCTCTCTAGCAGCGCCAGCGCCAGCTCCGTCCGGTCTACCTATCTGCTCGTGTGGTTCGCGGCCACCGATCTGCCCGCTGGAATTGAAGGCTGTATGTACAATGTTGTGCTGATGGGATGTGATTGTTCTTTGCTGACGGCCTGACAGGAATGCGAATGCAAACAGGCACGGTTGGATCGGTGCTACCCGACCAGAGGAGACCATGGTACTTGTACGAGCGACCTTGTAAGTGACTAATCGGCGGTTTCATTGAGATGATGTTGTGCGCGCACTTGCTGATGCTGGGCAGGAATGTGAGCTCATCTATGGTGGTGGGTCAGAGTCGTGATTGGATCGTGTTGGATGAGATTTGGTTATGTTTGCCATGTGATACTTGGATGGAAGTAAGACACATAGGATGGACAGGCGTTTTGTTGGTTTCTTGCCAAATTCAGACCACCTTGTGTTTCCAGCTTGTATTCTTTTGATCGATGAGACCATCCACGCTACCTCTATCTGAAGTGTGAACCGGCCAGCTTATTTTGCTAGTTACCGCACCGATGATGCACCGACCTTGGGATCTTCACTCCAGATTCTCAAAGTGGATCTCAAAGCTTAGTGGTTCCGTGTAGTGGCTGTCCTGCAGCTTTAGTCGCCCGACATGACATAGCCTCTTTAGCTGTATTTGAGTGCCTTTTTCCGACGACCTGAGCGGATATTGATTCCGCCCCAACGGCCGAAAGCTCGCACGAGGATTGGATGGTGAATATTAATCACGCCTGCAACACATGCCTTTCCCAAGAATGCTGATGTGGCGGTAAACCCCGCATCGAACAAAGGAGCTGGAGGGGGCAGCAAGATCTGACTCTGCAGTGATGACACGGTTGGTACATGCAGAGACTTTGAGCCTCAGCCGTGAGAACGCTCACGAACCAGACCTTGTCGTGCGACGGTTACTTTCCCTGCAGATCATGTCGCGTGGGACCGCTAAAATGGTTTCGTTAGACGTGCACATCAAGGCTTGACCTGGTCTTCGCTTCTTTCCAACGTAGTAGTAAGGATGACGGGTATAATGCCCCCCAGGTGTTTGAGTGATCGGGAAAGTTACAGGTACCGACGGGTAGGCTCGGGCTGCGGCCGCGGACGCTCGATCACGATCGCGATGCAGAGAAAAAATTGAGCGGGAGGTGCATGAGGATGCCGAGCATCTAGGGGCAATCTGGAAGGATGGAACGTGTGCATCACTGCAGATTGGTGGTTGCGTTCTCTGCCTCATGCAACGGCATGGCGTCGTCCGAGACTTCACCGAGAGGGGAAAGGGCGTGTTCCCCGCAATTTTGGCACGCCCAGAGATCAACCTCCAGTCGTTCGCTACTCGTGCCATTTTTGACACCTTTACCGCGACCACTGACCACGCAGCTGGAAGAGCCTTTGCTCCGAGCGCCGACTGCATGATACTCAGCCTCTTACAGTTTGCGTTCACGTCATCCATCGCGATGTATTCCCGTGCACCGAGCGTTGTGTTTGTTGTCAGAGCGGTCAGCCAGCTCTCAGCAGATCAAAAAAGACGGCAAGCACCGTGCCCACTAAGGTTCACGATGCAGATTTTATTGGGGTGCGCTGGGGCAGTGCGTCGGGGCAATGGACCTGTCCGTACGATTGGCAAAAAGCCGCAAACATACCTGGACGCCTATGTGTCCTCACGTGCACCCGAGACGGCTAGCACTTCGGCTATAGGATCCAGAGCTGTCTGGCTTGGTCATGGCATTCCGCTCATAGACACCAATCGCGCCGTCCCTGGGATATTCATTTCCGCACTCTACAGCGATGATCCTACGCCTGGCTCGTCCTTGCGTTTGTGGGACGCAACGTGAATCGAAAGTGCCGTGCACCCCACAACAATCATGACTCGAGCTTGGATGTCAAAGACATGGCAACTCGCGTGCCATATGTCCGTAGCAGTCAGATCAAGCGTGCTCTTGGCACTCACAGGCTGCCAGTCGTGCAGGCCTGAGCGAATGCAAGAACCGCGGCATCTTGCCCGTGCACCAGGGCTGGTCAAGCAGCTGACGTTGCCAAAACGCGTTTGTATCCAGGAGCGGGCTTTGTCCCGATGACATCCGAAAGGCATCGGCGTCTTAGTCGCCAAGGATAAAGCGCCGACCAGCCGCATCTGGGGGACTGGGGTACTAACTAACGATCCCCAGTGGGGACGGAGGCGGCGTCATGAGCGTTAAAACGCACCATGTGAAGCGCGGCTTGTCTGTGTGTCTTAGCACACGACTAGCCCTGGCATGCAATCCACTCTCGCGAATTGTGGTCTTTAAAATCTTCGGGCGCCCCCAGACCCCTCGCGTGTGGTAGGAATTGTCAACGCTATCTGCAACCCATTGTGCTTCCAACGCAGACTCCAGACATCTACATCTTGCAGCCATGTCTGATTACTCTGCATCTCCGTCCGACCATCACAACGAAATCCAAGCACCGAAACGAAAAGCCACCGCGGCCGGCCTCGACGGACATGGAACCGGACGTTCAGTAAAGAGGAGGGCTTCGAAAGCGTGCCAATGTTGTCGATCTCGCAAAGTGCGATGCAATGTCACAGAGCACGGCGCTCCTTGCACGAACTGCAGACTGGACGAAGTCGAGTGCATTGTGTCGGAGAGCAGGCGCAAAAAGTTAGTTCCACATTCCCGTGCAATATCCGACGTCTCCACAAACAAAACGCTTTATCGTTTGATCAACAATTTCGATATGGCATGTTCCATCGATTTCGTCATGCAACGTCGGCTGGGAGCTCGGTATTTCTGGCCTAGCCACTTGTGCTGCGCTGCACCTATCACAATCACCGAAAGCATTCCAGCCAATGGCTGTTGATGCACCCACACCATATGTGCGCCTCGTACGACTACTGACAGCTGCAGGAAATGGAGCAAAGATGACGACCAAGCCACAGAAAACGCAAGCGCAACTGCACCTGCTACGCGCAAGATCGCATCGCGTGATGCGCTGGACGGTGCGCAAACCTTGAACCGAAGCTCGTCGCGAGGATCACACGAGGCGGAATCAAGGAGAGACGAGCATGTACCTCACTCGATATGTATGATCACTGAATCACTGCATCTGTCGTACTGGGCTAATCGCAATACAGACCAAAGTCATGGCCATCGCATCAACTCTGTCGCCAGTATCTCAGATATCCAGCGCCGACTTTCCATCACGTCACAGATCAATGGCTTGCCTACACTACCGTTTTCGCCATTCTCCAATGAACCTCGAGCACCCTTCTTTGGCAGCATACCACAGAAACCTGCCCCTGGCGAGCTACCCCGATTCATCAAACCGCTGCCGGCGAAAATCGGACCTGACGAGATCGCCTATCTGGAGAAGAAGGGCGCTCTGACCGTACCAAAGGGAAATCTCCGTGGTGAAATGCTTCGCGCATACGTCGAATTTGTCCATCCGTATATGCCACTTCTGGATCTGCACGATTTCCTGACGATGGTGGACAAACGAGACGGAAGCAAAGGCAAAGTTAGCTTGATCCTGTTCCAGGCCGTCATGTTCGCCGGATCGGCGTTTGTTGATATGGAACATTTGCGCACGGCGGGCTACGCTACTCGGAAAGACGCGCGCAAGGACTTCTTCCAGAAGACTAGAGTAAGTTGAGACCCTTCTTCGGATGCCTTGGCAAGTCATGGGCTTTGGCCGACTAGTCCCAAACACTATCGGGGTGATTCGGACACACCGATTTTCCGAGAACATGCCGACATGTGAAAATCGACGGACCTACAATGGGCCGATAACATGTGAACACCGTGCTAACTCTGCCACCAGATCTTGTACGATTTTGATTATGAGTCCGATCGCGTTTCACTAGTCCAAGCACTGTTGTTGCTGACGTACTATTACGAAACTCCCGATGACCAGAAAGACACCTGGCATTGGATGGGCGTCGCCACATCGGTTGCTCACACCATTGGACTACATCGCAATCCGGACAATACCAACCTGGATACCAAGCGCGTTAAATTGTGGAAGCGGATATGGTGGTCAACCTACATGCGTGACCGACTTATTGCACTTGGCATGCGACGCCCTACAAGGATAAAGACCGAGGACTTCGACGTGCCCATGCTGACGTTGGATGACTTTGAGATTGCACCTCTTCCGGATTCGATCACTTGCCTACCAGCTGACTGTCGTATTGCGAGGGATGTGGACGCGCAGCGACAACTAGCTATCATGTGCATTGAGAAGGCTAGGCTGTGTCTGTGCATATCTCATGTGCTTTCCAAGCAATACTGCGTATTAAACAACAACCACGGCCTACAAAATGACCGTACAACCATGATGTTGCTCCCGAAGAAACTAGATCCCGAGACTAGTGAGGTCAAGGCCTGCGATGAAGAGCTCCAAAAATGGGTATCAGAGCTTCCAGAAGAAGCCAAGTACACAGACACGCCCAGCGGCGAAGCAGCTATCGATCTTGCAAGGTCTCTACTGCACATGGTCTTCTTTACCACGTTATCAGCGTTGCATCGGCCCCAGGTTCTACCAAACTCACAAGGCGGTCCAGCTAGTGCCCCGACAAAGGAGAATGTCGAATCTGAACTGCTCGATGTCTCGCGCCGTAATGTCCGTCGGGCTGCTTCAGCAATCACATCGATAGCGCAGCGTCTAGATGTTGGCGGTCTTGTCAAATACCTGCCAACCACAGGTGTCACGGTTCTGCTACCAGCAATCATCATCCACCTACTTGACATCAAGGCCCCAGAGGAGGAGACTCGTCGAACTTCTCTACGTGGCTTCTGCCAGTGCATGGCCGTTATGGGTAAGCTGCGGGATCTCTACGCCGCCGCCGACTACTCAGTAGCCTTCCTGGAAGCCGCCATCCGCAAGGCAGGCATTCATGTCGCTCCTGTAGCAGCCGCTCCAGCTGCGCCAATGCCCAAGCCTTCGCCCGTCACTACAGTCGAAGATCTTGTAGACGCTGGAAGGCGAATGGAGATGGTCAACAACGCGTCTACAGGAACACAGAACCTACGTCCCTCAACATTGACACCGCCGCCTGATAACGGTACCACCAACATGCACGCTCTCGAGAAGCAGCACGGCCAGCCTAATGTCACCGATGAGGAAGTCGCTCGGCGTCTCGAAACATTCCTCGCATCTACGCCACCAGAGTCCGATCACGAGCATATGCCCAGTATCACCATCGCCGACGAGTCACACATGGACGGCATCACGGCTTCTGCGTCGGACTTGCACACACAAGATAACATGAACTCGATGGCTTTCAACAAGTGGAGTACAATGGACCTTCCTGCGAATCCATTTACCAACAACATCAACCACCACCAGGATGACGAGATGCTGTTCTCCAGCTTGCCACTAAACAACGAGTTCGACGACGGCGACTTTGATCAGCTGCTCAACTTGGATGCAGTCGGCGAGGCGTTCAACTTCGACGACTCAGCTCTTGACGCCAACATGGGCATCTCAGGCGGACTAGGAGACGTAGACTGGCTGAACACTGGTAACGATCTTACCGCTGAGGCATAATGTGTTCGCCTCGATCATCATCGAGTATGATGTCACGATTTTCTTTCACGGAACGGAAAAGTATTATCACGGGATTTCATTGGATCTCTGGCCTTGTTCTCTGCGAAGATATCCATTTCCTTGTCCTCTGCTTCTGCGTATGTCTTTCTATCAGATAATGACCAAGGGGATTGGGTTGGATTGAATTGGGAAAACACGGTTGACAACGATCAGGAAAGACGTTGCTCCTGGAACATGTTATCCAGCATGACGTTATGAATAGAACTACACACCCACATGATTTCTCGTTTCAAGCTTTCTTGACCATGCAGGTGACTGTGAATCACGATGCTTATACTCTACCTAGCCCATCACACCCACCGTTTGATATGCATGTCTAATGCACAATGGCACACCATATCTGAAAGGCCGGCGGAGCCTGGTCCGGTCCCGTTCCACCGCGGACTAGTAATCGGATATGGTAGACTAAAATCGCGCGTCGGAAGAAGTCTATTCGCGAGGGAAGGGAGCTAGACCCCAGGTTCTCGTTCTTCGGAGGAAAGTCCGGGGATGGAATATCGGAGTGACGTTTGTGGTGTCGGGATGATGCGGCATACAATAGCAATTGCATGGAAGTAGTTTTGCTGGTATTATGAGATTGATAAATATAGGTACATGTACAGTAGTATAGATTACTACTGGTAAACCAGCAATACGTGTTACTATCTGGGCACTGCTCTCCAAACTATCTACAGATGTACCAGCGGTAGCGCTGGTATACTCAGTCGACATGCTACAAGAGGTATATTATGAGTTGTTCGAGACACAATCAATAATTATGCGTTCAGTAGTAGCGAAGGCAACTAAACTCCAAATGCTAGTCCCGTGATGCCACGGTTGCCTGATTCTGGGTAGTGGAAATTGCGCGCGGGCTGCGCTCCAAGTCCTGTACATCACCATCCTACACCATGATCACTTTCCATCCCTTCCCACGGCTTCCTCTGGAGCTGCGAGAGCAGATCTGGAAGGACACCGTCTCACCGCGCACCGTCGACGTCCGGCGTGTTCGAGACAGGTGGTCTCAACGCCATGGCCAGCTGCTCTCGTCTACGCCCATACCAGCCATACTACAGTCCTGCCGGGAAGCCCGCAACCTTGGACTCTACGAACGAGTCTTCTTCGAGGTTGATGTAGTAAAGAGATTTGAAAATCACCACGCGCCTGAAGTCCTCATCGAGAAATTCTTCACGCCAGATGGGCAGGGAGAAGAAGAGCCCGAGAAGATAGTTTCCCCCAAGACGGAACAGCGGTATGTCTGGTTGGATTTCCACATCGATGTGCTGGACATTGGGGCTTCTGAGTTCTGCGATTATAGTTCCATCGCATCAGCAGTCAAGCGCCTCAAGTTTGAGCGAGATGACTCGGATGAATCATGTCAACTCATGGAGTTTGTTAGTGTCGAGGAGATTCACATCGTCTGCGCACGTGGCTTCTGGATGTGGGCTGGGGCTCTATATGATTATGACTGGCCCTGCACTGAAGAAAAGCTCGTGTTTATTGACGCATTGGATGGTCGAGTTGCGCGTGGCATGGAATTCGAAAACTTATGTAGCCAGGACCTGGAGGACGTGCAGCCGGAAGCTACTGGCGAGGCAATCTCCAGTGACGATGAGCCTTGAGACTGGATCAATCGCCTTGTCCTTCATTTAGGCTGTCGCTAGAGACATGATTTTGTTGGAAGCGGAAGACATGGAGAGGCGTAACTCTGCTAATGAAATACTGTTGATTACATTAAAATTGCCCAACAATTCTATGACTCGACGCACCAAAGTTCTCGAACACCTTCTTCTTCTTAGCATCATCCATGCCAGACGATCCAGCCCTGTACGTCTATCCACACGACCGCATCAAGCCAAAGCAGCTTTCCTAACCATATCCCCCACCTCCCTCGCATTCCTGACACCCCCCTCAACAACCCCTCTCACCAGTGCCCCAACATCCCTAACCCCCAACCCACTCCGCCAAAACCTCCACGCACCCCCAACCGCCAGCACAACCGCCAACGCCCTAACCAGCCTCCTCGCCCTCATCCTCGCAATTCCCTTGCGCGTGTACTCTATGTTCCAATCATTCCACCTGACAAACGTACACCTCCGCCAAAAGTCAATCTGAGTGTAAGGATACACAGTCGAATTCCAGCCGTCGCCGGTGAAATACCAGCTTGAGCAGCCGCTCTGCCAGACGGTGTTTTTGAGAGCGCGTTGCATTTCTGCGGTGTAGGCGACTTCGGCGGAGTGCTTGACGTCGATTGTGCGGGCTTCGTTGTGCAGGAGGAGGCGGATGAAGTTTAGGGAGTAGTTTACCATGTCTGGGGGTTGTGTTAGTAAAGGTTCTTGGAACAAACATATGGTAAGAGTTAGTGGAGAGGGCAAAGACGTACTCTCGCTTGCCATGACGACGCTGGAATGCCCAGTCGCGGTATTAGGACCGAAGATCATCATGAAGTTGGGGAAGCCGTCAACGGCTGTGCCTTGGTAGGCTTGGGCGCCTCCTCGTTCCTCCATTACTTGGACGAGGTCTTTCCCGCCTTTGCCGATGACTTTGAGGGGGTGAAGCCAGCGCGTTGTGTCGAAGCCGTTGGCGAGGACGATGACATCGGCGGGGATTTCTCGCTCAGGGTAGTCTTCTTCCTTTGCGTTGGTTGGGTATGTTGCGCCGGGGCCGATGACAACACCATGCTCTGTGACTCTGTTCATCGGCTGGGTAGTCAGTTCGATCTTTGGGTCGTTTAGACTGCGTAGCCATCGCTTGTCGAAGATGCGTCGTTTGCAACCGACGCCGTAGTCTGGTGTTAGGATCTCCCAGTACTTTTCTGGAGTGCGTTTGCGCATATTCTGGAGAACCTTCTCCTCGTAAATTTTCCGCTGTTTCTGAGCGTATGGTGTGTTGGGGAAGAGCTTGAGGAAACCTGATTCTGCGCTGGCGAAGATGAGGAAACGCAATAGCTCTTTGAGGCCCGGTACGTTCTTCATCAGCTTAGGACCGTTCTTCTCCCACCACTCGTCTCCACCGGGCGCGTGGACGGCTGGAGTTACCCATGGTGGAGATCTCATCAGTTGAGTGACCTTTTTGGCGTTGTATGGCGCGTGAGGTAGAGGAGGAACGAGTTGCGCGCTGCTGCACCCGGTGCCGACAACGACAACATTCTTGTCTGTAAAGTCGACGCTTTCGTCCCATCTTGCCGAGTGGAACACCTTGCCCTTGAAATTCTCGATGCCTTTAATTTCGTCAGGCCAACCCCTGGGTTCGACCAATCCTCCCACACAACTGAGCACAACCTTGGCTTTCACAAGTTCTGTCTCGGAGTATACGGCATGCTCGCCTTTTTCTTGCGCGATCTTCATGCGATCCTTTGCTGACAAGTCGCCCATGCCTGACACCATGCGACGGAGAGTAACCTGCCATAGCTGCTCGTCTTCTAGCCATCTGCAACCTTCAATATCCGTGTTGAGCTCGAACTTGTCCGTGATGCGGTATTTCTCGCATACTTCGTGGTAGTAGCGTACGATTTCTTTGCCGGGCGGGTGGAACGAGGACCAACTGGGATTTTGGGCAAAGCTGAAGGAGTAGAAGACGGCGGGTATATCGCTATGCGGTTGTTAGCCTTGTACGTGCGTGGCACGGTGGCGGCTATATGCAAAGGCCCTGATTATGACCACCTGCATGTCTTCGGGGAGATTGCGGACTTACCAAGCGACACCGGGGTACCGATTGATCCACCACGTTCCTCCGATGCCTGCTTGGCGATCGAATACGCGAAACTGATCAAATCCGAGTTGCTGCTTCAGCTGGCATGCCATGGCAATGCCAGATGCGCCTGCACCGACAACGATGACAGGGTAATATGTGTAGGCATCCTTCTCATAGCCATTGACCCGTCTTATCGATTCGGTGATCATCTTCGCAAGTAACCAGGTTGCTGAAAGGTTGTATACGCAGACGTCCGAAGGTTCGCTTTAAGTTTCGGCGCAGCGTACGAAGCGTGATTTTGAAGTCGACGATGGCTTCGTCGAAACTAAACTTTAGCCGGGTGCCTTAATCGATGGTCGAGCAGTTGAAGACTTTGGAGAGCCGATGGCATGTGAAGATGAAGCTGATATGACAGCATTCATCTGATGGAGAATCATCTTGCCAATAGACGGGATGTTCGTCCTCCATGGTGCATCGCGTGGGGCGAACCTATTCCCCTGAGCCTCGGTAGACTGGCATGAACGCGTTAGCTTTGCGAATGTCACGTCACGTAACGACGGACGTATCGGCCACCTTGGTATCCCGCGATTCGTCCTGACACTGACGAATCCACATGTTCATGAGCCAATTCCAACACGAGCTGAAATTCAATTCCGTCTCTTTGTGGAAGGTTGCATAGCCGATAGGTCAGCGAATGAATACGTATGGATCCTCCCAAGGTTGGATAGCAGCGCTCTCGAGTCAGGAATGAGGGAATTTCGCTGTGAACATTGTAGTTCGTCAAACATAACACATCAACAGGTTCGGCCAAGGCAGGAAGTCATGGTGTTTATGTATGCAATGAGGCTGAACAATATATGGGTCTACAAGCCACAAGTCTATGGCTGCGCCGCTGGCTGACATCTCACCAATGAAAAGACGCATTTTCCAGAACAAGATCGATGATCGTTCTCTTGGACAGAGATCTCTACAGGCTGTCTTCCATGCATGTAGCGGTGCGGAATAACTACACAAACAAGCAGGAGGTCTTGCCAGCCCAGGTGTAACGCTCTCACGTGCTGACGCGGGTAGCGCACGGGCATATTATGTTAGGCGGTCGCGAACTTCCGATTGACCTCATCAACTGAGTTCAGCGACAGCTAGGTTCTCTACACCAACAAGTTGGACCTGTTGAGTAAGACTTGTTCGCTTTTCTGAACCATGTGCCGTCCTTGAATAGGAAGTTGTCTCCTCGAATCTGCGGAGAGAAGGACGTTTCAGCGCAATGAATACCATCGACGGTTCCGACCGTCACGTCAAGACAGAAGAAGGCATGCCGCTGGAAGACCTCAGCTACCGCGAACACGACTAATGATTCCCAGCCCCTCCGCCGTCATTGCTTGCGATCGTGCTCGATACCAACCCGCATGCTTGGGCGCATCTCTCCTCGACGCTCTCACTTTCGGCCGCCCTAGCCAACATCCTCGTCTTCATCAATGCGCACTTGGCCTCGGGAAACGCCAATGAAGTTGCCGTGATAGCTTCACATTCACACAAGACGACATTCCTCTACCCGACTCCAGCAGACCCGCAGCCTCAATTACGGGATGGGGATACAAATGGGCACGCGCAAACGAATGGACATGGAAAGGACAGGGAAGGTCACCTGGCAGAGAGTGCGAACAAGTACCGACCATTCGCAGTCGTAGAAAGTGCTATCCTACGCAACTTCACGAAACTACTCAACGAGACCAAAGAGAGCCATCTGGAAGCAACACCTACGACGCTCATCGGTGGCGCCCTCTCCATGGCCCTTACCCACATCAACAAGCAGACCATCCTCCATGCTCCCACGGCCGCCTCCGCTGAGAGCACATCTCTTGCGGCACTCGCCGACTCGGAGAACACGCACGTCGACCGCGTGCCCCTCACATCTCGCATCCTCATCGTATCCGTATCCGGCGACCTTGCGAACCAGTACATACCCGTTATGAACTCCATATTTGCCGCCCAAAGAAAGCGGATACCCATAGATATCTTGAAACTGGCTGGCGACACTGTGCTACTGCAGCAAGCAAGCGATGCGACGGGAGGCGTATATATGAAGCCGGACCGCCCAGAGGGCCTGCTTCAGTATCTGATGATGGCGTTCTTACCAGATGTAACAGCGCGGACAAGCCTCGTAGTTCCTAGCGCCGGTGGTGTTGATTTCCGTGCGGCGTGTTTCTGCCACAGGAGGGTTGTCGACATCGGGTTTGTCTGCAGTGTGTGCTTGAGCAGTAAGCCAAATCGAACATGCCATCCCACTCAACAGAATGCTAATCTCGACCAGTCTTCTGCAATCCTGATCTTCCTGATAACCTATGCCTGACCTGCGGCTCCTATCTATCCCTGCGCAGTGCTGTCATGAACCCGCCGGCATTGATACCACGGAAAAAGAAAAAGAAGAAGAAGGCCGGGACGGATTCTGCAACACCAGGGGGAAACACTCCTGTAGGATCTGGTACTCCACTACATGCTTGAGACACTGCCCGTGGATCTGGAATACATCCCACCAGATCTCATGATTTACCGCGTTACACCTTTCTCAGACGCGTATGCATATTTGCTACACTCCCCGGCCCGTGGCGCAGGCTAGTTCCACCGAAAGACGCAAATTTGCCCACGTTCATGGGGAATGTGGAGACTTTGACGGTAGGCGTATTGAGCCACTAGGACGGCTGTACGACAGCCTTCCCCTTCGAATCGGAAACCGTGCCAGCATACTTTGTTCTCCGAAGCCTAGCCTACGCAAGTGGCTCTATGATACCACGCACGCTTGCAATTCTATGTGGGGAGATCTCTCAACGCAGTGTTCAGTTCACGGCGGCATGATCCTTTTGCCGTCGACACGGACGTTTCAACAGCCATGCGTGCGGTGTTAGTTCTGCTGATTACTGGGCTGCCAAAGCGTCGGCCGAGCCCGTAGCATTGGAGGGTCATTTGGCAGCCGAGAGACTCGGTGCAATTAGATGGCAGCACAATCAAGACGAAGAGATGGAAACATCTCCGCGACAATGCCTAGAGAAGTTCCTCAAATGAAATGTCAAGGACCTTCCAGACGAGATCAATTGGAAGCCTTGTACCCACATCTCAACAGTCTCAGCCCATTGTCCCTGTCACTCACGTACCAATAGCCGTGATCTCGGTACTTTGCTGCCATATCTTACCCTACCAACTGCCATATATGAATACTCAAATGCGCAGATAGAGCAGTGACAGGGTCCATAATTCAGGCTGAGCAACCTCATCGCCTGCACCCAGCCGCGGCGTTTATCGGTGAATCTCAGGGATAGCGGCACATGGCGCAGGTAAAAGCAAGATGGTTCAATGCAGGCAAGACGATTGCGGTAGACGAGGCGAACAACGAATGCAGCAGCCTGGTGTGATGCTATTCTAGACTTGGATATAAACATGGTGAGATGACGCCAGGGGTGAGGATCCCCGTTGGACCTGCATGTTGCATCTGATGGATGTTGGAGGCGGCTGCGGAGGGAGTCGCGGGATGTGGGTAGCGTCGCCGACAGGACTGGGCGTGGGATTGAGAGAACGGCAGAGATAAGGGATTTCGAGGCCATTTCCGACGGCATCTAGGGAGACTGAAGTCTGAAACACTTGGGAATATCGCACTTGTAAACTCTAACAGAGTGATCACACCACAAACCATAAGCTCAAGACACCAATATCCCTTATCCCGTACTCGGGAACGACATGCTGCATGGTATCTCTGATCGCCATATCTACGCTAATTACGCACCTTACCGAAAGGGGACTCGCCCAGCCCCGGAAGATGTCAGGTCAGGGATGGCCTGGACTTGTTTCTAAACTCCAAGCGTGAACGCAGCCTATCAGCCGCTCTCACGTTATCACTACCCTTGCGGCAGCAGCTCTCCCAAGCTCTGAACAATGTTTTCGAATCATTTCGCTGATAGCGAACGAGCTGTGCTGAGGGGGCTCAGTTAACGCATTGCCTGATGTGACCCCAGAACTCGGTAAGTCTGACAAGATGAAGCGAACAAGCGTATCCCATGTCGATCAAGAAAAGAGATAACAAACAATGGCACAAGATCACCGAGAGCTGCTCCACAGGGTGGTGGAACCAAATGATCGCATCCAGGCCTTGCGGCAATCGATCACACACAGCCCTGAAGTCATCCCACACGTGTGGTTCGACAGCCGCAACAGGCCCAGCGCCTCTCAAGGGCCTCCGTCGTTTCCGCCCCGTCCCAAGTGTGGGCGGCACCCTGCAGTTCTGCATTTTGGCTTAGCGACGCACCCGTAGTCGGACATTGGCTGACAGGGCCTGGCTTGGGGCGGCCATTGCCCATCCCAGTGCCCACCCGTCAACAGTAGCTATCAGACACCCCACCGCCCGTGGCGTTTGTGCATTCGGGAGAGAGGGGGATGTTCATGCCGGTTTGCTGGGAGATTATCAAATGCGGCATCGCCTATTCCACTGCGGAAGGAAGCCAACTGAAGCTTGGATGCTCTCTTCTTTCTTACGCATACCCATATAGTCCACCACCGACCCCTCGGTTCCCTTGATTGTCGGTTCGTGAGCGTGTCCACCACCCAAGCCACTCTCGCCTATAATACATATTTAGCACCGTTTGCACATGCAACTTTTGTTTGCGCGTTCCTCCTCCCAGCGGCGACACCTTTACTTTTTGGCTTGTTCGAGCTACGCAGATACTGGGGCGGACGCCAAGGTTCAACTGCAGTCTTGGAGATCCCTGATCGTGTAGCGATCGTCCAATCTTCACTTTGCTTGCCCACGCGCATCATCCCTTCCCTTCTCTACGAACCCATCTTCTGGAGTTTTATATCGATCCCGCCTACGCCTTTTCGGATTTTTGTCATCAACCGCGTATACCGTACACATCGGAATTACGACAAACATATTTAATCGCAAAAGAGCGACAAGCACCACGAGGGAAAACACGACATCATGGATCCAGTATCTTCGGGATTGGACCCCACACTCCCTCTGGAGCCGTTTGGTAACACCACAGATGCCACGGGCGGCGATTCGAGGTTATACAATCTCAATGTGTTCTACAACGTGAGTTATTCTGGCTACGGGAACTTGTTAAGGTTTTGGAGTAACGCGGGGCTAACCTGTCATGTTTCTAGCCCGGCGATATCGCTTGGATGATCACATCAACCGCCCTCGTGCTTCTCATGATACCGGGTGTAGGGTCAGTAATCCATTCTTCCCTGCACATTCATTATAATGTATATGGGTCTAACAGAACTGCAGATTCTTTTACTCCGGATTGGCGCGAAGAAAGTCGGCGCTTTCGCTACTATGGTTGTCTGTCATGTCGACCGCCGTCGTTTCTTTTCAATGGTTCTTCTGGGGTTACTCTCTAGCCTTTTCGCACAAGGCTGGCAAGTACATCGGCGCGCTGGATAACTTTGGGTTGATGAATGTGTTGGGTGCGCCTTCGGTGGGAAGCCCACGGATTCCCGATCTCATGTTCTGTGTCTACCAGGGCATGTTCGCTGCTATCACGTATGTTCACTTCCGACCAACTCACCGGCGAAGACTGACTTGACATGCAGTGTCGCACTTGCTGTTGGAGCCGTGGCCGAGCGAGGACGCATGCTACCTTGCATCATCTACATGTTTGTCTGGACGACAATTATCTACGACCCGATTGCGTGCTGGACCTGGAACCCATCCGGATGGGTCTTCCAGATGGGTGGACTGGACTTCGCCGGCGGAACTCCCGTCCATATCGCTTCCGGATGTGCTGCCCTCGCCTACTCGTACATGCTTGGAAAGCGAAGTGGTCACGGTACCCAGGAGCTCAACTACCGTCCCCACAACGTCACGCACATCGTTATCGGCACCGTGTTCCTCTGGGTGGGCTGGTTCGGTTTCAACGCTGGTTCCGCGCTGTCTGCTAACCTTCGCGCTATCATGGCGGCTGTATGCACCAACCTTGCTGCTTGTGTCGGTGGTATTACCTGGTGCCTGGTTGACTACCGTCTCGAACGCAAGTGGTCTACTGTTGGCTTCTGCTCTGGTGTCATCGCTGGTCTCGTCTGCATTACTCCTGGCTCCGGATACGTTCCAGCCTGGGCTGCGGTGGTTTTCGGTGTCTGCGGTGGTGTTGCTTGCAACTACGCGACTAAGCTCAAGTATTTCCTGCGCTGCGATGATGCCCTCGACATCTTTGCGGTTCACGGCGTCGGTGGTTTCATTGGAAACATCCTCACGGCCTTCTTCGCTGCGTAAGTCATGTACGACGTCATTCTCAAATGACCCATTACTAACAGCCACACAGAGACTACATAGCGCATCTCGATGGCTACACCGTTATCGAAGGCGGCTGGCTCAACCACCACTGGGTACAACTCGGTTACCAACTCGCCGACTCCTTCACCGGCGGCGCCTACTCGTTCCTAGGCACCTGTCTCATCCTCGGAGCCCTCGACTTCATCGGCCGCTTCATCCCCGCCTTCAGACTGCGTGCGACGGAAGAAGAAGAAGCCGCCGGTATCGACGACGTTGAGATTGGCGAGTTCGCTGTAAGTTCAACATCCCCAAGAAAAGGCATGTATCTGAAGAACACATTACTAACACGCATTACAGTACGACTATGTTGAGCTCACGCGCGAAGTCAAGATCCCTGACGACGACATCATCGACGAAGGCATGTCGACGCATTCCCTCGAAGGACACGGCGCAGGCATGGCTATGACGAGCCACCACGAGAAGAATCAGGAGTCTGTTGATTCGGCGAATCAGCTCGCTGAATGGGCTCATCGCGCATAAAGCCTTTGCTGTTGCTTTGCGTTTTCACTTGTTAATCGCTCTATACCATTTTGTTTCTATGCACGTCGGTTTGACATGCTGTGTATGTCTATGTATGTATTTAAGGAGGGTACGGATGGATGATGTAAATGATTGGATTGAATTGGGTTGGTGAGGATGGGTAGCCTTTAGTTATGACTTGAGGGTAGATGGTAATAGCCCGACTTGTGTAAATGTTGAATACACTCTTAACGACTGTGTCCTACGTTGACACTGGTGACCACTGTGAGCTTCGTATATACATGCCCTGCGCTATCAATCTCGCATAGTAGCTTCCCAAAGCATGCCCAGCGATTCTGCCCTCACCAAAGCATCACACACAGCACCAATCCCGCATATCAATAAGCCTCGCAGGTAAACTCTTAAGATTCTCATTTCGGCATCCAAGCTCATCGACTCACATACCAAGAATCTGCTATAAAACCCCCACTCCACCACCCTCATACGTCTTTGAACAATACTTCAACAAGAAAAACGAACACTCCGACCCAAGAGTCCCAAACCCACGATGCTCCTTTCCTTTGTAGTGTGAAAGCGTGAAAGTTGTGGCTGACGATGAAGAAAGACAGAAAGAGGGACAAAAGGTAACAAGAACGTGCCTCTTTGTAACTAAGCCAAACTCAATCGCACATGATATCCCCTCCCGATTTTTGACTCGCACCCTTTTTCTCATTTGCGGGGGCCGCAGAGGCAATAGTAATGTGTATTGTATGTTTCCCCGCCGTCTGGGCATCAGGCCTCTTCATATCATTCACCATGTCTTAACACGGCACACAGGGGGGTCACGATTGACAAAACGCGGCGAGGACATCTAGCCCGCCGCCGCGCCGACACCGTTTGTGTCCATTGGGCTGCCCCCTCCGGCATTTGAGCCGTTCGTCGGCCGTCGTCGTGTGCGGATTGCTTTCTTTCTTCGGTCTACTGGCGCGCCTTTGCCGCCTTCTGCTACGTCGACCATGTTGAGGTCGTCGTCGTCCGGCCGGTCTGCGTCCTCGTCGTGCTCTTCCCAGTATCTTCTCGTCTCGTCGAGCTCGGTTACGTCCGTGGGCCGCATCCGTAACCATTTCATCCGCGGCCCTGATCGTGCGCGCTCGCTGACGCGGAAGCCGTAGATGCGCGGTTCGTAGATGCTGCCTGTGCCGAGGCCGGGGGCGAGGTTGTGCGGTGCGACGCCGTTGATCGAGGTGACGTTTGAGGGTGTGGTATTCCGCGACTTGCCGTCGGTGCTTTGCGATTGTAATTGTTGTAGTGCATCGACTGTGTTTGACGCGTTGTTGCGCAGCCCGCCGCCAATGTCGAGGTCCGTAAAGGTCATGAAGAAGAGCGAGGGGAAGGTCGTGCCGAAGAAAGCTCCGTCGACGGTCTGGAAGCGCGAGTTGGGCGGGGTATATACGTCTAAGCAGGAAGGGCAGAACAGCTTGACTGTCTCGTGGCCAGGACTGTCGTTGAGGCCGACTGGCAGGACTTTGCAGGAGTTGCAGTTTACGCGCGGGCAGGTGCCAAAGTGCTGGAGCTCGTACTTTTCAGCCATCTGCTGTATGCCTGGTCGCGAGGTGATGTAGCGCTGATGTATGAGCCCGTAGAGCAGCTCGGCAGAGCTCTCTATCACACTAAGATCAGAGGCTATGCGAAGATGCCTCCGGTCGCCAGCCCGTCGGTAGCCCGGTGCTCGCTCATCACCCAGTATCTCATCTTCATCATCCTCTTCTTCCTCCTCGTCTTCCTCGTCCTCGTCGTCCTCCGGCTCCACGTCCAGTATCATCTCCAGAGCTTCCTTGTACATGGGCACCTGCGATTGCAGGCCCGTCAGGTTGAAGTCATCCTCGATGAAGTCTTCTGACACCTCGGCGAAGTACTCGTGACCCAGGAGCCCGCAAAAGGACGCGATCCACGACTCGGTCACCTGCGAAGATGACGACATGCTGTCTTGGGTGTAAAGGCGTCGGGGCCGCTGTCTAGACGCGGCTCAGGTTATGACGCGCAGCCGCAATGCGTGCGTGGATACGTAGGGCGAGGGGTTCGAAAATGCGAATGTGGGGGTAATGGTTCGCGATCGAGACAGAAGCGAAGGGTGCCGGGTAGCAGAGCACGGTTGAGTGTTAGGGTATATTTCTTTTGTGAAGCTGCACTTGCAGCCTTGTTATCGCATGTGTGTTGGCGTTGGGGTAGCGGACAGGGAAGGGCTCGGCGAAAGTCGTAATCCAGGTGAGGCCGGTGGGGGAGGGGTCGAGCGAGCGCAGAGCCTGATGGGAGGGCGTTAAAGTTTCTTTGCGCCGAATTTGCCTCTCTATCAGTACGGCCGATCTTCAGGCGTCGCAGGTGTATGTTTGAAGCTGTGTTTTGGCAGGTGAAGATCGCAGGTTGCCCGAGCTTAGCGATTGGGTACCACGTGATCTGGCCAGGCCCTGCCAACTTGCAGGTGGTAGGTGTAGGGTAGAGGAATCACGAAGGTACTGATGCCGACAGAACATTATTTCAAAGACGTAGTGCGTTTTACAAGAGCGACGTAAATGTCCATGATATATCAAAAGAATGGTAACCCAACAGCTATGCCCGGGCATCAGAACAAGTCCCTCAAGATCCTCGCCAGCTCGTCATTCTCATGTGAGAATCCATTCACAAACTCCCCGTTTGAATTTGAGATTTCACCTGCTGCTCCCCCAAAGCCATTAAGATTAAAGATACCCCCAGCAGCCTCAAACAACGTCGTCAGATCACTAGCCATGCCATGCGGTGTATCGAGATTAGGCCCATTACGGCCATTCGAGAACAAAGCAAGATCGTCCATCGAGTGACCTGCAAGGCCCGCCATTGCGACAGCAGCGGAAGAGTGTGCATCGTGAGTTTCATCGTTGCGTATGACAAGTCCCAGACGGGGTCCAACTTCCTTGATCGTCTTGATGGTCCTCCATAGGCGTTTTGAGACGTACGAGTTTGACGATAGGCCACGGACAAGCTCGAGAGCCATGTAGAACTCGTCGCGAGACTGTTGGCTGAACTCGGCCGGCGCGTGAGCCACAGCCAAGAAGAGTACCGCCAACGCCGATATCAGGAAATAGTTGAACATGGTCTGCTGGCTTCTGTAGATGTCCGAGGTTTGGTTGATATATGTCAGTATGCGGATCGTGTCCTTGGCCACCTTGACTACGACGTGTGCAAAGTCAAGGTTCTCCATGATGGTAGTTGCGGTATGTAATACTGGGCGGTAGATGAGTATTCGCATCTGGTTGGCTCGCAGGTAGAGCACGACCTGTAGACGATGGATGACCCGTGCAGGAGGGTCAACCCGTCTACCGCTATCGGGGTGAACGAACTTCAGCGTCTCCGGTATACTGCGGTGCCAGTTCAGAACCTGGAAGTCAAGAAAAGAGATATCGTCCTTGTTGATCTTATCCTGGTGTCCTACATCGGCGACAGACTTCCATACTTTCGAACCGATGACAGAGTATTGAATCATGGCGTTGAGATACGGCGTGGACTCGTGCGTTGATATATCCGGTTTTGGAACATTAGTATCAATATCCGCGTCTTGCAGAGCAAAAGGCATGCCGGTGCCAAAGCTCCACCTACGATCGAGCACGTAGATAGTCCAAAAAGTACGAATCGCTGCCGCTTGCTCTTCAGGATCAGGGAAGAGAGCCACATATGTGTCTCGACGATGTAAGCCCAACTCCAAACAGTGTCTTGCAGCCAGGCCAATCACCCGCCATGCCATGGCTTCATCATCCCGAGTGAAGTGATACATAGCCTAGATTTGTGAGCAAAATCCAAGCATACAAGAATGTGTTACTCACTGTCAGCACTAACAAGTTAATCCCATGGAGGCTGACAGGCTCAGACAAGGCCTTGTCGACAATCTTATGCACGTTCTCGAAAAGCCTCTCGCCCAGGGGATCCTTTCCTCCACCTTCCAGAACCAGTGTTATAGCGAGAACGAGCTTCAGCACGCTGATCTGATCGTCCACCATTGCGTCGGACCCAGGAAGGGCACCTTGCATCAAACCCGACCTGGCCGCTGCTTCCACAAAGGTAAAAAGCATCTCGGCATAGCGCTGCAGTCTATCGACTTCCAGGATGGGGTACATGATGCCCATCTCTTCGTGCCAAACATGCACCAAGCGGATAGCCTCGTGCTTCGAGATGGACCATATCGGGTCTTTGTCTGCGTGTAGGGCACGTTTTGGCACCATGGCGTTGGGTATGGGGGGAGACGCCCTGGGTGTCGCGTCGCGGGTCAAGATGCCGTCGTCCTCGCCTTCCTCGCCAGCGTTTATGCCCATGGTTTTTAGGCTCGACCTCGCCACTCCTACATTGAATGCGTTAGACGTCGGTCCGTGGAAGCGGGGGTGCTTGCTGAAGGATTTCGATCGCGAGCGGGCGGACGGAGGAGGTAGCATAGGCGTCTGCTGATAGTCCGGATTGAACGGCGTGCCGATTGAGCCGTTGCTCTGTACGTCGACCTGGGCCCGGAGCGCGCTGAGGTTTTGGAAAAGATCGTCGACTTGCTGCTGGAGAGAAGTTATGTGCGTCGACATCTGCTTGAACTCGTCGCTGTCTTTGAATGAGTTGCAGCAGTTGGGAGCGTAGGCGCACTCCAGATTGAGATTCCCGCAGCGCTGGCATGGTGTCTCGCCATTGCACTTGATCTTCCTCCTTTTGCACTCATTACACGCGATGCTGATATACCTGTTGCCTGAGACAGGTAGACAAAGTCAGCGACTGGTCGCATGCCATCTCGTGCACGACAGGATTACTTACGCTTCGCGCGCTGTACGGGCGTGCCATTCTCGTTTTTCCGCTTTGCGCTACTGCCGGATTCGTTTGGCGGACTCATCGTATCGCTCGCATTATTCCTGTCTGCTGGCGAAGCGGCGCTCATGGTTAATTCCGCCTGCGCGCGAGTGTTCCGCGACAAGAAGTTAATGTGTGGAGCTGTCGATGTCTCCGATGTCTGTGCTTTTGCGGGGATGGAAGGATCCGCTTAGCTCGAGGCTGCTATCCGAAGTACGAAGGAGCACGTTCTTCTCAGGGTTTAGTTTGAGATTACCTATTGGATATGAAATCTTCGGAGTTGCTAAGACAGCCAGAATATCACATGGGCATGGAAGCGTTCAGAAAAGGTATAAGTGCTCATTTGGTACTATACCCTGCCTCAATCATCGTCTAACCCAAACTCATCCCCAACCAGATCAATCAGCTTCGCCAAGTGTTCGAACACCTCAGCATCCTGCCTAGCCACCCTCGTCGCTTTGAGAAGCAATGGGTACAACCTATGCAAATGCCTCCTATGTTGTGACCTGACTCCCGGGGCATCAGGTATAGCCTGCGGCTCGCTCTCCAACTGTCCCAGTTGCCCCAATACAAAGAGCAGCTCGCGTCTCTGCGACTCTGGCGCAGGCATACGACCGCGAAGTGGTTGGTCTGCGATATACGTTTTGAGGGGAAGTGCGCATCTCAAGATGAGGTATGGGGCCGCTGCTTTAGCCAGCCAGATACGTTCGCGACTACTGTCGTTCACGGCGACGAGATTGAAGAGCTCGAAAAGGCAAACATAGCTCATGTCTGGCCGCCAGGTGTAGTTCAGCTCAGCAGTCTGCCCTAAACGTGTTTTGTAAAGCCCCTCGAGCGGTGAGGTGCTGATGTCGGGTAGTTCTCCGGACAGAGGGCTGTGGACTAGAGATGTAGAAAAGAGGTTGCGCGCGTAGCTTTGCCGGAGACTATGTGGGAGAATATTCGAGCCAAGTGGTAGGGTGATTAGGTTGCGGAATTGGGTGAAAGACTGGATGTCAAACTGTTCGTCCTTCTCCAGAGAGACCGGGGCATTGGGTAATGGCTGTGCACGCGTAATGCAATGCGCAATATCAACAAGGGTGGTCCAGATTTCCTGACTTGACTTGATGTGTGGCAATGCCGACTCAAGTATAGCTGTAGATGTTGTCGTAGCCTTTTGCCATAAGGTCGGTGCTCGGCCCTCTCGCTGCCACATGTACTTTTCTTCAATCGGCTGTGCCAGACTGGTAAAAGCGAATGACAGTGCATCAGTCGTGTAAATCTCTTTCAGCTCAGCATGTTTGACAATGATGTCTTGCAGCAGCGTCATTGAGGCTTTTGAAAGTGCGACAAAGGTTGGCCCGCGCTTTCCCGGGAACTTGGCCAAAGAAGTGTATGGTAGCGAAATGAACCGGCCTAACATGCGTATCAGATATGGTGGAATGTCTTTGTCTTCCTCCGTTTTGACCATCCTTAAGCATTCCATCACTCGACTCTGAAGAGTGGTCATAGTGTCCAGATCCGAAGAGTAAGCGACTTCATCCGAGTTAACAACACACGCTTCAAGATTCGCAAGCATCAAAGGCAGATCCTTGACAAGAAGCCGATCCGAGAGGCGGTAGATCGCTTTGAAAGCCTCTGCATACGCCACGAAAGCGTCTTGGTTGTCCTCTTCGTGTACTTCTTGCCAAGCGTCTGAAGAGGAAAAGTAGCTTCTCCATACCGCTGCAGTCTTGAGAAGAGGATCGGTATTCCACACCTGAGTATTTTCGGCATGGGAGAGAACACCTGTCATTGTGCCGAATACTGAAGCCCCTAGCGCATGCGAGTGGTATTCGAAGTAGCGATTCAGGAGTTCCAGTAGCTCTGACCATGCGTCACCAAGCTGAGATGTATCGAGTTTTTCCATATAGGTGGTGTTGAGAACGGTGAGGGTCTGGAGAACCACCTTGGTAGTCTCATCCCATTCCTTGTGGTCGTCTTTGCGTGAAGTTTGTATCCGAACATCGTTCTGAATGTTCAAATTGGCCTCCACCATACCGAACAGGATTGTACGAAGGCAAAGCAACCAAACTGCCGACGACAACTGATCTGAACAGTTCTCGAAGATCCTCTGTATCGTTTGGATCGCAGAGTGCCGCACCTCGATGCGTTCATCCGTTGTGATGGATGAAAGATTGAGCAAAACTTGAAGCCACAATGCCGCAGTCTTTCCTTCTCGTGAATATGTGCTTACGGCATCTTCGACGTCTTTCTTGCCACTAGTCTGAGTAACAACCTCCACCAATGAGGAGAGATCAGTCCGCGATTGTAGGTAGTCCGACACATTCCAAAAGAAGGTGATCGCCTGTACCAAGTTAGATACGTATCACGCGTTTGAAAGAAGAAACTCACGGTAAGAGACATGTTCAAGTCCTCTCTCTGGGAGCAGAATCTGCGCAAGAGTTCTAAAAGCGTGGAGAGACAAGCATCCGGAACAGCAGTCATGAAATCTGAGCAGACGAGGTTGGCCGTCACAAAAGCCGATCGAGCAAGAGATCTTGAAATGACGTCTGTAGTGGAACTTGTGGCTTGACTGTTTTCAGAGGCCTCGGCGTCTTTCGGGTTTCCGTGCGCTAATGGCAATTTTTGTGTGAAAACACTCATCAAGCTCTCAATAACAGAGGTCCAGCCGGCAACTAGAGACTCTCCGCATTGCTCAATCACGCTCTTAAGTGCTTCTAGAGCTATTTGATGTACCCGTATATCAGTGTCGCTGATCGTGTCTTTGTTGACCCCATCATAATGATGGACGTCGGTAATCTGCTTTTGCAGTGCAGCAAGTATGCGAGCCTGTATTTCTTCGCGTTGATCGTCAGACATGGAGAGCTCAGCGATCTCCCTAATTGTCCTTGCTAAGATGTCGGCTGCCAGCAGCCTTGTAGGCGTCGCTTTTCGACTGTCAGTGGAGTAGCGTATAACCTCTCGAATCAGGATGTCCCATCCACTATCAGCGGGATCATATTGCGACAACCTGCTTTCGTTCAATGACGCCAGCTCCCCAATCTTGTTCAACGCAAATGCCGAGTCGCGGGAGTTAGCATCTGTGTTGAGACCGATTCCTGATGCGCTACCGAGACGCCGATGCGAAACCTGAGGACGGCCGGAGGTAATCGGTGTTCTTTGTCCGCTCTCTGATGAAGATACCCCGTTTAGCAGTGAGCAAAGCGCTTGTAATACCTCGGAAAAGGACTCATTAGGATAGTCAACTGTACTTTCAAAGAGTCTACGCGCAGCACTCTGGACAGCTGAAGTCTCTGCCTCCAATTTCTCTGTATTTGTCTCCATATCCGCACGGCTTCCAGATCCAGATGCGCGACTGCTGTTCTGGCTCGACAACGCCATCACGAGATCGGCTACTTGTAACGTCTCAAAGACGATAGACCAGGCTGATTGCAGCGTCGGCCCCAACGCGATTGCAAGATTGAGAAGAGCTCGCAGACACAATAAGTTTCGAGGGCCCAGTGTGGGGGCTGTAACATCGTGTGAAGGACGCCGGTTCTTGTCGGTGGACATTGAGGAAGCTTGACTCACGAAGCTGTCCACGCTGAGCATTCCTCTCGCATTAGAGAAGATTCCAGGCTTCTCGTTAATAGGCGACGAAGCATTAGCTAGCAGCAAGTTCGATGGGACAGCTGCTTTACCCATGGTAGTGAGGAATGCATCTCGTGGCGTTGACAGTCTTAGCAGTCCGGCAACTTGAGTGAATTTTTGTATGGCTCGGATTAGAGCCCTGTAATAGTCCGTGTCAAGCGTAGCATTAAGGAATGTTGAGCAGGTTGCAAGGACTGCAGGCCAGCATTCCGTGACCAAGTTTGTCGAGGTCTGCACGAACGAGTAAGCCGGGTGATCGGTCAGATCCAGAGGATTGACTGGTATAGTCTTTTTACGGAAAGAGTGAGTCCTCGAGAGCTTCCGAATGTTTCGATCTGGCGATGCGACATCCGTGTCGTCTTCATTCGTTTCTTCGGCTTTGGTTTTCTTTCGGCTTCTGCTCTCATGATGTACAGTAAGAGGAAGCACAAATTTTGCTAGACTTTCAGAAATGTTGGTGATGCACGTCAATACCAGGCTGTAGATGTACGTTTCAGGTAATGCAGGCGGGTCGGTTTTGTCGAGGTGTTCGATGCATGGAGTTTTGAGAGAACTCCATTGCATACTGATGCCAGAAGGACGAGCATTATTGCTAGTATCGCTCACAGAACCACCTATGACGCCAGCTAATGCACCCGCTTCAGCGACAGCTTGATCCGATACCTCTTCTTCAAAACCAGCGGCAGCTGTTGACTGCTGACCTAAGCCAATCGCCGCTGGCTTTTCAGTCGCAAGGCGCACAAAAGCCGCTAGGTTGTCTCCAAATATGTTCTTCTTTCCGCTTTCTGCATCAAATAGGGCATAGATTGCTAGGAGAAGTCTGGAATCGGCGTAAATGCTGCGGAACACCTCGAGACAAAGAACTCTCTTCCATGCCTGAGAGGCCTCAGGATCGAGCATATGGTTCAAAAGACCGAGCGCAATCTCGCATTCGGATGGAAGCGTGTCAAGGTGATACCGAATGATCAGATGTAGTATCCGAATGATTCGCACAGTCACCGCAAAGGATAAGCGATCGGATAGCGAGCGGATGATCAGCGGCATTAACTGGGTTCGCATAATGTAAATCTGTTCCGGATGCGTCGTCATAATCTTGTTGTGGTTCGAGAGGATTGCTTCGATCAGCTCCAGCGTCGAAGCTGGCGGCAGCGAAGCAAATCGCATGAAGACTGGCTTCTCTCCAACAATGAGTGCGATGAGATCGGTAAACATCTAAACCTCATCAGTAAAGCTACTGGTATTTAAGGAGATGACGGACCTTGTAGGCATCGTTCGCAGCTGGTCTGACTGAGACTTGGCCATCATCGCCTTTCACCTCCGTCACGGTAGGGATTTCTAAGGCTTTCTCTTTGTATTTGGTCAGCCTATAACATGTTTGTTGCTTGATTCAGCATAATACCATCTTCTGACGCAACTCTGTCGAATACGACAATCACCAATTGTTGCAACGTGGCTGCAGCCGTGTTGCTGACAGCAAAGTTCTTCGCATTTTGGAGACTTGAACATATTTGCAGAACAGCGGATAATGACTCGCTGCGTATTTCTGCGGGATAGTTCTGAAGCAGTGAAGGTAGCGCCTGCAGTATCTTCAGCTGGATATCATGGCCTGGCAGCGTTAGCTATGTCGAAAGCATCATGCTCAGCCTTCTTTACTTGATGGTACAGATTGCTTGAACGCTTCAAGTACTTCTGTTAGCCGTTCTCGTGGCAACGCTCGCGAAACGCAAAGCCTCTGGAGACATGATATCCCAGTAGATGCAAATTTGGCATTTTGAGTTCCGCAGGCAATCAAAAAGGGTGAGATGAAATGTGGTCGTCGGGAGAGATCTTGATTCCGTCAACATATGCAGACCAAGTGACAGTAGGCATCTCACCAGCCGAGAGTTGGGCTTCTGAAGTATTGGGAAGCGACTTCAAGTCCTTCAAGGCCGTTTCTGCAGCATTGCGTAGCTCGGTATTCTTGCGTTTTGCATCCTGTATGAGGTTGCCTAGTTCAGCCGCCAAGATTTGAGCTGTCATTCTTTTGTTATGAGCCTAAGCATCTGGACGGTCCTTCCAGGCAAAGGAGCGACTTGAGAGTTGGGTATTGGGTTGTTGTTCTGTCGAATCGCTAAAGGCAACGTTGTCGCGTCTGGGGCGACGGGCCAAGCGATTCACGCGTGCCAGGTGAGACCCTGGTCCACGGGTGCCTCGTCATAGCCATCGACGCTAGTGGGCCCGACAGGCATGTTTGGACAAACATCCATCCTGCTGTCACCCAGCAACTTTACAATTGCGCCTGACTACGAGTATAGAGCCAGCAACTTACACTCTAGCTACATTAGCTACAAAGCTCAATCAAAACTCTCCACAACCGTCAACAGCTGCCAATATCGCATAGCGGGGTCCATCCCACTTCCTCACGCGCCACACATCTGCTCAGCCTTCACACATAACCACCGCTACTATGGGCGCTAAAGTTCCGCGCAACTTCCGCCTGCTGGAGGAGCTTGAGAAGGGCGAGAAAGGTCTCGGTGCCGGTATGGTAGACCCGTGGTATAGCCTTGGGTGACAGGGTACTGAGAGTTTACAGAGGCCTGTTCATATGGTCTTGACAATGGCGACGACCTGCTGATGTCCGACTGGAACGGCACTATCCTCGGCCCACCACACGTATGTGCTCTTTTCGTCACGTCGTAGTTTGCATATTGACCCCGTTGCAGAGCGTCCACGAGAACCGCATTTACAGCGTATCGATCCACTGCGGCCCTGACTACCCTGACACTCCTCCGGAGATCAAGTTCACAACCAAGATCAACCTACCCTGCGTCAACCCTCAGAATGGAAAGGTGCGATAGTTGGAGTCGTAGATACTGGACGGATACTGACGATACCAGGTCGATGGGTCGAAGTTGCCATGTCTGGCTCAATGGAAGCGCGATTTCACCATGGAGACGATACTGATAGAGCTTCGAAGGTTAGAACACTCATCAATTGAAATGACGCAATACTAATTGGGTATCAGGTATATGGCGCTGCCTCAGAACAAGAAGCTTCCACAGCCACCCGAAGGCGCGATGTTCTAAAGGAATCGCGGACAGCCTGACCAGAAAGGAAATTTTGGTCATGATTAATATGGGCACAGGATATGATGCATGAAGGACATGAATGCGCATGGAACGGAGTTATGTTCTGCTAGCGTAGCCATACAGTCTGGCAAGAATCCAGGATTATCAACAACATATTTTACTCCATCTTGATCCTTTGTCGGGCTTGCAGAGTCTTTGAGGAAGCTTTGGCGGCAAGTCGTTGAAGTGTGCTCCTAGACTGGCAAACATCGAGGACGTCCATACGTATAATGTTGTACCTTGAAAAGAGGTGGTGCGCACGTGATATGTAACATCGCAGCCCAAATCCTTCGCGTTGCGGCGCAGGCCTCGGACCTCCACCACCGAGCCATCTCATGCATGCCCCGATTCCTCCAGCCTAAACGGTCGACACAACACCGTGTAGCAGGTTAGACATTGAGCCTTTTGTCATCTGCCAATAATCTCTAACACCGTTCTTAGCAATCGCTCTCTATCGAGCCTTGCTGTCGCGATGCTCCTCCGCTCCTCTTCCAGATGACGACCGTCTCTCTTTATTCAACGCCATCCGCAACAAGTTTCGGCGGAACAGAAAGATCCAGAGCCCATACCAATTAGGTCTGAGTTTCAAAGCTGGCTATGAGGTATTTCTATACCACTGCAGCTTTAACACCATCAATTGACAAGGTATAGACGCTCGACCATCTCGATGCCTCCGCTACTGGAGACACAGCCAGCGCAAGCACTCTGACGCAACTGATCTCCCAATTGCCTCGTGGTCTAACACGCGCCCCTCCAATAAGACCGTACGAAAAGACAACGCTACCAGACCTTCCCAAAGAACGGCTTGCGTGCCTTCCACCCGAGAGAGCCGTCCTAAACGTGCGACCCTACGCAACAACCTCTGGACCCCGCCGCGTCCCTGTCCTCGCCTCCGCAAACGGTGTGCCCTTCCTGCGCCTCACGAAGCCGCAACCTCCAGCGCTAAGTCGCGTCATCCAACAACGACTACGACGCAAGATCGAGCTCTTCGACACGAGGGTCCTCCTGGAAAATTGGTGGCTGCCCATATGTCAGCAGGAGGACGTGTGGGACGTACTCATAACTGCGCAATTGAGGGAGCGCGAAGATACTGTGAAATGGGCCGATGCGATCCATGATTCAGCGAGGGCGAACCAGGAAGCACACGAGGCGGACATCAGGAAGGATAGAGAGACGACGAAGAAGATGCAGAGGATTGTAGATATGGAGACTGAGCTTGCGCTCAAGGAGGGGCAGACGATTGTGAGGGGAAGGAAGAGGCATCCTATACGAGTCATCAAGCCGGAATCATGAGCACAATATACTGTCTTATATTTTGCTGTACCTGCGCTTTGCAAGATGGGTATATATCCGACCTGACATGCCATGCCAATGCCCTGCCATCACTATGAACTCGTTTCAATCTTCAACTTCCCTACATCCACCGCGTCCACACCATCGTCATCATCATCGTCATCATCCACCTTGCCAACCAAGCCCTGCTGCCACAGCTCTTTACCCGTCAATTTCTTCTCCTCCTTGACGATTCTCTTCTTCTTATCCTCCAGCTCCTTCTCCTCTTCCTTCCGCCTCTTCTCATCCTCCATCTCCTTCCGAAACCTGTCTCGCCATGCGAGGAACGTCTCTCGTGTAACGGCCTCACCTTGAAACTTCTTGTTCTCTTCCTCCTCAGCTTTGGCAGCGGCAATGTCGGCGAGGGCTTGCTTCGCGTTTTGGCGCTCGGTTATGAGGAGTTCGGCGCTGTCTTTGAGGACGGTTACGAGGGTGAAGATCATGGCCATGCCGAGGTTTTCTTCTATCGTCTCTGTGAGCGAGTCTAGCAGGCGTTGCTTGTCTTCTTGTATGTCTAGGTATTGGTGTCGTGGCGCGTTGGGTGGTTGTGTTACGTCGAGTCGGGGGGCTTCGTCGGGGTAGTTGGGCGGATAGGAGACATTTAGGATGATGACAGCTGGTGGGCGTGAGTTGAGGTCTGTCTGTAGATATGATGCAGTCGCATACGTTGCTCCTCTTCGGTTTCATCGTCTTCGTGGCGGCCATCGTCGAGCGTTATTGCGATTCGGAATTCTGTCTCGGAAACATCTGCGGAGGTGTTAACACATGGTGGGAAGTCGTTGCGCAAGGTAGCGCTACCTGTGATCTCGTCGGGGAAGATGGACTCGAGCACCTCGCGCTCTTCTTGTTGGTCTTCGATACCCATTGTGTAGAGCCAAGTAAGGAAATTAGTAGAGTGATGGCATCTGCAAGTGACGCTGAGGCTGCTTTGGCGGGGCGCGCTTTCCCCACGTTAGCTCCGTCCGACTGCCGATCGCGAGAAATATTTTTGGGAATCTGGAACTGCGACATCTGCAACCACCACACCACCCAAATCTCACAATATGGCGAAAACGAAACCTACCGATCGCAAGGCAAAGAAGAGCGCAAAGAGCGGTGCAGTAAAAGAGTCGAAAAAACCAAAGGCGTCACCGGAAGAACTTTTGATTCAAGCCGCTACCTTTCTACAAACATCACAACCCGAAGAAGCGCTGGTCGCCGCACGAAGAGCCCTCAACCTACTCCAGCCCGGCACGTCGAAACCCACTGCTGCAGTGCTACCTGCACTGAACCTCCTCGGCGAGATCAATGTCGAACTGGGCGATCCAGACTCTGCGCGCGAGGCCTTCCAAGCAGCGATTGTAATCGACCCAGAAGGCGCGAACGATGGCGCTGAGAAATTCCTATGGCTAGCACAATTAAACGAGGAGGGAGGCGCTGAGAGTGTGCGGTGGTTCGAGAAGGGCATTGAAGTGCTGAAGAGGGAGATCAGCGAGCTGGAAGGCAAACGGGTGAAGAAGGACGAAGTCGAGGAGCTGCTAGAAGAGAAAAGGCAAAAGATAGCGAACTCGCTCTGTGGTATTGCTGAAGTCTACATGACGGATCTGTCCTGGGAAGAAGATGCCGAGGCGCGATGCAACGCTGCCGTTACTGAAGCACTACTTTTCGCACCCGAAAACCCAGAACCCTTACAAACGCTCGCATCAATACGCATCTCGCAGCTCAAGCCCGACGAAGCCAAATCCGCACTGACACGGAGCATGGATCTTTGGAAAGACCTCGACCCAGACAATCCCAAGGTCCCAGACTATTCGACTCGCATCAGTCTGTCACGCCTGCTCATGGAAGCTGAGATGGAAGACGAGGCGATTGAAGTGTTGGAGCGGTTAGTGGGCGAGAATGACGGCAGTGTCGATGCTTGGTATCTGGGCGGTTGGTGCCTGCACCTGCTGGCGGGAAAGCAAAAGACCGAAGGAGAGGAGAAGGTTGCGACATCACTACTGCGTGCCAGTCGCGATTGGCTGGAGAACTGCCTCAAGCTCTACAACATGCTAGAGTGGGAGGACGAGCGTCTGAAGGAGCACGCTGATGAGATATTGAAGGAGCTCAACGACGTACTCGGCCCCTCTACCGGCGAGGAAGATGAGGACTGGGAAGACGCGGATGAGGAGATGGATGATGATGACGATGACGACAATGAGAAGATGGACGGCACGTGAATGGGAAAGTATATCGTTACAGACCGGCTTGGCCGTGTTGAGGCCGTCGTTGGTCAGCGATACGCGGCTCCGCTGTGAATGGGACCGAAATTGGGGATATTGGGCAGCAGGGGCAGCAATGTTGGGATGTCACAACTGAAATAGTAGGGGCTGCAAGTGTCTGGGACATATCAGCGTACTTACAGTAGAAGCTGGATGTAGTGTAGATTTATTTGATACCCAGGGTGCGTGGATGGATAGCAGAAGCACGACCTGAGGCAGGCAGTTGGCAGCACCAGCGTGGGACGGGGCCCCTGCATGTGGGATGCCGCCGCGAACCTATGTAGGATGGGCACTAGGATGCTGTCAGTGGTGCCGTGACAGCTCCTGAATAGACGAAGCCACACGCCAATCATTCCCCGCTTTGCGAGCTACTGAGGTCGCGTCCCGCTTCGAGGTGCGAACGCGAAGCAGAGGCGCATCGGCGACGTGAACAGAATGTGTGTGTGTAGGACGAGTCGTCGTCGCCCGTAGCAGCAGGGCGCATGCGGAGCGAGTGCGCCAGTCGCTTGCAGGGGAGCTCCCCCATTGGCGAGGGCAGTCCAGGTGTAACACCAAGGTGCGGTGGATGGGATGAGACATGGCCTGCGCTTGGCAGCTCTGTCGACGTTGCCGGCGCCGCCAACGCCACGAATAATCAATCATGCTCATCGAGACCAAGACCGCCCTGGGGAGTTGCCGCAAAGCCAAAGTGACGCTGCGCCATCGCCCTCGCCCGCCGACGTGGTGCCTTTAGATCCCAACCCACAAAAGTCGCGCCCTTTCCGGCCGTCCCTCGCGCCTGCTCCGACAGATGCTCAGACCGCCCCACACCCGTACACATCGCATTCGACGAAGAGTGCGTCGCAAACCCTCGGCCGCAGCTGAGGCGTCTTCCCAACCGAGCCCGGGCATGCCATGATCTGGTATCTTCTTTATCCGCTGCGTGGGTGAGTCGCTGCTGCCCCATAACACGCGTCCGACTCTAAACCCATCTCTAGTACCACTGAACCACCACGGCTCGACACCTCGCACCCCATCCGCCGCGCTTTCCAGGCCCACGGCACCGCCACCGCCCGCCATTGGCTGCTCTCCATTGTCCTGACCATCACCATCTCCGTCCTCCTCTGCTACCAGGCCGTCTTCCAGGCCGACAGCTCGGCCGCCGCTGCCCTCCGCAATCTGCCCAAGCATGTCTGGACATCGACCACCGAGGTCGAGGGCGAGCGCCCCGCCGATGTCGTGGTGCGCCAGGTCTGGGTGCATGGCGACTACATGAATGCAATTGCCCTGCCGGTGCTGCGCGAAGCTATGCATGTCCAGGAAGTGCTTATCAACGGCGGGTTGGATACGCGAGAGAGCGCTGCGTACGACGACCAGCACATGCTCCAGCGCGATGCTCCGGGCTGTCTTGTCGCACCCGCTGGAGAGAAGTGGGGTTGGCACTCGCCGCTGATGTACTGGAACTGCTCGCTCGGCGCGCTGGAGAAAGACGACAACCTTCTCGATACCATTAACGCCCATAATCGCATTCGCTCGGCACTCAATGTCACCCTGCGCCCGAGCACCGTCTTTGCCGGCAAATCCTTCTCAGCCACCAAACTTCGCGCCGCGGATGCGTTGGTTATCACGCTGTTCGACCAGACCAACTCGAGCTTGGGAGATACTTGGGACTCACGGTCGCGCCTTCTGGCTGAAAAGCTGTCTCCAGACTGGTCCATCTTCCCACCCGACGGCCAGGTCGGGCGAAGTCGACTCTACGAGTTCCGGTTCAAGCCGATGACTTTGAACGACGACTTGTTCTTAGCAGCGTCCTACCTAGTGACCGCAGTTTATGTCATATGGAGAATGATGCAGCTGCGAGCAGTCAAGAGTTGGTTTGGTCTGCTTGTAACCATATGTGCCAAGGTAGGCTCACTCCTGATGTTACTACTCCCACTGCTAAATCACCGGGCAGATGTCCATATGCGTCATCGCCAGTTTCACACTCTGTACCTATCTTGGAATTGATTTAGCGCGAATACCCCGCCCATGGTTTCCTGGAGTTGTCTTTTGTTTTGGATTGGGCAATATGTGCGTACACTGTTGCTTCTCCTCTAACCTGGCTAACACGACTAGATTTCGTTTGATCAATGTCGTCCTCGAGACACCCCCGGAGATGCCCCCTCACCAGCGAATCGGAAATGCGCTTGGTGAAGTCGGTCACCTATCCCTTGCTATTGCTTTTCAGAATTTGGCCCTCTTGTACATTTGTTCCCGCCTAGTTTCACCCTGGGTAGCCGACTTTTGCGTCTTTGCTGCCGTCACTCTGGTGTTCGACCTTGTTTTCCACTTGACCTTCTTTGTCGCTGTTCTCAGCGTCGACGTGCAGAGAATGGAACTCTCGGACTCACTGGACCGTGCCGATCTCACTCAGAATAACAAGAAGGGAGCAGAACGACAGTCTTGGCTTGGGGCGTTGTTGGAAGGTACCCTACCCCTCAGCACGCGCTTTGCTGGCACAGTCGCGATCTGTTCCATTATTCTCGCTATCAACTGGCACTTTTTCGATAGTGATGGCAAGCAATTGTCCATTGATACGCTTCGCCAAAATCTCACAATCAGGAAACGGAGACGTACCCCTGACAGCACATGGAGCCCACCACCAATCAATCAGGCTAGGACCCCCGCTGACTGGCTTAGGATCCAAGATCACAATACTGCCCGGGAACTGTTTGGTTTCATCAAGCCAGGTGCTTCGAGCTTCGTAGCTCGTATCTACGACCCCATCCTCGTGGTTGCGAAAGGGGCATACGGGCGCGACCGACCTCAGCCGCCGCTGTCTTTCACCGATGGAGTTCGCCACTTTGCGCAAGGACATGCGTTTCCGGTAGCCTTGCTTGTCGTTACGTTTATCGCGGCTGTAACATTATTCATGAACTATCTTCTCTGGACTGGACTTCCGAAAACTTCTGAAGAGACTGAAGATGACGAAGTCACATTGTCTATCAAGACATTGCCAACGCCGCAGAACCTCGACGTTGTGCAATTGGCCTCTTGCTCGAGAGGACATCTTGCTAGTATATCTCTCGACCGGAGTACCGCACTGTGGCTACATGGCCGCGGGGGATATTTGCACACAACGCTGCAAACAGCAACGATGAAGCCAAAGCTCTGGCCCATATATGCTACGGCTATGGACGATGGTGGCAACATCCTTGCGATCTGTGCAGACACCGGTCAGTCGGCTTATGGGATATCCCAGCATCACGGTTCCTTCTGTTTCCCAAGATCGATATTCGTGGACAGGCGCCCGTTTTGTTTACCTTTGCCTACCTCAAGACACGTTTAGATGTCGAAAAGCTCTACCTTATCATCATCACACCAGACGGACACCTGACCAGGCTCGAAGCACGCACAGGCATCCACTATACCAGGCGCATATCAAGCAGTCCCATCGTCTGCACCACAACTTACACCTCACTCAAGGGCGACACCAGCGTTGTGTTCGTAACGAAGCCTGGCGAAGTCCACATCCTGCCGCTTGTGGAGGAGTGCAATATGATGTCCGAGGTAGTCGCCGGTCTCGACCCCGGGCCACCTCCAGGCAGCAATCCCGCAAAGATCCGATGCATAGAGGCTGTTCCCAGTCTAGGCCTTATTTTCGCACTCCGCGACGAGGAAGCTGAGATATTCGACTTCACGAGCCGAGCGCTCGTACACTCTTTCCAGATCGGTCACGTCAAGCCGCACTCCTTCAGGGTCTTGTATCCTATGCGACGAACATGTCAATGTGGAGCTCCAACAGTGAACTCACTTGCTGTCGCATACACAGAGCAGGACACAGACCACATGATCATGCAGAGCTTCTCCCTCGACGACAACACGTCGTCACAAATATGTCTCGGAAAACCGCTGGACAGAGAGAAGCACAGATGCCGGGGGCTTGATCATGCGAAGGAGGCAGTGTATTATGTCGAGCCTGTCGGAGCCTGGGAGGCGACAGATGCGCTCAGTGTCGTGGGGGTCAGGAGGTGTTTACAATCACCTACGCCATCATCCACGACTTCAGGCACGGATGAATCTAGTCAAAGCGTGGATCCCGTGGCGCTCGCGTCGGCGCTCAAGCAGCGAGCTCAAAACCAAGGCAGTCCGAAGGCCACCAAATCCTTAAGGGGGGTCTTTGCAAAGGGCAGTCGAAGAGGCTTCGTTGGCGACACCGACACATGGGAGGCCTGGACACTCTCAAGCACAGGCGAGTTTCGCTCACGACCACTCGTTCCGGATAACCTTGACGGCACCACAGTGGTCCCTTATGAAGACGAGCTTTTTGTAACAGATCCTGGCCCGATGACTAGACTAGGGAAGCGAAGCGTAGTCGTCGGCTTTGGCAACACTGTGAAGGTTATCACTTTGGGTAAAGAATCGTTCGATGGCTTGACAAACCTCCAGAGTAACGCAATGGATATTGGCCTTGGGTCGTACAAGTGGAGGGCCCGCAGAGGTACTGGCAGGAAAGTACAGTGAGTATTTGCATATGTTTGGCGTAACGGTACAGGTGGGCTCGGGCTCTGGGTGGTGGGTGTGATCTACGTGCAACTTCAGCTCTGGTGTTAGACTACGGATATACCCTATGCGCAGTAAGCGCGGCGTTTTCAGTGAGGCTCTTCCGGCCTTGGCCTCCGTGGGGAAATTAGCAATGTACTATATGATTGATCATTCGCAGCGACTGGAGGCTTCACTTCAACGTCATGGAGCCAGCGTGTACATCAACCTGTGGCAATGCTCCATCAAGCAGGTGGTTTGCCGACACCCAATCGGCGGGATGAAGCGCACCTATAGCTTGTATAGCGACAGTGGAAGCCCCGCAGCAGACGTCGATGTGCATAGACAGCCACAAGTCGCACATACCGAGCCGGCTATCCGCCTAGGCAGACGGCAGTGGTGAGCAGGCTGCATCGCCGCGTGTAGCAACGAAGGACAGGATCAAGCTTGGTTTGGACCGCGCGTTGGGGTACATTGCATTGATGGACGAAGGCCGAGGGACGTCATGTGGCGTGTGGCTGAGGCGAGCAGTTGTGCAAGGGCAGGGTCTGAGGACGGTGTGGTTTTGCGGGGCTAGAACAGGGGAAGAGCCCTTGAGAAAAGGGCCCACGCGACCCCCGTGGGTAGTCGATCGAATCGCGGCACATGCTCAAGTCTGCACCCTCCGTTCATACAAGACATCCCGACCGCCCAGAGCCGCAGGTGTCTTCCTTTTTCTTTTGCGCGCAGGCATTGCTATCCCCAATTGGTACGTCATTCCTCCTTTGGCCTGCGAGTGCTGTTGTTCAGAATTTACCCTTTCACATGCGCCGAAGCCACTATCCATGACCTCCCAACTCTTCCACCGCCCAGCCAGCACCACATTACACCAAAAGACTAACCATGGCGTAGTTCACGCATCATCATGAGTAAAGCACAATCACCATACGATTCACTCCGGAACATACCGCAGTACTACGACAACTCGGACTCGGAGAACTCGGCCCTCAACCTCATACTTGCGCTGCGGCCAGAATGGGAGGAAACCAAGGACACAATTGAGTTTGTTCGGTTTACCGATGGCATCACGAACACGGTATGCATACATTAGCAGCCATGCACTGGCAACGGCCCCCTTTCTACACGCATGGCTAAGACGACGGATAGCTTCTGAAAGCGGTGAACAACCTGCCCGGCCTGTCCAAGACCGAGGTCGACGACGACGCGATATTGCTGCGAGCATACGGAAAGGGAACAGACGTCCTCATAGACCGCGAGAGTACGTGACCATACACCGCCGTCACCCCCGAGACTAAACAAGAAAACTAGAGGAAACCCGCTCCCACTCGCTGCTCGCACGCCACAATCTCGCACCCTCTCTCTACGCGCGGTTTGAAAATGGTCTCCTATACAAGTACATTCCAGGCGACGTATGTACGCCTGAAGATTTGCGACGGCCAGACGTATGGCGAGGAGTAGCTCAGAGGCTGGGAGAATGGCATGCCACATTACCTATATCGAGTATTAGCAGCACATGTCCCGCGCCCGCACAACTCACATCTCACAACAACAAGCGTGCGTCTCTAGCCGCCATGGCGACCCTCACGCCAGGCAAGCCCATCCCGAATGTGTGGACAACAATGCAGAAATGGATCCTCGCGCTGCCGACCGACACAACGGCGCAGGCCGAGCGGCGCGACCAGCTCATGCAGGAACTCGAGAGCTTAGTAGCATTGCTGGGTGACACGCCCGGTGTGGGCGGCTCGAATCCGTTTGTCTTCGCCCATTGCGACCTCCTCTCCGGCAACGTGATTCTCGAGCCTACACCGTCCTCTGCCTCTGCCTCCCGCCGCTCTAGTGCGTCGAGCGGGTCGGACTCACCAGAGACTGCTGCTGCATGCGTGTCCTTTATCGACTACGAGTACGCAACTCCTGCTCCTGCTTCCTTTGACATTGCAAACCATTTCGCCGAATGGGGCGGTTTCGACTGCGATTACTCCGCCATGCCCACACGCACCATCCGCCGCGCTTTCCTCCGCGAATACCTCCGCAGCTTCAGCGCGCACCAGAATAAAAGTTACAAGGAGGAGGAGCTGGAGATGCTGTTTGAGCAAGTTGATCGCTTCCGTGGGGTTCCAGGGTTTTATTGGGGCATCTGGGCGTTGATCCAGGCGCAGATCTCGCTCATCGAGTTCGACTATGCAAGTTACGCTGAGATAAGGCTGGGCGAATACTTTGCGTGGAAGAAGACGCTTGATGGCGGGGTGGAGACGGAGAATGAGCGTATGGTGCTGAGAGAGAAGGTTTGGGCGCAGGAAGAGTAGGAAAGGGAGTAACTTACCACCATGGTATGCTGAGGAGTCAAGAGAGTGGAGAAAGCTGGTTCGGCTGAACATTCAACATGCTTTTCATTGTTCATAGGGCGGGCGCCTTGTTTTCCTTTTCTTGTTCGCTATCAGCTAGAGCACTCACCTTGTTCGCCATTTCTTTACACGCTTAGCACGTTTAATACCAACTTAGAGCACGTTCGTTATGCGACTGTTACCAAGTCAAGACTCCACCCTGGAGCCTGCATCGACGTTAGGTCACCCACTTTGCATGTTTTTAATCTTGATGTAGTCCCCAGATCTGTTCAAGTTTTGTGTCTTGTATGAGGTGGCAGCAAAGCCCTGATCTCCTAATTGTAGACAGCACTCGAATGATTTTCATCTACTCGAGACTTGCCAGCACCTCCTTGAATAAGAGAGAGGTGGATCAACAGCTAGAGAAGGTGCTGCTTTCTTTGCTTCCAGTGTACGGGTCACTCGAGATGCCCTTGTGCTCGACGTCTCCGCTTCCTATAGTATCCTGCGCATGAGCGCCCCAGGCAGCTCTCAGGCCCGTCTCAGATCAACCTTCCACCACGACTCTCATGCCGATGCATGTAACATTGCCTCACAAGCTTCTCCTCTTATTTGCGCCGAAAATAGGCGCTGGGCGCGTGGACATAGAAGCGTATCTCGGATTATTCAGTCATAAACCTCACACTATACACGTCAGCACGATCCGCTTTCTCCCAAGTTCTCCTCCGTAGGCATACATACCATCAAGATAATCCGCAGCAATCAACAACTCCAGACAAAGCTCAGGCGGGATATCCATGTCCGACACGTCTTTACTCTCTGCGTGCTTCTGGTTGTAGTATAGGTATTCGCAGACTTTCTCCAGCACCACACCGCTGCATACCACTGTTAGCCTACTCTCTTGTGATATACCATCCGGTGAAGGAGTGCCGGTGCATAGGGACGGGAGGGAGGCATGGTCGGAGGCAACGTACTTGATCGTAGGCAGGTCAACGCGGTTCTGTGCGTTTTCCCGGAAACCAGCTGTCATGTGTTAGTCGGGTTGTGTAATCATATATGTGAGGAAGAGCGACTTACACAGTGGATCCAGTGCTTTCTTGATCGTTCCTGCTATACAGGCTGCTGAGCGGAGGATCTTGAATTCGAAGCCGTCGTTTGAGACGAGGGTGACGTATTCGGTGGGTTTGTCGTCGGCCATTGTGGTGTGCGGTATATGCTGCGAGTCTGATAGCTTCTGGGGTTGTGATCCGGAGGCGGGGTGTTGAATATGGATCGTCGAGTGGGATGCTGAGTGAGAGAGATGGTGGATATCGCGGGGAAAGATCGCGCTGTCACGTTTTCTCGCGTGGGCGAACGTTGAGATTGGGAGTGGATGGCTTACATCATCTTTCTACATCGAACTCTACTTTCTTGCTTCGTAGAACGAATCCCTTGAACAAGTACGAGGATCAGTTCTGAACGAAGATTCAAACCCAGAGACAATTCCCTCCCCACCGTTGAATTGAGCGCATTCCACAAACACAAAGTCACCCTATCCCATCACCATGGCAAATCGCCCACGACACGTCCTCATTACAGGCGGCAGCCGAGGCATCGGTCTCGCAATCGCACAACTCTTCTCCAAAAACGCCTACCGCTGCACCTTGATCTCACGCTCAGAATCCAATCTAAAAGCCGCCGTAGCAAGCCTAACACCTCTCCCATCCCCCTCATCCCAAGACACACCTCCACATCCCGAAGCAGAAACGCCGGAACCAACAACATACCAACACGGCTACATCGCAGGCGATATATCCCTAGGCTCAAACTTCTGGCACTTACACCCCTCGCGCCCTTTCATCGCACGTCTACCCAAGCCAGAGCGCACGGCGTTTCCGACACATCCTTCTCGCATCGATGTTGTGGTAAACTGTGCGGGTGTTACGCAAGCGAAGCTCTTCTCGGCATTGCATGAAGAGGATCTGGAAGGCATTGTTAGGATCAACCTTACTTCTATGATGCTGGGGACCAAGTTTCTATTACGGTATGCATGCCAACCCCAACTGCGTTCACTCTAGTTATGTTCGTCTCTTTTCTTTATGTACGGTTTGTTGACTTGTTTACGTTTGGAACAGAAATGGGTATCTGAGAGGTAGGAGTCAAGATGAAGGTGAGGATCCGGTCATCATCAATGTCAGTTCGCTACTGGGCTTGCAAGGCGGTTATGGAGCCGTTGCGTATGCGGCGTCGAAAGCAGGTGTTTTGGGGTTTACTCGCGCTTTGGCTACGGAGTATGCGAGTCACAAAGTGCGGGTTAATGCCATTGTACCCGGATACGTGGAAACGGATATGACGAAAGGTGCGTGGAGTCACGATCGTGTTAAAGAAGGACTCCTCTAACCACAGCCAGATCTGAATAACGCTGAGCTTGAACAGCGCATTCCACTGAATCGTTTCGGCAAACCCTCCGAGATCGCTCACGCAGCATTGTTCCTCGCAGAAAACCGATATGCACATAACTGTGTGTTGAATTTGGATGGCGGCTTATCCGCCGTCTGATTGCATTAACTTTACTACACTTGTTGATGTCTTTCCCATTCAACTGCCATTCCGGCCTTGCAAGACGGCCCTGTGGCGTTCTCCAGATGTGCTTCCTTCCATCAAATGATCCAGACTGAGGTATGTAACCAGTGAGTCTCCCAAATACGCCCATTGCAAACGTTTCCATGCGACTGATTGGTGTATAGTACAAGAGAAAAAGAAAATCTATATGCCGTTTGCGCTTTGATGGCGCGCAGTTTGCGGGACTGGTGCTCGAGGTGCGGAGATACGGTGGGATGAGTAGAATGGCTGTCAAGAACGATTGAGCGCTGATGATCCAATGGCGGGGCAAGAAGAATGAAGCATATCGGATACTCCAAAAATCGTTTGTAGACGGCCAAAACAATCAGGAGGTCCAAGGTAAAGACGATACGCCAGGATACGGCCAGCAACAAAACTTTTGCTGTGGGTTTATTCAGTCGTCATCAATGACAATCGCTCCGTCTTTGTCGTCCTCAATGGTTATGTGGCCGTCGTTTTTCTTCTGCGACTCCTCCATGACCTTGCCCTTCTTCCGGATAAGGTCATCCTGCAGACCTGCTTCGCTGGCCGTGCGCTTCGCAGCGCCGTTCGTGCTTCCATTGGTGACACCGTTGGGAGCGGTGCCGTTGACAGTTGCATGACCGTTGGTCTCTGGCGCAGGTGCCTTGGGTTTGGCCGGAATCTTGATCTCATCGGGTAACCTGAGTGGATTCGCGTTGTCGGTGAATTCTGTGTGTATGATGCAGAGCACTAGATCAACTTTTGTTTCTTCTTCCGAGTCGTCAGAAATCGTGAGGAAAGTGTCGTTCTTCAGGCTGAGTTCCTCGAATGTCTTGTCGAGATGAATGTCTTCGTCCATGTCATAGAGTATATCTGAATCGCGCTTGACGCTGAACTCTTCTCCGTAGCCGAGCTTTTCCTTCAGGACCATGTTGATCAGATCGCTTAGCTTCGCGCGCGGTGTATCGACGTGCAGGGTGGCATAGCATACACCACAGGTCGCACAGTGGGGGTTCGGTGGTCGGAGTGATTCGCTTGAGATGACGCGCTCAGTGCTGCGGGTGAGGAAGACCATCTTGGCTTTGTCGAGCTGGTCGCGCATAACCTTGAAGGCTTGTAAGACGCAGAGACTGGCAGTCATGGCATTTGTTGTCGCAATGGCGGGTATGATGTTGCCAGCCATTTCTGTAACCTGTTAGCAGCTATTCCAGCCATATGTGGGCGCTTCCTTACGCTTGATGTCAAACTTGGACCGCATCTCGATGCCGAAGATGTGTGAGCGCAGATTTGCACTCGCAACGACAAAGTCGAGCGTATCCACATCGTCCTTGTCGAAGCTGAGGATAGGTGCCGCATTGCCAACGTCGGCATTTGCGCGCGTCTCTTCCAGGCGGGTGCTGAGTCGCTTGATACTGTCCACGAAGACGGCGAAGTTCTCGGCTACATTCCATGTGACTTGGTCTTGCTGCGCGATTCCCGTGCCCACACCCAGCGATTCCTGCATGAGCGCGTCGTAGTCCAACGCCTCTGGCGCCCGTTTGGTCTTCCACATGTCTTCCATGCTCCGTAACCGCTCAATGTCCTCTTTGAACACCTTGTCGAACACGAGCCGTGGGAAATCCTGTGAGCCCATGGAATCGCGAATGCGCTTCAGCGCTTGTGCCTCCTTCTGCAGGTTCGCGACTTCGCTTGCGTTGTCGGCGTCTTCGCTGTGATCTAGTTCGGGCGCTTCGTCTTCCGAGGTGCCAAAGATTTCGGCGAACAGATATGACTTGCCCCATACTATGCAGTGGATAGGTTGCGAGGGTGTACTTCGAATGGTGCATACGGGGAAGGACTTGGGCGCGGCTTTCGGCGTGCAGTCATAGCATTCGGTTTCGCCCTGTAGTACAGTCAGCACAAAAGTTCGACAGCATTGTAGAATTGAGGTCGCGCACCCTCTTGATAACCTGGACCTGTCCATTGAAGCCAGTCGTGCCACTCTCGATCAAGGGGACGTTGGCGGCAAGGCACATCCTGTTGACATGTCGCCGCGCATCGAGGTTGTCCAGCGCATTGAAGACGAGGCTGAAGCTCTGGAACCACGCGACGTTGAACTGGCCATCCTTGATGTTGTCGTGGTACGCAACAATGCTGATGTCGGGATTGAACTTGCCGGCCGACTCTTTCGCAACCTATCGAGACGTCAGCGCAAGGCCTTTCACCTATTTGAGGAGGTAGCCTCTGCCGTACCAGTGCTTTGGACTTCTTGATATGCTCATTGCGGAACAAGAACTGCCGGTTGAGGTTGCTGAGATCGATGGTGTCGAGATCTACAATATGTATCTCGCCGAAGCCGGTGAGAACGAGGTTCTTGAGGAGTTCGCAGCCAATGCCGCCAGCTCCTACCATCAAGACGCGTGACTAGAGCGCATTAGCGACTGCCCTATGCCATGTTTGCGCGTGGTTGCAGCTACCTCTTTGATGCGCTGATGGAGCGTGCCACCGAGGCTCTGTCGAGCAAACTTGTCGCGTGCCATTGCGGGTTCGGGGGTGGGGATAGGCGAAAGCGAGGTTGTGTTGCGGGCGAGGCTACGACATGCGAAAGTTGGCGAGGTGCCCGTCTCAGGTGAAGGCGACAGGTGAGAGACGTCAGTGCAGCTGCGTAGCGCCGCTCCACTGGGCCTGCGCCGCTCGCGTTCAGCCTCCGGAGCTTGGCGCCTAAACGAGCGCCCTATGAGTGGATCGTGGGCCTCTGAACTGCCGGGACACTCTCTGGTCGCTGCTCGCTACGACAAAAAACTTGCCTAAGGACCTGGTGGAGCTTACTAACGACATATACGAGCCGCCGCAGAAGTCCCATTCATCACGACTACCGGAACCGGAGCTAGCGCACACATCCGTCCATCATCATGTCCGACGACGAAGTTGATCATGAGCTGCTAGACCTCATGCGGAAGCACTGGGGTGGTGGTGCCAAAGAGGAAGGTCCGCCAGAAACAAAAGTCCTCGAAAATGCCCAGTTCATCTGCGATAACAGTATGGACGTTGCCTTGGACATGCGTTCCACCAAGGTCGCTGCTCAACTTGTTCTTGACGAGATGGAGAAGCGGGAGTATTCCACCAGAACCTGGTCAGAGCATGAGCTGCATCCCAAAGCAAAAGACGAGAGCACTGTCAACTTCATCTTCACAATGGATCTTCTGAATTTTAGCTTCTGGAGCGAGAAGAGTGACGAGGAGCGCTTCGCAGTAGTCTACAAGGGAAAGAGATGGACTGGCTACTGGAGTCTGGTTGCAATCTTACAACGAGCGTTAGAGCAAGACATACCAATCACTAGTCCGGAATTCTGGGTCGACGAAGAACTGTGTTCAGATGAAGTACTGCGAACCGTATTCTCTTCTGGTACCGACGAGGAGATTCCCATGTTCGAGCAAAGGATGCGATGTTTAAGAGAAGCAGGGCAAATCCTAGAGGAGGTGCGTTCGTGATGAAACGCCAACACAGAAGAGCAAGTTAACTTATGACTGACGTTGCAGGAATTTGATGGTAGTGTCATCACACTTATTGAAGATGCGAACAACTCCGCTGCCGGCCTTGTGAATCTCATTGCCGAAAAGTTCAACTGTTTCAGAGATGAAGGTAGGTTCGAGAATAAGAAGGTGCGCTTCTTGAAGCGAGCCCAAATCTTCGTTGCAGACCTGTGGGCTGCGTTCGATGGCGAGGGATATGGCGAGTTCAACGACATTGACAAAATCACCATGTTCGCAGGTATGACGTAGCCTTGCCTTGACCAAACCTATATTTTGACTGACTGATGCATCTACAGATTACCGCATTCCTCAAATGCTACACTCACTAGGCATAATCTGGTACTGCCCGCCTCTCGAGAACAAGGTACGCCGCCTTGAGACCATCGAGTCTGGCCACTCCTGGGAGATGCAGATACGAGGCTGTAGTATCTGGGCTGTAGAACTTCTCCGCAAGGAGATTCTGAGGCTGAAACCGGACGCCAAGGTCAACGCTATTCTCATCGACTTCTTCCTGTATGATCTTGCGAAGGAGAAGGAGAAAGAGGAGGCGGATGTCATACCACACCATCGGACAAGAAGCATATGGTATTGAGAGCCAAGAGTAGCGGTGCACATGAAACCGAATAACAACACCCTTGGGCGCCCTATTATTTTCTGGTCGGTGCGAATCAGTAGTTGGACACTTCGCAGAGACGTCAAAGGTGGTGGGGTCGTTCCAAACATTCGCCACTTCCAAGTTTGCGCAATTTTCAGGGACAACGCACATCTCAGTCGTCGCATAACGGCACATCACCGACCGCTGGATTCGCTATCATGTCTTGTCCGCGCGACAGGCTGGGGCTGGGGCATGCAACGCTTTCTTGGCACCGTTACGCCTTACCACTCATCGTTAGACGCCTACGGTAAGGCTGGCCATTCAACCCCCGTAACGGCCTTACCGTACCCTGGTCCCCAGTATTCGTAAACAAATTGTGATCATACTGGTGATCGTTATAGCACGGATAAAGCCGCCGGTGCCTGATTTTTAGTAAAGCAAGGGTTTGACAAACGGTCCTATTTGCCCATTTCGGTGATTTGGACGGTGTTTGCACGGTAGCAGCGCAACGATGAGCACGTGTGAACCGCGATCTATGTCAGCAGTATCACTTGAAATATCTAGGCACTTGGCTGTATGTCTAGAGAATCTCCTTTCCGGCCGAATATCACTTTACTCATTACACTCGTTTCGTAAGGTTCCGTTAGCGACATAACTAAGGAGCAGGTGAGAGTGGTGGCTTAGCTCATTCACATTGATGTACAAGTGCTAGCCTGCAAACACTTGCCTTTCTTGACATTCGAACCGGAGTCCGGTTCCGCCAGCAGTAGCTCCTCTGACCACAGCCCCTCCCACTGAACGATGGGTAACCAACAAAGTTCCGCCGTCCAACAGTGTCTGGAGCAAGCTGTCGGAAAGGATCATGTCGCCTTCAAGAACACACCACTCTACCAGATATCACACGTCAAGCCCTACAACCTCGGTGTTCCGGTGACACCAGCGGCGGTTACCTACCCAAAGACGGCCGACGAGGTCTCCGCGATTGTCAAATGCGCAGTCGACAACAGCCTCAAAATTCAGCCACGTTGCGGCGGACATTCTTACGCCAACTATGGTATCGGAGGTCAAGACAACACCATTGTAGTCGACATGAAGAACTTCCAGCAATTCGCCATGGACAATTCTACCTGGCAAGCCACAATCGGCGGCGGTACGCTCCTTCGCGACGTCACTGAGCGACTTCACGACAACGGCAAACGCGCCATCGCCCACGGGACTTGTCCACAAGTTGGAATCGGAGGCCATGCAACGATAGGTGGCCTGGGACCGACTTCACGCATGTGGGGCTCCACACTTGATCACGTAGAAGAGGTGGAAGTGGTTTTGGCCAATTCGACAGTCGTGCGTGCTTCGGAACAGCAAAACTCAGACATCTTCTTCGCAACCAAGGGAGCTGCAGCCGGTTTCGGGATAGTCACAGAGTTCAAGATGCGCACACAGGCCGAGCCTGGCGAAGCAGTACTCTACTCGTACAACTTCCACGGCGGCTCGTCTGCGTCAAAGGCTGACGCATTCAAAAAGTGGCAGAAGCTGATATCCGACCCGAACCTTTCCAGGAAGTTTGCGAGCCAGTACATACTAACCGAACAGCTCGGCGCCATCATCACAGGCACCTTCTTCGGCAGCCAAGCCGAATTCGACAGCCTGAACATCACCTCCCGTCTCCCAACCGGCTCGGCTCTGGAATCGATAGAACTCAAAGACTGGCTGGGTGTGGTAGGCCACTGGAGCGAAGATATTGCTTTAGAGATCGTGGGCGGAATACCATCCAACTTCTACGCAAAATCCCTCTCATACACCGAGAAAGATATCATACCCGACGAGACTATCGACAAGGTGTTCAAGTACATCGACGAAGCAGACAAAGGCGGTGCACTGTGGTTTATCATTTGGGATCTCGAGGGCGGCGCTATCAACGACGTCGCGCCTGATGCTACAGCCTACGGTCATCGTGACGCGCTGTTCTACCATCAAGCTTATGCCGTCAACCTCTTCGGCAAGGTCTGTCATCACCATATCTCAAACAAATTAGCAAGCGTACTAACAACATCCCCCAGGTCAACGACAAGACTCGCAATTTCCTCACCGGCTTCAACAATGTCGTTCTCGATGCGCTGCCCAACCACGACCAAGGAGCGTATGCGGGATATGTAGATCCTGCACTGGGCGAGAACAGCGCGAGTCTGTATTGGGGCGGTAATGTGGAGAGATTGGAGCGAATTAAGGCGGAGGTTGATCCGTTGGATGTGTTTTCTAATCCGCAGAGTGTACGACCGGCGAAGAGATAGGTGGAGAAGAGAATGGTGTTATAGATAAGAAGGCAAGGCTTGGTGATATGTTTCTGCCTGGCCAAAGGCTTAGGCTCGGAACAACTTTTCTTCTCATAAAGACTGTTTCCAGGATGTTGGACATCTAGCTGGGTGCAACGATGTCGCGATTAGTATGGTGATACGTGAGCGATGTCATTAACAATTTCCGATTTGACAGCTTTCTTTGGTCCAATTTCTCTGCACTAATACTTGGTATTGTACAAATACAGGACTGTAGAACTGACATGTAACTATATGTATTACCCAATGTAGCACAACTGTGACCGGTCATCTCATGCGCAACGGAGGATATGGACCAACCATTGAGATATATTATGAGCTACGTCGTTGATCTGCCTTCCCATCGTCGCCTCAAAACGAGGAATTTCTCCTGCAATACAAATACTACATTCGCTAGTTCAATACCTTTAATTTGAGACGCGGATGGTCGCCCTCGCTGCAGAAGTGGTGACTAATCAACAGTCGGCAATGCCTAAGGGACACATCCGCTTCACGACACCGGTTGGCGACAGGCCACCTAGGAAGCCTGTCGCACCCCATCGATGTTACCGCCGCGAAAGAATTGACCGAGAAAAGGAGTTGAAGAGCAGGAATCGCTGTAACGGTGGGTCTGAAGCATCGCGCGCTGTGGCGAACGCTAGGGCATTGAGCGCGTCTGCGGTCATCATTGCTACAGCCGCGCGGTTCTGGATTTTTTGAGAGAAGTAGATTGATGGAGCAGACGTTGAGTCGTGTTGGGTTGGGACCTGAAAATCCTTTCGCTGTCGCGGTTGCTGGTTGCCCAAGTGTGCATGAACGACAGAGGCTGGCTCCTACATGGGTGTATTGCGGATGTTCTGACAACACGATTACGTCGATCAACCAGAAGGGTGTCGCTGCTGCTTCTGAGAAAAGTTATTCGCAAAACTGATTTGATGATCCTGATCTCGTGAACGGTGGCGTCGGTGCGTTGGGACGTAGAAGTTGGCCACTTCTACATCGATGACGCGACTCCCTCAAATATTACAATTCACGTGTTCTGATTTTCAGGGCTTCGTTGAAGATCAATGCTGCTACTGTCATGACAAGAGTTGTTGATAGAAACCCTGTGCTGCCTAAGGAATGTGTGACTTTACGAGGTGGCAAGGCTTGTCTGTGCGGTCGATGCACTAAAGATTTTCGTCCCCAGCGCCGATGGGACCCTTGCATGATTTCCACTACCCCTTCCATTGATATCATCAGAACCAAGTACCGAGCTCACCTATATTGAGCGTGTCTCTCCAAAGCTTAAGAATTTAAGCAATCGGTCATGGGCTGTTCATTCATATGTTGACGTTGCGCCGGTACGCACCATGTGACGTGTGTCCTGTGGTCCAATCAGTATGTCGCGTACCAAACAGAGCACTTTGCTGACATACTCCAGTCGTTCCGTAGTATAGGCTACGTGCTTCTTCCATAATGCCACGAAAGCCTTTCCTGCGATTGAGGCGTTTTCGTCATCATCTAACTCAAAAGCTCTTTGGCCGCTCCGACACATTCACAAACCATTTGAGGGTTTTCTTAGGCTACGATCGTCGACCAGAAAGCATGTGGAACATTCAAAAGTTGCTATCGGGGCGACCCAGCCGGCTACCTGAACATTTTGGTCGAAAAGCTCGTATACCCGACCTTTTTGATCGGAGAGATCAAGTTTACCTGGCGCTTGAGGCCCAGCGGTTGCAATGGCATATGCCCCCACCGTATGCCTATCATGATCTGCTTGACGCTGCGGCGAGAGTGGGCCGTATTGAAGGCATTATGGGATACAAATTCAAAGACAAGATGATTTGCATCGAAGCGCTCAAGACCACTTCGGCGGCTACACCGCTTTATTTCAAAGGGGTGGTTCATCATATAGACAAAAACAACCGCATGGCACTGCTAGGTGATCGAGTTCTCTCTTTAGCTCTATGCGATGTTTGGTTCCAGACAGGAAATACTCCTGGTATGTACTGCCTATAGCTCTCGTGTTTGAGCTAACATAGCGAATAGCGGAATATACTTTGATGCAGCCGGATATAGAAAGCAGAGTTGGTTTGAGCAAGAAAGGATACGCACTCGGTATACACGACAACCTGCTGCTTCACGATTGGCAACCTAGCACATTCAATCATGTTGCTGAGGCGTTTGAAGCTGTTCTTGGTGCTATCTACTTGGATTCTGGAAACAACATAGAAACCGTTAAGGAAGTTGTCACCGGAATCAAGCTCGACAGTCACAAGATGTTGGAAGAGCAGGTTACAGCCCAGGATCGACTGGACAGTAAAAGGCTTGCGGCGCTACAGTACTCTAATTATATGTCGAACCAAGCTGCCAATACTAAGAAAGCCCAACTGAGACACGCCAAAGAGGCAGCACTGGCAACCAAAGAAGCAGCAAAACTGGCGGAGAAACAGATGGCAGAGCAGCCCAGGGAGGAGGTGCAAGAAGACAACATGTCCACCAAAAGTCAAACACACGACGGGCACTCGGGGACAGTTCAGCCCCAAACTAAGAAGAAAAGCAGCGTTGCGCTCACACATGCGGAGGCCTCAAAAAATCTAGCTGATTCCGTGATTGAATATCATACACATGGTCGCCCGAGTAACGAAAGGGGTCTAGATCGACTTAATGCACAAGACTCGCAACGTCAAAGTCTAAGCTTGAAGGGGAAAACGCCATCGCAAAATTCCGGTCAGGCACCAGATGCAAAAATGCAACGACGTGCTGTCGCAGCTGCCAACAAGCTATCGAAAGAAGGCTACCTATTACGTGATGTCGTGGAACACGATGGCAAGACAATGGTCTCTGAGGGCCAAAACTTGCCAGTTTCTCGCATCGAGAATCGGAAAAAGGCAATTACCCGAGGCATCAAACTATCGCCGGTGGAAGAAGCGACTGAGTTCGTCGCATCGATGAAGTTTCCAGCGGAAATAGAATCATCTGAGGGCTTGAAAGACAGTGATAAACACATCATGAGAAGAGCATGGAACATGGCGGTACTAAAATGCAACGACAGCATCAGAAGAGGCGAGAAGAGAGACTTTGAGGGAACGTTTGCACATAGATTGAGTCGATTGGTACAGGACAAGGTAAATGCTGGTTCAATATCAAGCCGAAAGAAAGAAACGGGGAGGCTTCTCCACCTGCAAGCAAGGCTTCGAGGCCGAGGCCAAGGAGAAGAACATGAGGATACACATCGTCAGGCCGATCCAAAGTTTCCGATCAAGCCTAGTCAAGAGACAACACAGGCACCGGTGGTCCTGTCACCAGAGCCGACAGCTGCGACGGCAACGAAAGCGAACCCTTCACGACAAGATACATACCCTATGCTGGAGATAGCAGACACTGTACTAGAAAAAGCAGAGCCTCTACCAGATACTAGCATGAACAACGATAAGCCAGCCCAAGGACTCTCAGACTCATCGGAGAAATCCCATTTTGCAGATGCTGCCATCACAGAGATGGGCGATGACAAGAACATACAAGTTCGCACCAAGGACGTTGAATCAATAGAAACAGAGATTCTTAACTCGCATAACAACATATGGCAAACGGCTGATGCCGTAGATACGTCAACATCACAGCAGCATACCGGACGCACAACTCATGCACGCCATTCTGCTACGGGAGGTCTGGCGGAGAAGCCATCTACCGAATCCGATTTTTTCGAATCGGACACGGACAGGTTCATGTCGAACATTACGCAAAACGATTCAGAAGCGTCCGACGCCCCTCAACCGAAACCTCATGAGGAATCTGACATGCAATCTTCGGACTCCTGCCAGAGGCCAGAGGAATCGTCCACCCCACTTGCAAGGAGGCTATTCTCCAAACGTTCCAACCGAAGCACGCGTCGTCGATCAAAACAATCATGATTGTTTTTGCTCCTGGCCACAGGTACGCCAGCTGCTTATTCACTAATGTGTATATGTCGATGTATTTGTACAATTTTGTCTGAATGTATGATAACTCAGCGAGAGATGCCTTTACAGTTGTATATTTATGTTTAGAAGAGCACGTTTAACGTATTTGTCCCGATTTCGAGATCCGGAATGCAAATCCGCATTTACCCGCTTCTAGAGCCATTGACGTCTGCCTTGAAGTCTTGCAGCCTGGCAAAGGCATCTATCTTGATCAAATTCGCGGGAAACTAGTAATTAATGAGCTACTGAACATGTCGCCAAGCGTCAATACGAATTGTTGTTGGTTAAGTTCGCATCGCGTCTGTGCATTAGGCGGCAACCTCGAATGTACTAACCTCTTCTCTACCCGCGGCACAGCGAAACATCTACTAAAGTGCCATATTCCTCGCTTTAACCCTCAACGCAAGAAATTTGTACAACTCAATTCAACATGGCATCCCACAAGCGTCCACGACTTACACCCACCCAATTAGCCGCCATGATGAACGACTACTACACCTTCTTGACTACTTTCTACATACCGTCTTCAGCATTGAAACACCCGCCTGCAGGAGGATGGCCAAACATTACTGCGGAGGCGACAATAAACCTGGACAAATCGCCTGTTGTCATTGAGGTCATGAAGCATTTGCCGTACATCGATGAGGCAGAATCAGGCGAAATGATCACAAACATACACTACAAGAGCGACGTGGTAGATTACTCTACATACACAGCAGAGGACTTCGAGAGCTATGATGTATCGTATGGGGAAGACGGACTCAAAGTTTGCGTTGAAGAGATGGAGGAGCGAAGAAGAGAAGAAGAAGAAGAAAATCATCAGGAGGATGAGAACAACGACACAAATAAAGATGAAGAGAACAACAACAACGAGGATGAAGAGGGCAGCGAAGAAGAAGAAACCAATAGCGACGATGAGGATGCTCCGAATGACGAAGGTTACAGTTCTGACGAAGAAGAAGACTACGGTGACGATCCGGATGATGTCGACATAAAAAACATCCTTCTCTTATCCATGGGCTACGAGTCAGGCGGTCGGATCCTCCTCCTAGACGTGCACAAGGGCATCATCCACGAAGATATTGTTCGCTGCAACCTAGTTTCTGGCGTATGGATAGAAGACTTCTTCAACGATATGAAGGACAAGCTACGAAGTTTGGAGTGCGTACCCGTGCGAGGCGAGTTCTACGAGGGCGTGCCCGAAGTGGAGGATGATGGGCCGGTGCCCGAGACAGCGGACCCGTCTTTGGAAGATTATGATGAGGAGCATGTGAAGGTATTTAAGAGGATTTATCGGAAGTTTGGGTGGCCTGGAGAGGGATATAGGAAGAATGAGGCGTTGGAGGCGGTGGAGAAGTATCGAGCGAGTATCTGTGATGATTGATGCGGAGATGGCAGCGGAGGGTCGAATTGATAGAACGAATTGAGAACAGATACTACATATGAACCGTTCTAACGTCGCATAACTGTAGCTGTCGCACTAATTATAGTCGCAGCCGCAGTAATGACATATCGCCACGCATTCGTCCTCGCCCATGTCTCGGCAATAGTCTTCATATCCACCTTGTCAGCCCACTTCTTCGCAGCTTCACTTGCCGTATCCCTGTCCGTACCCTGACCAATACCCTTCAGCACAAATTCCTCGTCACGCAGTAGCTCTTGAGCTTTCCACTTTCCCGCGCCATTCACCCCAGGTTCCATGTACAGTGCTGTGTACGGGATGATAATAGCATTCGCAAGTGCTGCAAAAACGTACAGCAGCCTTGCGGGAGAAGCAGAGTTACTGGAAAGGTAGGCGACGAGAGCGTTACTTGAAGCGCCAGATATGATGAGAGGTGCGACGAAAACGGGTGCGAATTGGTAGGCTTGAAGCCATTGCTTTGCTAGGAGTTTTGGTGGGGCATGCGTGATGAGGGGTGGCATGACGACATGACTGTATGCAAACGTGAAGCCTGGCGAATTGTATTGTTAGCGGACGATCTGGACGGGTTTGAGGCTGATATACCTGTGTATATGGCTGGCGCGATGGTTGCGATCGCTTGTAGGATGGGCACGATGGGCATGAGAGAATCGCTCATCGCGGTTGGTTGCAATGTGATGGAGCTTGACATGCAGTGAAAGAAACTCTTCGTTTGAAGGGTTTTAAAAATGTTGTTCGAAGTGATATGTTCAGGATCCGTGTATGTAGGCGCTTGAGGTATAGAGCTGACGTACTAGCGCGGTGTTTTGGATGTATCAGCATGCCTTAGCTGCATATTCTGGAACAACAGTAGAACGAACCAGATCTTCCTCTGATCTGCACGAGCTGCAGCGGGTATTTATAGCATTGACATGATCTGCGTCTGGGCTCTTATACAACGGTGATCCAGCGTTCCTGTGCAGTCCTGTCGTGATGTTATAACCTTACTTGTACAAATATACTACAACTGATCCAACAGTCTCAAGACCTCTTGCCTCAGATCGCCTAAACTGACATCCTTTCTGAACTCTAATCTCCTGCACTGAACCTCTACTTCTCTCCTGTCTTGCCAATTTCTGCCCAGTACGACGACGACCGGGTATCCAATGAGTTCCGCATCCTTCAATTTCCACCCTAAGCTCTTTGCTGCTCGATCATCCAACACAAGATCCACATCTCCATACCGACCTTCACCACAAATCGCGTCATACACCTCTGACGCGTCGCTCTCATCGACCTTTGGAGATGTGAGGATGATAGCTTCATAAGGAGCTATCGCTCTCGGCCAATTTAGGCCTTTGGCATCTGAGAGAAGTGATGCGACGGCTCCGATAATGCGCGACACGCCGATGCCATGGCAGCCCATTTGTATTGGAGAAGAGAGATTCTGATCTGGTAGCGCAACGACCGCGTTGAGGGGTTTGCTGTAGCGGGTACCGAGGTGGAAGGTGTGGCCTACTTCGATGGCTTTTTGCACGTCGAGTTTGCCATTGGAACAGCGAGGACATGGATCGCCGATTTCGACGGGCGTGAGATGTAGTTTGGAAGACAGAGGGTTTGAGAGAGAGCCGTCGTTCTTGTCGAAGGTAAGGGAGGGGTCGAAGAGGTCGACGGTATTTGTGCTCTTTTGGAGCAAAGTAGAGAGCGATGAGGCTTCGATGCCGGTGTCCAGCTCGATTTCCTCTGGAAGTGCTTTCTTGATAGCGTGAAGATTGACGTGCTCATGTCTCTGTTTCAGATCTATCTCACTCTCAGATGGACGTGGTATCCACACATTGATCTTTGTCTTTTTATCGACGCTTATACCTGTGTACGTCAACCAGCTGTCGGTACCTGACGCTACAGATTGGCTGCTCTTTTCCACAAGCTCTTCGTTGGCGACGTAGTCGCATGAGTTGCAAGACCACACATTGTCCTCACCCTTCGGAGATACAAAATGATACTCGTGGCTCAGCTTGCCTCCCATGTTACCAGAATCGGCATCGGCAACTAGGCACGGCAGTCTGAGCTCGTTGAACAGATTGTTGTACGCTCCCCGTACTTCTTCGTAAGTCTTGAGCGCTGCTTCCGTTGAGTGATCAAATGTGTAAAGGTCTTTCATCATGAACTCTTTAGCCCGTAACAGTCCTTGTCTTGGTCTTCGTTCATCGCGATACTTTCGTCCGATCTGATATAACCTCTGTGGCAGATCCTTGTACGAATGTACCATACTAGCTACCAGTGCTGTGATTTCTTCCTCATGAGTTGGCGATAATAGAAAGCCAGATTCTCTCCTATCTTTGATGCGCAGGAGTTCCGAGTTCGCGGAGTAGCGACCAGACTGCCGCCATAACGATTCCGTAGTAATTGAGGAGAGCGAAAGTTTCGAAGCACCAATCGAGCTCATGTGCTTGTCGATTAGCGATTCAAGCTTGTTTTGAACGCGTAAACCTAGGGGTAGAAGATGGAAGACTCCCGAATGTGCCTGCGCATGATGAGACAAGTGCTAGGAGTCAAGACGTTGTAGATATATACCTGGCGTAGAAAGCCACCCCTAACGAGAAGAGAGTGAGACTCATCTGAAGAATTGTTAATCAACATGTGAAAATTGCCCCCATTATCCTTACCTTGCTCGCTGTCTTGGGGTGATATACCACCAGTTGGTGCCCAGAATTTGGACAATCGATTTCTTGAGTCGGTCTAACTCAAACATCAGTCTTGCCACCAAGAACGTGAATCTTGATTGAGACGACTTACAGCTATAAATCTAGCATATCGAAAGCCTTGTATCGGTGTTCGCTGTGTTCGCGATTGCCATGCAGCTCTACGGATATACGCCGCCATGCGCGCACCACAATGACAGTATCTGATCAAAGGTACGCAGAGATCTTGCAGTCGTCTAGTTACCCTTGGACGAAAAAGAAAGAGTGGAAATGTTGTATGTTCCGTAAATGGTGCGCGACAGCGGGAGATCTGCCTCCAACATGGCGAGCACAGACCACCCCGAATCTCAAAGCGCATGGAAATATTTGGAGATCTAACCCATCTCTCAATTGCTCCACGACCACATCTCACGTAAGCATTCCAATTACTTTACTAGGACAGTGTCCCTTAGGAAGGTGCTAATTGATATCCAGAATGCCTCCACGGATACGCATCAGGCCACGCGCCCTCCGCGCCTGCACCTCGAACCCAACCCACCCCATCTTTCTACCCGCAATCGCAGCCTACGCCACAGTAGCAGCGACTACCCCCGCACCCCCAATTCAGCAGACATACAAAGCCGCACCGCCAGTACTACGATACCCACCGACGCAACCACCCTCTCACAAGCCGCCGGAGGTCCGCAAAACACAACTCCACCGCCAATACCAATCGCTGCTTCGGTCCTCCCCTCTGATCCTGATATTCCAGCACAACAATGTGAAAGCAGTAGAATGGATGAGCATAAGGCGGGAGCTAGCCATTGCCCTTCGCAAGCTGGATGCGGAGAGAGCGAAGAACGGGCAAGAGACGCTTGCAGAGGAGGTTAAGATGCAGGTCATCCAGACGAACATCTTCGCAAGCGCACTGCGAGTCGTCGAATTCTTCAACCCGGAAACTTCGACAATGGATCACGCACAACATCCTACGGACCCGCGGACACCGACGAGTGCGCAGATACCGAACACGAGTAATGACGCTGAGGACGAGCGCTTTACACACGGTCTCTCGAGACGCGCATACGAGATTGCAAACAACAGGAAATTGAAGTTGGAGTTGGAGCCTCTGCTCTCGGGTCCCCTTGCCGTTGTAGCCTTCCCCGATGTTGCGCCGCAATACCTCAAGACCGTCCTGTCCATCCTCTCGCCTTCGAAGCCTGGCTTCCCCGCTCCAAGCCGAAAAGCGAACCCAGACTACTACGAACCAGCCGTCCAAGCTGGTCTCCAGAAGCTGATGCTTTTGGGTGCGAGGGTAGAGGGCAAGGTCTTCGATGTGGACGGCACGAAGTGGGTTGGTGGCATTGCTGGAGGTATCGACGGCCTCCGGGCTCAGCTTGTACATATGCTGCAGGGTGTTGGTGGAAGTCTTACTGGTGCTTTGGAGGGCGCGAGCAAGAGTTTGTACTTTACTGTTGAGGGTAGGAGAATGGATATGGAGGAGAAGGAGAAGGGTCCTGTTGAGGAAGATAAATCGTCATAGAGTCAGTTTGAGGTATGTACAATATGATCGGCGAGATTGAATGACCCGATGCACAGCTCTGCTGGTCTATATGAGTGCTGCAATAAGTATTAGATAAACAGTCGTAACCCCTGGGTTAGCGACCCAATCCCTAGGTCGCTGGTCATATCTACAAAGGCTTGGATCTTCCGCTATGGCAACATCATCGTTGAGATCCTCCCATCATAGCTTTTCAAAACTACAAGCACTGCATTTCTGATAGTCGCAAGATATACAGTAATTTTGCCACGATGGTATTGGTCCATCCCCACATTCGCTCTGCACGATCAGCTCGGATTCGGCAAAGCATCTCTGGCCGTCGACTTACGCAATACCACACCACTTCCCCATGTTCTCGAATGTTGTGGCAGCAGTCTTTGGAAGACCATACGGTTTTCTTGACTTTTCGACTTGATTGGTTCCAGTTTTGTGTATCGTGAAGATGATATCTGCACATCCGATCCGCCTGCTGTAGTTTAGGCCAGTCAGCCTGTATCGTGGGTAGCTCATCATCCAGAACTAACCACGCACGACGAAGGGTAGCAGCAGGCATCGTGAAACCCACTCGGCATTATGTCGAAGGTGTCGCTGATGACTGTCGGGTCCAGCGAAGCCTTAGGTTCCTACCTGCTGACTCTAACTCCTAGACACATATCGGGTAAGCGCGCCAATCAATCAGCCCTGGAGCCTGAACAACGCTGGAAGGCACCTACCTATATACATGCACGTAGCCCTACTGTGCTGCCCAATAGACCTATAGGAATCTGCGGTGTTCAGCCTCGTAATTCGCCCCGCGCTCTATTATGGTTGCGAAATGCCTCGCCGGGATGATTACCGTATCTACAACCGCTTTCTGAAGGACACTATCCGGACATCCACACTTCCCCAGCAAAGCGATAACGCATGGAGCATATCGTCCATCATCCGCATAGTCGATGGCAGAAGTTCACTTATCGGCAAGAGAAAAGGCATCGCCCCGAAGACGATCTCAGGCTGTGTAATCCGGGCCAGACAAGCAGCCAGGTAATTGAGAGGTTCTTATCACCCGAACGAGACAAGATTCACCTAGATCAGGTCGTTCCACGCCAACGGCAAATATTGAGAGACTTCTTGCGTGAAGTCATTCCAGCAGCCTCGCGCAGAATTTACCCCTACTTGCAAGACGTAGAGAGATACAGCAGCGACGATAGTATCGCGCTTCTAGATGATCGGCAAAACCATGAAGGATGCGAAAAGATCAGCGGAAAGCCCTGTAACGACTGCGTTATCTTCTCGAGATCAGTTTGCATTCCTGAGCTCTGTGCAAGGTTGCAGGAAAAGGTAAATTGATCCTCGCAACAGTAGTACGTAAACGTTCGCTCATGCTACGATAGAGAAGGACATTTAAGGCTGAAAAGCGGATAATGTACGATCGTCGACTTGACCATGTTCTACCAGCGCCACCACGTGTATTGACTTTCACAGATTCATACCCAACCTCACGTCTGCAGCAGCTGTATGTTTGGCAGCAACAGTCGCTGAGCGATCAGCGGTCACTCTCCGGGACTTCTTACACAGATATCTTAAACGGGAGGTTGTATTCAGCGCGACGACGGTACGTCCATCTACGCCATGCTCTCCATTTACTGACTGCTTAAGACTTGGGGCTTCTTCTTCGAGTTTCATATACCCTACCATGCAATGCGTCGCGGACCACTTACGGTCACCGAAGATCCAAGATTGATAGGTGACAAACGTCTCCGCAAGACAGAACCTCTACCACTTGGACATCATCCTAGCGACCAAGAAGATCTCTATTATCATGAGGCGCTGACGTCTTCTCTCTCATGGGGTGCTGATGAGTGGTTTTGGACGGAGCTATGTCTGGTAGACACATACTTTGGCTCCGAGGAAAAACACAAGTCCTACTTCACTGGGTGTCAGGAAGGAGATGGACTTGACCCCCCGTGTGGTGGTCGCATTCACATGACCGCTCCGCGTTTTGACCCAAGAGAGTATTTTCTTCTCAAGCTGAAGTTTCGGACTGAACAAGTAGTCACGGAGTACAGTACACTTATTGAAACCTTCAACAAGAGAATGGACGAATACGTAAGACGCCCAAATCTATTACAAACGACTATGACTAAGGATGTCTAAAGGCACAAACGATTAGACGCGTATTCGAAGACGACAACAAAAGAACAAATACAAGAACAATAAGCGACGTTATCGAAACGACACAGGTTTTCATCGACAGCCTCGGCGTTATAGTCGACGCCTGGGAAACCTTCCATCGGACTGAGCTGTCGCTCTTCACTAGCTACATACCCGAAAGATCGCTGTGGCCAAATTATATCAACAGCATCATGCGAAACGTCGCAGAACTAGACCGACTGCGCAAGACACTTCTTACAAAGCGAGATCGCTTCAAGTTCAAACTCGATAGCGTAAGTTCAATATCAGATGCCATGCCAGACAACTAATGCCACACAGCTCCACACGGTCTCCAGTCTCAGCCAAACAGAAACAGGGAACCTCCAAGCAAAGACTGCAGTAACCCAAGGCGACGACCTGAAGATGCTTACCAAGATGACCGTTGTAGGCCACCCCATACTAAACCATCGTTCTTACACAGCTACACTAATAGCTAACTATGACCCTCATAGTACGTTGCCTTCCCCCTACTCTTCACGACAGCATTCTTCAGCATGGATTTCGTCACACCAACGTACCCATGGGCTGCATTCTTCGGGGTGCTGGTGCTGATGTCGTTGGTGAACTACATGATCGCTTCACCGCGGAGGTCACAGAGAGTGTGGAAGGAGTGCAAGACATGGTGTAGTGCCGTATTAGGTAACTGGACATATAATCGAATATAACACAATCACCACTCCCAAGACAAAGCAATTTTATACTTTACGATTCGATTCGTTTTATATAGGTATCCACATATGCTGCGTGGTATCCTAAGGGTATCATGAGGGATCTGCCTGCCCAAATATGCACACTTCGAAAGATTTGTAGTGGAAAATAAAAGACTCCCCTTCTTTCTTCGAGACAGAACTCGCGCGCGCGCAGACACACGAACAAAAAAAGACACAAACTCAAAACGTCCTGGCGCCCCAATCTGGTTCCTCGTATATAGGAGAGGTATAGGAATGTCGTGGTCGTCATATCCCAATTCGCTCGATCGCTCGCTTCACTCCTGCCGCGCATTATGCCAATAAAGAATAGTTTGTTGTAGGGAGGGTTGGTGTAGAGAAGCATGTTCAGTCGAGCTCAATGTCGCCGTTGCTTTCGTGACCGAATTTTCCGTTAAACGCCGATTGTGGAGAGAGATCCGTAACCCTGATGCTGCTAAGTTGATATGTGCGAAAGAAAAGACTGACGTCGCTATCGTCGTGCGCCGCCTACTTCGACCGAGTGTGATGTTCGTTCAAATTGGAGCTTTCGTCGCTTGTTCGCCATGTTCCCGCCTGGTGTGTCTTCACCTCCGGTCGAGTCTGCATAGTCGTCTCCAAAACCTTCGCCGTAGCCTTGGAATGCAGCGTCTGTGTAGCCGCGCTTTGAGCTCGACCGCTCTGGCCTTACGGCACCCCTGTTCATGTGGTTGGTCGGTGTTGGCGCAGAGGATGTGAAGGATGTTGCCCGCTGTGGTGGTATGTCTTGTGGTTTGGGTTTTACGGCATCGTCTGTGCCGAGATAGGCCTTGTATTTGGCAGCATCTGCGCTGGGGAGAGGTCCAGGAGCTGTGCCGGCGAAGGCGTCGTCGAGAAGTCTGCTGAGGTTTGAACTCAACGCTGTGCCGTCTGATGTCAATCCCTGCTTCTCGGGCTCTCTGTTCTGTACATGTTGCGACTGCCAAATTTCTTCGGGCATTAGCAGCAGATCCCGGAAAACGCCGTCCATCTTAGTCGCCTTTGGCTTGCCGGCGATTTGCATCTGCTTGATATGACCCTCGTAGGACTTGCGAAGCTTGTTAATCTTCTCGCCTGTTACCGGGTCATTGCGAGCTACAGAGCTGGCGAGCGGGTTGAGCCTGTAGAGTGAGATGAAATTTTGCGAGGGGTGCGGCCGTGATATCTCTATCTTCTCGTTGCTGAGTTTGAACAATTGGCTGCCGCTAATGCCTTGGGCAGCTTTGAGTCGGCCGTCTTCGGTGTATGGCGATTCCGCTTGCCGGTTGTGGTTGGACAGCCTGTGGTGACGCAACCGCGTAATGTCATCGTCTGCGCTCTCTTCCATCGTCGCATCGCCATCGCTGTCGATATTAGCGCTCGACATGAAGCCGGCAGTGCTCGCGGGGGTCGGGAAGGGGTGCTGGGTGGATGCCGATGTTGCCGACTGGGAGAGCGAGTTGGACATGGGCAGGGAGGATTGCGGTGAGCGGTCCGACACGGCGGATTTGGTCGTGGGGAAGCCTCCATTGGATTGCGAATTCATCGAGTAGGGTGGCGAGGTGGGCGTTCGAGGGTGAATGAGCGTCTTTGTCGTCTGGCCGCTCGCCTTGGCAGCGACGTCAAAGGGCGGGCTGGCGGGTGAGAATCTTCCTATCGAGTCCAAACGTTGCCGTTTTGCGCTGTGATCCGACATAGAGGCCGTCTTCGGGGGTGGAGCGAGAGTGGAAAGCTCGTAGGCGTGCGTGGAGCGTGCAGCGGTGGGTGAGAGGAGGGCTCGTACTGAAGCGCTTGGCGTCCTCCGCGCGGGTCGACCGCGGCAGCAAGGTGGGCGCGCTACTCGATGGTGCGCATGCGAAGAGAGCGGACGGCGGCGATGGCGATGATCGGCTTTGGGTGATGGGCGGCGGCGTGGGCGTGGCGGGATGCGCAGGAGGGTGGTGGGCGGCTGGAGGTGCGAAGATGTGAAGGAGATGATGGGGTTGACCGGCGGTTTGGGCTCAGCGCTGTCTCGACTGCTCACGTGACGTGTCGGGGCCCATGGGTCCGCCATCTAAAACCGCCTTTCTTGTTAGGGCGTGTCAACCATCCATCGACGCTGCAACAACAAGACAACAAGGCAACAAAGGCGTCGTCGCACTTCAATGCCTGCACCGCCAGTCTTTGGCCAGTATGGATGACAACAGGCCGCGCGCCGGTGCCTCTGCTGCGGCCGCCTTACCTGGTGCAGCGCCGACTGCGCGCTCCGAGGCATCGAATCCACCCGCGCCGAGCAATGCGCCCAAGATCCAGCAGCCGAAACCCCAAGCTCTGCCATCGCGATCCGGCCCCAGCGCCATCCTGGTCTCGCCGCGACAGAAAGGCAACCCTATTCTCAACAGCGTGCGCTCCGTCGCATGGGAGTACTCTGACATTCCCGCCGACTATGTCGTCGGCGCCACAACATGTGCGCTCTTCCTGTCACTCAAGTACCACCGTCTGCATCCCGAGTATATCTACAACCGCATCCGAGACCTGAAGGGCCAGTACAGTCTTCGCATCCTCCTCACCATGGTCGATATTGAAAACCATGAAGATCCATTGAGGGAGCTATCCAAGACGTCACTAGTCAACAACGTCACAGTCATGCTATGTTGGAGCGCACCGGAAGCCGGTCGCTATCTGGAACTTTTCAAGACATTTGAGAATGCTGCACCCACCAGCATTCGCGCTCAGCAAGCAGGCACTTATTCAGAGAAAATGGTCGAATTCATCACCGTACCACGCAGCATCAACAAGACGGATGCAGTAGGCTTAGTCTCTAATTTTGGTAGCATCCGCACTGCAATCAACGCCGGGCCTGAAGAAATTGGCCTAATAGCAGGCTGGGGTGACAAGAAGGTTCAGCGGTGGTGCAACGCCGTCAGAGAGCCCTTTAGGGTCAAGAAGGCAGCGAGACGAGCGGTCGGTCAAGACAGCAGTGCAGCGACCATGTCACGCGACATCTCCATGGCAGAAGGCGAAAGCCAGATGCCGCCGACAGCGGATGCTGATGACACAGCACACCGCAGGGTAGACGATGCCGGGCCTCTTGCACTGGAGCTGGAGAGATCCGCTCCTTTTGCAACTTCAGGGTCGGACGCAGATAAAAGACCCGATCATCGCATCGCTGAAGATCTCAATCAAGACGATGAAGAAGCAATTCGTGAGGCAGAATTGGGTCCAGTTCCACGAGGCAATGAGACTCAACCCTCTGCTCCGCCAGTGAAGCGGAAGCAGGTAGAAGAGGAAAACATGAGCGAAGGCGTCATGGCTGCACTCAGCAAGTTGAGGAAACAATGAACAATGTCCTGCGAAAGTATCGAAAATGCAATATGTGACTTTACACAAGTGCGAGACTGTTGGCCTGTGGCGGGAATGGGCAACAATCAATTTCAGACGATCACTTGTTAAAGTCCGCTGTGATCAATACAGCGTTGTTTGCAAGGGCTACAACGAACAACTTCCATGTGCAGCATGCTGTCATGCGCTCTCTCCTCATTGGTGACCCCACTCTGGTTCTCGCCCTGCAGCTGCAGCCTAGCCTGCCCACATGCACCTACTTCACTTGGTAGCAAACACATTCAGCCTTACTCCTTCAGCCCAACCACCATTCCTTTAGATACATCGATAGACCTGCTTCTCACTGTGAGCACGTCAAGCTCGGCCATACACAACAGAAATCTTTTAGCAGCCCAATAGTACCAGTCACTATCGCCCCAAGATGGGCCAATTCACGCAATTGCCAGCCGAAATCCAAATCCAGATCTTCGACTACCTCCACGCTGCCGACGTCAAATCTGCGAGAGCTGTGAGTAGAATGTTCCGAAACAACGCTACACCTGCGCTCTTTCGCAGTATCGTGGCTTGTGCAAGATATCAAGCGCTAGGCGCCTTCCAAAACGTAAGTTCAACACGAACCCTGAAGGTACCCGTACTATCTTTCGTGATGAGAAAGTCGGTAGTAAGCCATATGTATATCTCAAGACCGCGGTTTGGTATCAAGTAGGTAGAGCATGGACAAATTGGCTAATGACACGAACAGGTATCACTACACTCGATATACTCGGGCTATGTAAGAGAGATCATCTTCGATGGAACACTATACGATGGGCATCTCGCGAAAGACCATCGCAACTACTCTCGAGCCGAAGAGGCTAGCGGCAAATTTCAATCAGGATCCTTCTACGCAATGCGAACCAGGTGGAGAAGATACCAAGACCTTCACAAGGAACAAGAGAGCATGAAGGAAGATGGTGTCTTGTTACAATCATGCGCACGAGGCCTTGAGAACATGCAGAACATCTCGTCCATCGTTTACTCGCCATATCAACACACCATCCCTATGGAGGTCAAGACACTGCGCGATCTGCTACCAAGAGGAGCTCTTCCCGGCACCTTCACCGACAACCGCACCACTGGCTCGGATCACCCTTTCCGCCAACTTATTGGTGCCGTCTTTTTGTCAGATTACACTGGAATCCGACAGCTCACGATCGAAGCACCTCGCGAAGGCCACCCGCGTACTGAGCTTTCTTTGGATATGTTCAGTTTCCCAGACACCAATGATCTGAGCGCCGGGAAACATCTCTTTCAAAATTTGGTTAAGTTAGACATAAGTCTGTCTATCCTCAACATAGAGAGTCAGACGACGCATCCTATGACTCAGATCGATCCTCCTGAACGACAGCTTGAGAACCTGGCCAAAGTCCTCGAGGCTGCCCGGGAGCTGCGGCACCTCTCCTTTGGCATACTAAACTGGGGGTATCTCAACGCGCTGATGTGGGATGGGGGCGACATTCCAGAGGGACGCTCCATCGTCGACTTCATTGGTCTTGGAGCAACATGGCGGAAGCTCCGCTCATTGAAGCTCGAAGGCTTATACGCCAGGGAGCGCGATCTGTGTGAATTGATCAACCGACACAAGGACACCCTTAGAACCCTCACCTTCGCCAGATGCACTCTTTGCGCAGGCCTATGGGTCGAAGTGGTGAACGAGGTCGTTTTCAATGCGTCCATGATCGCTACATTCGAGTTGGACCATGTCAATGAGCAAAACGCTGGCTGGAATCTGACTAGCGTCGGCAGGACCAACCCGATGTTAGGATACGAAGGTCGTCTAACTGTGACGAAAGATGGAGAACGTGAATTTGTATGCAGCAACCCAATATTCGGTCTTTAGTTCGTCCTACTAATGATGATAATATATAGGTCAACAGCAACCCGGATAAGCCCTCGGTTTACGACGCCCGCAACAACACAACAAACTCAATATGATCAACGGTTTCATCAGCTCGTTACCCATCATTACGCACACCAATGACTTGGTATTGGCGATTACTCAGGCATTCCTCCATCTTTGGTAGCATAAATCAGGTATTAGTTAATAGTCATACGTTGTTTTGCTGGCTACATACACCCGTATCCGCATTTTGTTGCTCACTCAATATGGTGTAGGCTGCAAATCTTAAATCTGGCCCTCGCGATGATACGAGAGCCTAGTACCAGAGAGCCGTTCCTCGGCCGCTCTATACGCAGGACTGCCAACCTGTGCTCTAGACGCCATCACGACAATTTTCCAACTGCCTATCCATTTGGGGTATATTTCTGAGCTTGATCGTGACACTTCGTCATCATCGTTCTCATCGTCCTGTTCTCTCTTGCGCTCATTTAAAACGTCATTTTCCTGCCCCTTTGTCTTCTCCATCGTCTCCAGACATTTATAGAACGAATCCTCCTCCGACTCCTCTATCGCCCTCTCCTTCCCCTTCCAGACTTTCTCCTTCACTGTTTCAGAGTCTGTCTCAGAGTCTGTCTCCGTTCCGTAAATGTCCTGCCACATGACAGCTTCCTCACGTATTTCCATCTCTCCCCAATTTTCCACCTTTGCCTTCCCCTCCTCTTCCCCTTCACATCCCATCCTCCCTCCGCCTCTCCGCAAAGTCAATAACATCACCTCCATTCCAACTGTAGTCTATCCTGCCAATCTCGACCTGACTGTCCGCTACGCGTCGTTCTTGCCATTCTGCCCAGCCGTTACTTCCGGGCGCACAGTAGTCGCGTACGTCGTCGTCGCGGTGGTGTACACGTGCGGCGACTAGTTGCCAGGATGTGTGTTGTTGGCGGTGGGGAAGTTGAGAAATTTGAACTGGTGTACGTACGGTGGTTGTGGTGCTTGGGTTCGCTGCGGGTGGAGGGGCAGGGTTATTGTGCCGAATTTGAGGCTGGCTTGTAGATTGAATTGAGGTAGTTGGGTTTGAAGAGGTTGTATGTGGTGGTAGATTGCTTGAGGAGGAGTCTTGTGGCCCAGCGAGGGGAATTAGTGAAGATGATATCGATGCCAGACTTTGACTGGATGTGTTGGCTCGTTGGAGGGAAGTTCTAGCTGCGTCTGCAGCTTTCCCTGCGCTCGACATGTTGATGTATCTGAAAGTTGAATTGAGATGATGTTGTGATATCACGAAGGGAAGAACGACTCGGCACAAGAAGACATATCGAAGACTGTGCGAAAACTCTTGTGATAGTAGACCATGGTAAGAAGAGAAGAAGAAGCGACACAGTCTTTTGAAGAATTATACGATAGGCAGCCATGGTAGTGTTGGTTTGAAGAATTATTATTCAACCTTGGTACACTATCGCAGTACCATGTGCTATATGACTCCCCAAGCATGAGGATCAACCACGTAACAAACAACAGTCATCAATCATCAATTCAAGCCCTTTCGACCCTCTCAGTAGCACCTTTGGCGTCACTGTCCACAACAACACTGTGGTGCCTTGCCGGGTCTTTCTCCTCAATGGCCGCGCCCTCAACGACGTGGTTCTGACCACCAAAGATGGCGTCCATCTCCTCGAGACTGACCTTCTTAGTCTCGGGAACGAAGAACCAGACAAATGCGGCTAGTAGTATGTTGATGGCGGCGAACATGTAGAAGGCGTAGAAGCCCTCGTTCTTGAGGAAGACGGGGAAGAACTGCTGGACGATGGAGTTTACGACGTTTTGGGTTTGCGAGCACATGCCCACGGCTTGCGCACGGATGTTCATGGAGAAGATCTCGGCTGTGAAGATCCATACTGTTGCGCCCCAAGATGGCTTGTCTGTGGTGGTTATTAGCGTGTGTTTGTGTTGAGGTGGCGTTGGGAGGGCATGACTTACAGAAGAGAGCGAAGAGGAACATGAGGAACACAATCGCGATACCAACTGGTTGCGACTTTGCTCCGCTGGGTAGGGTAGGTGTCTGTGTCTCCACAGTAGCAGCGATAAGCATGCAAATGCCCATACCAATACCACCAACGATGAACAAGAACTTGCGTCCGAAGCGATCGACAGTCCAGGTGGCATTGAGCGTGAAGATGATGCTGAAAGTGGCATTCAAGGCGTTGATCAGGGAAATGGTGTCGGCGCTTGTGAAGACCTTCTTGTAGATGATGGAGCTGTAAGAGTTGAGCGTGCCCTGTCCAGTGATCTGCTGACCGCCGTTGACAATCATCGCAATGTACATGCGCTTCCTGACAGACTTGTCCTTCCACAGAGCAGAGAAGCCGGAAGAGATTGCTTCCGCTTCGAATTCGATAGCCTCGCGAATGGTGGTGATCTCATCCTCGACATCCTGCTCGGTGGCACGGACGCGGCGAAGCGAGCGGCGAGCCTTCTCGTAGTTGCGGTTCTTCTGAACGTACCAACGGGGTGACTCTGGGATGAAGAAGACCTGGGAGAGGATGAGGATGGGCACCATCATCTGGAAAATAACTACCATCTTCCAGTCCCACTCGCCGAGTTTCTGAGGGTTCTTGGAGGTGCCGAAGGAGATCCAATATGCGATGAAGGAGCCAACGGAGTAGAACATCTGCCAGAAAGACATGATCTTTCCACGGATCTCGGGAGGCGAAAGTTCTCCAATGTAGATAGAGCCAGCTGTCAATGCGAGACCTTGTCCAATACCGATGAGGACACGACCAGCGATGAAGACACCGATTTGTCCGCGTGGAGCAAATGTTTGCATGATAGTCGCGATAATGACGCATACCGATCCAGCAGCCATACCAACTCGTCGGCCAGCAAAATCAGCGAGTGGTCCAGCCTGCGCAAAGCAAAGTTAGCATACGTTTTGCGGACTGATAATATGGAAGATAAGACGCACCATGAAGAAACCAGCTACGACAGCACCGACTGTGTATGATGTGTTGATAGCGCCGATAATGTTGGGTCCGGGGTTGTTGAAGTAGGCAATCCAATGCTTCGAGTTTTGCAATGCGTTGAAGACGGACGCATCGTAACCGTAGAGCACCATGCATGATGCTGCAACGAGCGAGATGTACCAGTTGTACACCCTAGTTTTGTCGACCATCTTGACGGTAGTCACTTAGGATTTCTCCCAAAACGAAAGTAGAAATAGTGATCGACTTCGTAGCGATTGACAAAGGCTTCCAGCTCGAACTCCGCAACGGATACAGCGAGAGATTCGTAGAGCTCTGGAGTGGAGAGCAAGTAGCGGAGACTGCGATGGGCATATATACATGCCACATGAGAAGCCACCCTGTGGATTACTATCTTGCCCCATGTCAACCCCATGGGCTCGGGGAAGCGCCAGTTCCAGCACCCAGGATCCGATGCCTACGCCGCTACCAGACGCCTCTATCCAGAATATCACCACGAATCAACATGCCCAGACCGCCTCGAAAGCTTGCTCTAGTGCCAAATGTATCCACGCCTAGGACTTCGTTCTCCGTAGTCCCTGAATCTGGGGAATCTGGGGCTTGGGACGTGAGTGTCAACGGAGAGATTCTGTCCATCTGATGGACGGAGAGGCGTCGTGGAGTTTTTCCACGAATGGGCGTAATCGAGCTAAGTGTTGAGGCGCCGTTGTTTTGAGGAGAAGCGAGACCGACTCATGCCGAGATGGTGTTTAGGGCGCCATCTAGCCCGTGAGTAGCTAGGTCTGCCGGCGACAATGTCGATAATGGGTAGAATTTCCTCGTGGACGCAAGCATGCCAAGTCCAGAGACAAGGAAGACGCAGAGGAGCAAAGCTTTTGGCTGCCGTCTGGGTTCTCTTGTTTACTGATTAATTGATGCTTAATACTGCGGGAGTCGTTCGTGAGGACCACATGTGTGGCGCCGGTGCCACAGTCGAGGCGTAGAGAGAGCGAATGGTCGTTTTGGACAACATCATGTTGTGAGCGGAGAGCAGATGTCACATGAATCATGCTAGAGAGTATCGCTTGATAGCCAGCTGTGGAGTTCGGGTGGGTCGGCACATTGGTTGCGGGCGGTGACCATCATATCGCATCCTCCAGAGATGGGCACGCGGGGAGCCAACGATCGAACGAGCTTAAGCCAACACGCCCCTAAGATGTTCTCGGTGAACACCACGCGACGCGCATATGTCTCTCGGTAATGAATTGTTACAGGTGCATATGACATGCCGCGGTATCCCGGCTCGATACATGAGCCTCATTAGCGCTGAGATGAGCTCCAGCTTCTCCAGCTCTGGGAGCAGCACGTGATGTATCACGTGTCGCTCATGCGCCACAGCTCCGTGGCAGTGCGCATCCCACTTTTTCGGGCGTCGAGACCCTTTCCCACCGCCTGCGACTACCGAACGTTTTCTACGGCCGCTTCCGACCAAATCTCTCCACCCTTCCACCTACACACCGAAGACCGGACCAACCAGAAAACCGATTTCTACAAGATGCCTTCAGGACAAGGAGGTGAGCGCCATACCTTTTTGCGCAAACTGAAGCGGGGTCAAGGCTGACAGAATACCACAGCCGGTACAAACCCCATCCACAACAAGCAGAAGAAGAAGAAGGCCGTCGAGCTCGACGAGGACGACCTCGCCTACAAGCAAAAGCTCGCTGCCGGTGCGTAATGCCCTACATCCCACTCTCCAACGCCTATACTGCGACCAGCCCCGAAGCGCCACCACAAGGCTCAGAAGGACAGGGATAGACGTGCTGACAATGTACAGAGAAGAAGCAGCGTGAGGACCTAGCCAAGACGGTCGGCAAGGGCAAGGGACCGCTCAACACTGGCTCTCAAGGCATCAAGAAGTCCGGCAAGAAATAAGCGCCCGACATACCCAGGAGCAAGCGATCGAGCGACGAGAAACGGCAGTGCGGCACGACGACGATTTGACATGAAAGATACCACAGGCTGAGAGTCATGACTTGGCAGGGCGTTCATATACACATACCATGAATGCACAGGAATGAGCTATCAATGACCTTTGCGTATGCCAGGTGACTGTTCTCTACGTTCGCGCTACCTGCAATTTAGGTTGTCCCATCTTCCACACACAGACTATCTCCTCCCTGTCTTCGTACTCGCTCCTTTCAGATTAAATACTGTCTCTGCGTTCCCCCAGGCAACTCTATCCCATTCTACCTGTGTCAAGAACCCACTATCCCTGAGTTCCTCCATCAACTCTTTCCCTCGTTCTTCAAGCGGGTAGTTACTTGCATACAACACCCTATCTACGGGTATCCGTTCGAGCAGCGCTCTCAGACTCGACATGTCTTGTGCGTCCGCCGTTGTGAGGTAGATGTTGTGTTGCCAGACGTCTAGGAAACCTCGCTTCGGTTTATCAGCGGAGGGGATAGTAGTGAGGAGCGTCTCGATGCGTGGAATAAGGGAGGGTAGCGCGCCGGGGTGCGCGAGTATGAGACGGAGAGCAGGGTGGCGGTCGAAGACGCAGCTGAGGTAGAGGTGTAACAGCGGGAGAGGAGACGTAGTTTTCGACGAGTGAATGTGTGTCAGGAGCGGCGCGTACACCGAAGAAGGGAAACCGTGTTGGTAATCTGGTATCTGCGCATGTCAGTCTACATCGTTTCTCTTCCTATTGATGTCTGAAGGACAGAAAAGCAGCATACCTCCGATCCCACCGGCCACGTCTCCCTCAGCAAAACGGGCACTCGATACCTCTCCGCCACATCCCAAAGTTCCTCCCACTCCACCTCTTCCAACTTGATATTCCGACTCATCCCAATGCAACCGCCCATAAACTTCATCTTACCTACACACCTCGCCAATTCTTTAGCCGCCTCCTTGCCCTCGGTAGGCAACATACTCAACGCAGCGACCTTCTCCCCGTTCATAATGACCGCCGAATGCATGGTGTCGTTGATCTTGCTGCAGATCGGCGGTGCGGCTGCAATGGGAATGTGACTGATGATTTGTTTCGAGTGGCCGAGCGCACGCATGTCTTTTACGCGGCCGGGGCCCAGGTTGCGTAGTCTGGTGAGGGTAGCCGGGGGGATTAGATGGAGGGATGGTTGACTGGGTGATGTAGGTGGGGAAGTGAAGACTAGGGTTGGCGCGAGGTGGGATTCCAAGGACGCGATTAGGGAGGCGGGTGTTGTTGTGGTCATTGTGGCTTGAGGTCTGCTTGGTGGTGGGTGGTTAGACGGAGTTAGATAATGATAGGTGGTCGAGGCGGATACAGGACGTCGGGGCTTGGAGGGTTGGCATAGATAAAGGTATCAGAGGCATCATTCTTCTAGACTTCTGAAAAAGGGAGTCACGCATTTAGTGCTCAGTAGTTGCGATCCAAGCTGGCGAGGTAAGAATGACACTTGCCAGTAAGTGCAAGTACAACTGTAGACATCGGTACTGCCAACATAGCTGTGAGAGTGGGACTATTTTTGAATGGTTGACCAACATAATTAAGTTGTCTGCATTCATCATGTGTCTCTAGATTGACAGACTATTGCATCGAGCACATGGTTGTTGAAGAAGTGTATGATTATAAGGTACATGTGTGCTGCGATTGAGCGACTTGTATGAGAATATATATCTTCTGACAAAGATAACGTCGACGACATTTCCGTTCCACCACCAGGTATTCCAAGCATTGATCCCATCGTAACTCTCCATCATTTAAGCGCACATTGTGGCGGTGTAAGGATGACGACGATGGGGTGCGTGTCTTATGGGGCGCGTGCTTCTCGTGGCACTAGCGACCACACTATGGATGTTGTGATGATGACGTTTCAATATTCATCCGGATGTTGGCTAGGCGAAGGTTAACTGACGGCTGGGCGCTCGTCAGGCAATGACAATTCTCTTCCAACGCTTGGTCGAGAAAGTCTTGGTGATGTCGTAATGGTCTGATAACTGTTGTTCGTACAGGCATGTGGATATTGGTTCAAGAGATGAACGCGCGTCGTTCTTGATTCATCATGATGTGCGGCGGCCCTTCTTGCTGCCCAGAGTGAATGCGCGCTTGAGCTTGCTTTCGGTGGCAGTGGGCGATGTAGGGCTTGGTGTAGAGCTGCTGCCTGACCGACGAGGGTCTGAGCTAGCGGATGACTGAGAAGAGGACCTCTTGCGGCTCTCTTCTGCGAGGATGTCGTCCAGTGAGACGTTGAGGTGGGGATGGCTGATCGGGACCTCTTCGAGGTTTTCGACAAAGCGTGAGGCCATCGTGTCGATAGTGGTAGTGAAGTGATGTAGTGGGTGGACGATCGGTGTGTGAGCAGAAGTGGGGAAGTCTAGATCTTTATACCACCAGTATCGATATGTAGGTTCGAGTGGCTGTTATGATCTGCGGATGATGTGTCCCGGGAGGCTTCTGATGTATGGTCCAGACTTCGATGTGGCAACGTCCGGATATAGTATACCAAGACAGCAGGCTGTCGCGGGGACCGGATATAGGGTAGTAGCGAAAGTGGAAAGGGTGAATGCTAGAAGCGATAGTAGACGATATATGCCGGAAATATGAACAAAGCCTAGGTATGCAAGGGCGGCGAAAGGTTTTTAAACTCGTCCCAGGGCGTGTGTGGACGAGCATGTGGACAGAGGTCCGTGTGTCCACGGCACAAGAGGCCAGGGACTTGCTACATGCGATCCAGGGTCTGTCCCGCCGATCGCGAAGCCTCGATGCATATAACGGTGGCGCTAAGGTCAGGATATGACGTACCAAAACGTTCTGGACAGCGTTCCGCTGGCAGCCACACAGTCTTCGTGCGGCCAAAACGGGCGCGTAACCGCGTGCGACAAGTGTCGAGGTCGCACAGTCCCATGGGTGAGTGTACTGGAAATAGCACCGCTCGCAGGACTGACATATCCGCAAGGGCTCTCCCAAGCCGCTTGAAAGCGTCAACCAGATTACGAACGTCTTCGCACGACTGCTGGCAGGATTGCGCATCCGACCCGCCGCCTCCAGCCTCTGCCCAGTCATGCGCAGCGCGACAGCGGCGACCTTGTGAGCCTTGGGTATTCTTGCTCAGCACGCGCAACCCTTTCGCCACAGCTTGCGAATATCGGCTCGCCGCGTCAAATAAACTCGCGCCTAAGATCAGCACGATCACTAGGCAGTCGCGAGGCAAGACCGAGCCTGAGCACTTTATCCGCAGCAGTTATATTGAAACTGTGTCCGCACGACGGCAGCTCGCATGCGGTGTTCTCGTCGGGTCCGCTGCGTCCATCGCGAGTATGGCCGGCCTCTGACGTAGGACGAGAGCCATCCAATATTACAGCCACCACTTTGGCTATAGTTTCCAAACCACGGCCTTGTCTATGGCGCCGCCCGGCTCCGCTTGCCAGCGAACGATTGCGACAACTGTACAAGCTTCAAATGAGAGGGTCTCGCCTAGGTTTGCGGTGTATGCGAAATGCCATACTCGGCAGCTAGTCGACATCATCGTGCAGGGTCCTCATTCAAACTGTCCGACGCCCGGACCCTTGTGGGGCTGTAACAACGGTAGACCCCAAACTTCTGCGCCATCCGTCATGTCAAGTGGTGCGCGGAGCCGACTTTTCGAGGTTAAGTTGCAGATACAAGCGGACACACGACGCTAGCCGCGTGTGCAATTTGCTAGTCTTGGGCACCAATTGCACTTGTCATGTATACAATGTCGTGGCCATCGAGCCATCGTGAGGCTACACTGGTGTCGTGGAGCATATTGCAAGTCAACGAAAAATGCGCACTCTGCTAGACTGTTTGAAGTTTTGGTAGTGTGGCTCTGGATAAGCTGGATGGATGACGACTTCCTCCGCACCATCTAAACTTTCGTATCGGCTCAGGCATATGGTTAAGTCGTCACCATCTTCCCCGACCACGACCACCCCTTCCGCCCCTCCCACGTCCTCTATGCCCTTGGCCACGCCCACCCCCTCTATGTCCACCTCCGCCTCTTCCCCCGCCTCGATTGGACCGCTGTTGCTCCGGTCTCGGACCGCTTTGCGCTAGTTGTGCCCGCTCTTCATCTGACGCATGAAACACATTCGGGATCTGCAGTAAGTTGCAAAATGACTGAGTGTGCGGGTTACTGTACTCCTGCGGGGTAGCCTGGACATGGATGCCCAGTGCGGGGTCGTATGTCGGCGCAGTTACTGTAAAATCCTCAGGTATCATCATCTTGTCAGCTGTGACAAGGTTCTCTTCGATCCAAGCAATCTCCTTTTCCACAAGAGGTCGGTAGACTGCATCGCCTTTGTCTACAGGGACTTGCGCATAGGGGTCCCCTACAGTAAGGTGATCGGCGAAGACACGAGTAATGGCAAGCCACTCTTTATCGTACTGCAACTGCAAAGGCCGTTGCAATTCTGTAGATGTATGTGGTTGTATTTCCAGCAATTGCAGGAAACTCCGTTTGGGCAAGCACTTGTCAAGTGCGAGGAAGTTGGTCGTCTTGTTCGTTATGTCTTCAGGAAAGGGGAGGGTCTGTACTATTTCAGCCTTCGGACGTGAGAATGATTCCGGTAAGAGGCTGCGAATGTCTTCAGGAACTTGAGGTTCGCTCTCCGTATTGGCAGATTGGGTAGGCTCCTTAGGCTCTGCGACGGGTACAGGGAGTACCTCGTCGTCGTCCAAATCCATGTCAAGATCAATTTCGGCATCATTCTTAGGTGCTGGTATCGACTCGCCATTTGCAACATCCAGATCAATCTCGCCGTCGTTTACGACTTGCAGGATAACATCATCAGCACCTGTTTTCGGTGGCGTAGCATTCGGAATTTCTGCGTGGTCCCAGACAGCGGGGAACTTAGCATGCATATGGGCGCTGAACCAATGAGGTGGTCGCAGGCGCTCAAGGACTACCTTTGCAGCAACACTACCAAGCGTACCGTCCTTAGCCTCTTGCTCAAAGTCTGGCTTCCAGCTAAAGAGCTGCCGGTAATTGCCTTTCCACTCCATACCGCGCGGCCAGTCATGACTCAGTCCAATGTCAACTTGGGTTCGTATTTGAAGCAGTTTCCGCACGTCGAGTTCTCGAACATGATAGATGCTCCGAACGTCGTCACTGTTGTAGGGCAAACGCTCATAGTGTGGCTTCTTGTAGTTGTAGCCCTTCCAGATACCAGACAGACCAGCAATGCGCAATGGTCCCAGCCGTATCACATTGGCTGCGCCCATGTAGTATATCTTCGGTGCGGCCCACCCGCCGTAGTAGAGCTCCCACATGTAGTTGCTCGCTTCGTGATTGCCGCCGATGAATATGGTGAGATACGGGGCTGTGCGCAAGCCTGAGTAATATTCGTGAAAGTCGTGCATGGCGTAGTACTTGGAGGGCATCGATACTGCCTTGAGATCGGACGCGTTTCGAACAGCCTACAAAGTTAGTCACTGCATGAGCACCATGAATGGTTTGACGTACTTGGAAGTCACCGCCAATAATCAAGAGATCCACATCTGGCCATCCTTTCAGCTCGCAAGCTTTTGCAACCGACGCATAGATCTCGTGTAGCACTCCATGGCCGCAACCTTCGACTGCTATGCGCACGCCTTGCTGTTCTACCAATTCTGGGGCGGCCATACTTGGAGTTTGGTGAACTGGTAGTTAGTGAGAGCAGGAAATGTTAGCAGCGCGCCCACAGAACTGCTACTAGGGCTTCGTTGCGCAGTACACTAGCGCAGAAATCGCGATATACGCGCAGAGTAAACACTGCAATGAATGCTGCCGTAGAAGAAAGTAAGAGCACGGCCCTGCAGCACTAGCGTCGGAAGTCGGAGTTATCGATAAGCTAGCGAGCACGTGTAGATACTGGACCTGCAGGAAGCTTCCCAAGATCTGCGCAGAGATCATTCAGGTCCTCTAACACATGGCTTCAGCAACTCAAACAGAGCTGAGGGCGAAGTTCCTTCGAGAAGCCGCTCATCTCCTCGCAATTCCCTCGCCAACAACAGCAGCGTTTCTAGGTAATGCATGCAACAAGCTAATCGAAGATGCTGAAGTCGATATTTCAAGCAAGGAGACGGATACATTCCGACGAAGTATTTGCGTCGCATGCGGGAATGTCATGATTCCAGGATGGTCGTGCAAAGTTTCGAGCGGAGACAAGCGCAAAAGCATTGGCAAGAAGCTGTCGGTGCCCGAGAAAAGTGTTCGGTATACCTGCTTGCGATGCCAACGAGAGACACGTCAAACGCTTCAGCGAAGGCCTCGCAGACAGGTCAAGAGATCACAGTCTCTGTTGGATACAGTCACAACGTCCGCAGCCCCGACTACGACCAAGAAAGAAGACGATGTAACTCCAAAGACCATTAATGCAAGCAGCAAGCAAAGACAGAGGGCCCGCAAAGGCGGCCTGCAAGCTATGCTTGACAAGAAGAAGACACAAGACTCGGGCACAGGCGGACTCGATTTTATGGACTTTGCGCTGTAAGTCCCGTAGGGCTGAGTGAATGCAGCCCACCTGCATAGAAGGGCCTAGCGACCCGTGGACACCCCGCTATGCAAGCGCGGGGCTCAAAAATTTCGAGAAGTTATGTCATCAGAACTTGCGAAAGTCAATCCAATCGCAGGCACAATTACTTTGTCGAACACTACCCTACACCAATATTAATCGATTGCAAACATGGCACAACAACAGAGCCTTGCGAAGGATCTCTTCGAGGACATGGGCCGCAAGGTCGCCGAGGCGAGCGCCCAGGAAGACAACGACGATACAAAGGTTGTCGACGAGATCGAAAGCATGTGCATGAACTGTCACGAAGATGTAGGTGCATTCGAAAATTGATGATAGATTCAGCTGCTGACATTTTCAAGGGTACTACGCGTCTCCTCCTCACGAGAATACCCTTCTTCCGCGAGATCGTTCTCATGTCGTTCTCATGCCCGCATTGCCACTTCAAGAACTCCGAGGTTCAACCCGCTGGCGAGATCCAGCAACGAGGCATTAAGTTCTCTCTCAAAGTCGAAACGGCCGACGATCTGAGCCGTCAGGTTATCAAGAGCGACACCGCAGTGTTCCGAATCGAGGACATCGATCTAGAGATACCACAAGGGCGAGGACAACTGACAAATGTGGAGGGCATACTCGCAATGGTAGCGCAAGACCTGGAGCAGAAGCAGGAGGAGAGGAAGGCGGTGGTGCCAGAGGTGTACGAGCAGTTGCAGGGAGTCATCACTACGATCAAGCAGATGGCCACCGGAGAGAAGCTGCCGTTCAAGATCACAATCGACGACCCTGCCGGCAACTCGTCAATCGAACCTCCCAGTGTGCTTGGCGCAGGAAAATACTCTCGCAACGAATACCCACGAACTGCGGCGCAAAACGAAGCGCTCGGTCTGGGCGACACCAGCGGCGAAGCGCCTGCCACAGAGATCCGACCAGAGTACCACGCTTCACAAATGTACCCAGAGATGCCATCCTCTCATGCCCCTATGGTCAACAATGTGGACGAGGACGATATCGTTGAGAACCAAGTGTACTCGTTCCCTGCGAGCTGCCCAGGATGTACCAAGTCGTGTACCACAAACATGAAGATGGTCAACATCCCCCACTTCAAGCAGGTGGTACTGATGAGCACAGTATGCGATCACTGTGGATGTAAGTTTATATCATGGAACAATCAACGTTTACCTGCTAATGCAATGCAGACCGAAGTAACGAAGTCAAAACCGGAGGCGAAGTTCCCGAGCTGGGTCGTCGTATTACGGTCACCGTTGATAGCAAGGAAGATCTATCGCGAGATATCCTCAAGGCCGAATCATGCGCCATGTCCTGCCTCGAGCTCAACCTCAGCGTCGAACCCGGTACTCTTGGTGGCAGGTTCACCACGATCGAAGGTCTACTGACCCAAGTACGCGATGACTTGAAATCTTCCATCTTCGACGCTGGCGGTGGAGGAGACTCCATGGACTCAGAGTCTAAGCAGAAGTGGAACACCTTCTTCCACAACCTCTCTGCAGCCATCAACGGCGAAGACAAGTTCACTCTTGTTCTCGAAGACCCTCTCGCCAGCAGCTACGTTCAGAGCTTCACGGCACCGGAGCCCGATCCAAAGATTAAGGTCGAGGACTATAAGAGGACAGAGGCGGAGGAGGAGGAACTTGGGTTGCTCGACATGAAGACGGAGGGCTATGAGGAGGAGCATGCGGCTAGCATGGCAGCGAACGGGACAACGACCAATGGCGCGTAGGGCTAACTTCGACGTCTCTTAGATTTCCTTGACTCTTGCATTAGGTCGGCGCTCGTAGATACCAAGGCCTCGCCAGCCATGATCAGTGTGACATGATCTTCTTCCTACTCTTTGCTGCGTCCATGCTTCGTGATGCCTATAGCGACTTGATATCTTTCAGCCCAACACCGATAGTGTGAATGGTCCACTCTTTCAGATCTTGATCCGCGCTTTCTTTTTCTGCAGATGACGCGACATCCTTCAGGCTCCAATCAAACACTACGCTTCCAGCTTGACATATGTCGCATTACTACCGCTGTGCCCAGTAACATATTGTTCATCCTGCAAGTGGGTTTGCATGGATGGTAACACTGTTGATCTCCATCTTCTCCTGCGGTCTTGACTTCTTGTCTACCTGAACGGCCTCCATATCATCCAGTACCTCCCATCCCTCGAGCACCTTTCCAAAGACGGTGTTCTTCCCATCCAAGTGCGGCGCAGGCGCAAACGTGATGAAGAACTGCGAGCCGTTGGAATTTGCTCCCTTGTTCGCCATGCTCAAGATGCCTCTCGCATTGTGTCGTAACGCGGGCCGAAGCTCATCCTCGAAAAGCTGGTTTGGCGTATCGTAGATGGAAGTGGAAGTCTTGGACTTTGGGTCGGAGGCTGGCGAGCCCGTCTGGACCATGAAAGAGGGAATCAGGCGGTGGAAAGGTGAAGAGTTGTAGAAGCCCGACGCGCAGAGTGCGAGGAAGTTCTCCGCGGTCTTGGGGACGGCTTCGCAGAATATTTCGAGTTTTATATCTCCCTTTGTGGTATGCAGCTAGTCACTGTTAGTAGCAGGCTTGAAGTAGGCAGGAGGTTGGACTCACTGTGACGGACATGGTGGTGGGTGCAGATCAGTGGTGTTTGTGGTTTGGAAGGAGCGATGATGGCGCACGAATCGGACCCTCGAAGTCGAGAGCCCATCCACCTCCACCTCGTCGCGCCTAGAACATCGCGCGTCTATCCGACTGCGCTTACTGTGTGCAATCGCCCTGCATCCGCTGTCATCATCATTGCTACCGCCAGCTGCCCACGCTGCCTTCTCCGCTCGCGACACTGGCAGACGTCGGACCTCATCATAAGCGCCGCCGCATAAGCTCCACTCGGCGACAGCCCTACGACGCTCGGGACGCAATCCACCACAGTATCCCCGCGTATTCACTGCAGACACGCCCATTCCTACATCGCAAACCTTAGTCGTCGGCCCGCCGCGCATCCACCGGCCTCACTGCCACGCTGAGCCCCGCGGGTTCGAGATACGAGGCGCCTACATCATCTCAACCCCACAATTGGCTGCCCGGAAGGCTACCTAGCTCCCAGCACGGCATAGCTGCCCGGCGCATCAGTACCCTAGAGCCTCCAACGCGCGACTTGGACGAGGGCACCGCATTCTGAAAGGCCACATTCACGCCCATGCAGCGCCCGCTGCCCTCCCAGGCCTGCGCTGCGAGAAACGAACATGTCGGCCTTCGTTCGCGTCTCAGGACCGCCAAACAGTAACTTTCTGGTTGGCTATCCGGGCATATCAGCAACACTAGTACGTGTCTCCAATCTGTTTCCGTTATGAGTGGACGTCTTGCGCTCCACCCAGCCGCGTGGAGTCGCTGAATGACCGACTCCCCTTCGACAAGGGTACTGGCCATTGCTGACATGTAATAGCCTCGAATAGAAGGCAAAGTCGAGATACGGCCACTCATTGGAGTATCGGCGCCTGTCAATGTCTCCCTCGTCACTATCGCATTACACCGTCGCGAAACCATACACCCGTCCGCCGATTCGGTTACGAAGAAGCATCTGGCAGCCCCGCGCAAAGAGATTACCGACATCGTCGGTAAGGAAATGCTCCTGTACCGATGTTCGCCGGGAAGAGAACATGAGAGTATACTATGTATGGACCTACCGTTCGTCATCTTCATACCGTATGGACGGGGAGGCGAGGAGGTAGCGAGGAGAGTCCCGCCCGCGAGTCTACAATTACCGAGTCGGACGGCTGAGACGTTTTACGAACTCGTCGTGACAGTACAGCAAGGGCCCCAGGAACAGAAAAAGTATCCCTTTGCCGTGCCGATACAACGATACGACACCCTCTCTACCTTTGGCATGTACAATCGACCCGAAAGCGCAGAACGAGTGACGGACCACCTCGTCACCCTTGGGATAAGCCTGCCGAGATGGAGTTATGGCCCGATGGATCCAGTCTCGGTATACATCAAATTGAGTCCTAATCCCGATTGGCTGAGCAAGGCGAAGAAGGTCACAATCAACAAGATCACAGTCGGCATTGACGAAGAGATCATCTTCAACCACGAAGGAGATGAACCGACTCGCAAAGTCAAAACGTTGGCAAAAACGCAGCAACACGTCGGCGTGAGGATGCCCGAAGCGGGCTATTTCACCAACCTCGGGCTAGTCTTCCCCGCAAAAGATCTACGGGACAACGCAGGTGTCATTCCGAGAGGGCAGAAGGAGTTTCCCATGTACGCTGTCACTGGTTTTACGACGACTGGTACTCTATACAAGATTGAGTATTACCTCACAGTCAAGGTAGGCTAGACTGGGTGAATTGCAACTTGCAAATTATGCTGACTGAATGCAGGCGCAAATGTCGTCAGCCCGAGACATTCTGCTCCGTCAGCCTATTGTGGTATGTCCTTTTGACCATGCAGGCTGTAAAGAGGAAATGGAGGCCATTGAGCAGGCAGCCAAGGACGCCGCACACGTCACACCTGACAACCCGATGTTGCCCGCCAGTACTATTGTTCGATCCAACGACCCAGAAGGCTTGCGCGCACTTGGTATCGCAATTGTGGGAGGCGTACGGAAACCGCTGATCGAGTGAAGAGCTGGGCGCGCAAAAGTATTGAGGATTTTGAGGGACGCGATTTTGCCATGCGTACGATACTTGTGTTCGATACTCCGCACGTTTTGTCTCTGCGATTCGAGGGTCGAGACGGACTCGAGCACCAAACGTTGTTGCATGAAGCCACCGGCAACCAGCCGACCCGACCAGGACAGACGATTTGCACCACTTTGCACGCAAAGCACTGGATCGCGCATAGGCGATAGCATATAATACAGGCGCAATACCGATCATGCAACCAGCGGAGCCCGGAGCCATGTCGAAGCTACCATCTACAGCACGCATTGGGTCTATTTGAACACAAAAGGCGCAAGGTCATTATACCCAGTGAGCTTGTGCATTGTTTATAGGGAGCATTGTTTTGGCTTTTCATTGGCGTTACAAGGAAGGGCACGACGGGACGGCCGCCTGTTTGTTCATGATACCTTCGAGTCGTTCGTTCCTATTTTAATAACAAGGTTGGATGGAGAAAGGAAGAACGCCTCGGCGGGTACCGGGAAGTCTTGTGTTAGGCAATGGATGGGTGCATTGGTTGGAGAGGGTAGAAGAGGTAGGAGAGGTGATCTAAAGAGCGAAAGAAAAGCCACAGTAGGTGGATCTCAATAGCTACGGCAGAGTAGTTGAAGAACAACCACTACTCATGACACTTCACCCAATCGTCCCTGTCCAACCCGCATTCATGCCCATACACGAACCCGGTCTCCTAGCCATACCTTCATTCTCCCCCATCAGGCCACTGATCCACCAAACCCTCCGCTCCAACCGCCCCTCCCGTCCTCCCAACCAATGCCCCCAAGTTCATCCTAACACTATATCTCAAATACTTCGTCTCATACCTCTTCGCGAACCCGCCTCCCACCCCGCCAATATCACTCTCCCCACCACTCGGATGATGATGTGCGAAGACCGGTGGTTGAGTCGTCAAACAAACCCTCTCATCCCCATTCACACCTATGCCACCACCACCCTTAGCATCGTCCGAAGAATGCTGAGCCTGTCGACCCATATCAGGATCATTCCCAGCGCACCACCGCCCCAGCTCACTATCGAAAATCCCATTCCACCCCGCCACTCCGAATTGATGCAACAAGCGACGGGCGCCGCGTTGCGAGACGGCGTATCCGACTGTACAGAGGGTGCCGCCGGTCGCGCGGTGGTAGATGCGTGTGTGTGGTGGGAAAGCGGTGGCTAGGGCGTCGGGATCGCCTTGGAAGGGGTGGGCTTTCAGGTGGTGAGGAGATGGGACTGTGGAGTCGTTGGGGTACGTTAGGGTTATCGTGCGGTGAACAGCGTGGTCGTAGTTTGGGGATTGCTGATTGGGGGCTGGACGCGGCATACCGGTTCCACAGTGGCCTAGCCAGAGTATGTCCCATTTTGATGGGCCACCATAGGGTGATGGTGATGATGTGTGGGTAAGGTGGGATTGGCGCGAGAGGGAGGATAGAGGGAGGGAGATGAGCTTCTTGGCGAGGTTGGATGTGTCGATAATTTTGAAGGCCGTGTATGTTGTTTCGGTATTTCGGTGGGAGGTGAGTTTCGAGAGAGGAATGGATGTGTAGTTTGAGGATAGGAAGCGGGAGGCGAGGGCGAAGCGTTGTAGGTTTTGACGGATGCGGATGTCCCAGTCTACGTCGTCTTCGAGGATGAGGGCTGTGGTTAGGTTTTGGTCGACTATCCTGGATGTTGTTAGTTCAGTGGCGTCATTCGGTCAAAGGGGGAGGGCGTGCACTTTTGCAAGGCGTTCATGTGCGTTCTCCAACTTCCTCGGATACCTGCTGGAAGCTTCCTGTTCTCTTCCGGTAGAGGATAGGCCTTGTTTTTGATACTCTCCCCAGTTACACCTTCCACGAACTCGAGTTTGGTGTTGGAGATTGCAGCTGAAAGACTCATTGCGTCGCGGCGATCGGTTCGGAAGGGGAGGTTGAGGACGAGAATCTTCTCGAACTTGGATTGTGTTAGTTTGGAGCACAGTATGAGAGCTTTCATGATGTACCCCTAGAGTCGTGTTCAGTATATCTCTCAAACCCTCGTCCTGTACATAGGCGAATGAATCCTCTGGAATCAAAACTTCAGACGTCCTCACATTGAACCACAGCCACAAAATACCAAAGAAGGCACACGTCGTCAGCAATCTAGGCGCCGAGATCCACCCACCCCTTCTCCTCGCAACCTCAAACTTCGTGCCGTTCTTGGAAGACATCAGTCCCAAGGTATCAACGGAAATGCGTCGCATACGGGCGGAACGTAGCAGTAGCAACACTGCGAAGATGTAAGGAAGCAAAACATGATGAGCAAGTCAGACTCCTATGGTACGACATGTTGAGGAGTAAAGCAAAATACTATATTCATGTTGGTCATTTCCAGGTTTGTTGCCTTTCCTCCGACCATTCGATGCGCGGTTTGCCAGGCTAAATCGATTTGCCGAACAGCATGCGCCCCGCATGCTGTATGCTCCTATAGTCCGTGAGCGACTATATTGCGGCAACTAATGTACCCAAGCGTGTGGATGTGTTCTTGTTGCACTCGACATCGGCATGTGTAAGCACGTGAGAAGCAAAGGTGCGCAGAAGATGTGGATACCTAGGTAGTGTGGCGGCAACTCGCCGCGGAGGTTTGTCATCGGAATCTTTTGGAAATGCGAGCCTATCGATAGGCCGGCGCGTTGCGTGACTGCTTTCTCCGCGACATCGGGGCGGGAGTTTTGGACTTTCCTAATTGCGTTGCGCTCTTCATTCTTCCTTCGTTAACTCTTCGGAATTCTACCTGCATAGTTCGGTGTTTGCTGTCTTTGTGGTCTTTCCTTACTCACATCGCAATACCGCTTGCCACCCCTCCCCCACTAGAACACGGCGCAACATGAGCGCCATTCTTTCAGCCGACGACCTTAACGACTTCATATCGCCGGGCGTCGCGTGCATAAAGCCTATAGAGACGCTCCCAGTACAACAGGCAGACAACTCGGTATGCTACATTGTCGCGTTGCGGCATGCGCGGGCGCATTCTGACAGATGCTAGAATCCATACGAAGTTACGACCGAGGAGAAAGCCGCCGCCTCAGAACCGCCACCACCCGCGTCGATATCGCTTACTGATTGCCTCGCATGCTCAGGATGTGTGACAAGTGCGGAAGCCGTATTGGTATCGCTGCAATCGCATACCGAGGTCCTCACAACGCTTGATACTCACCCGTCGTTACGCGCACCATGGCTGGCACACAATGGTACAAATGGAGCAACGAATGGACATGCGAGTATTGGGTTGGAAAAAGATGTGAACGAGCAAAATGCTGAAGGAAAGCTGTTCGTCGCAAGCGTCTCACCACAATCACGCGCAAGTCTGGCTGCCGTCTTCAACATTTCCGAGGTAGAGGCTGGGAACATGATCGCACAGCTTCTTAGTGGACCTTCAGGTCTGAGGTCTGGTGGTCATCAAGGAAGCGACTTCACGTGGATTATCGACACCAACGCAATGCGCGAAGCTTGTCTCGTTGCCGCAGCAGACGAGGTTACAAATGCCCTCTCGCCCGAAGTATCTAAGATTACACCAAAGCCTGGATCTGAGGGCGCAATTGATACGACGCCAAAAGCTCCTATACTTACATCTGCCTGCCCTGGATGGATATGTTATGCCGAAAAGACGCATCCATACGTCCTCCCGCATCTCTCGCGGCTGAAGTCGCCGCAAGCCCTCACCGGCACCTTAATCAAGTCGGTCCTCAGCGAACGTTATAACGTGCCACCATCTCAGATATGGCACCTCGCTATTATGCCATGCTTTGATAAGAAGCTTGAAGCTAGCCGTGGAGAGCTAACATCAGCTGCGTGGCTACCTAGCTATGACCAGTCACAGGAAAAGATTCGCGACACCGACTGCGTAATCACAGCTCGAGAACTACTACACCTTGCAGCAGCCCGTGGCATCAACTTTGCTTCCCTTCCTCGGACACCGCTTCCATCTGCCGACCGAACGCCCTTCCCAGACCCAAAGCTAGATGCTTTCCTATTCCCTCCTTCGCGCCGGAAGAACCAAAGCGCAGCTGCTGGCCCATCTGGTGGATATCTATACCACATAGTACAAACGTACCAAGCTCAAAACCCAGGATCTTCCATATCAACCGTTCGGGGGCGTAATGCTGATGTAGTAGAATACTCAGTAGTTCGCGGTTCAGAAACAATCATCAAGGCAGCACGATTCTACGGTTTCAGGAACATCCAGAACTTGGTCCGGCGACTGAAGCCAGCAAAAGCTAGTAGGTTACCTGGCGGCAAGACGGGAGTTAGCAGAAGACCAGGTGGTGCAGTTGCTGCTGCAGGCGAGGGCGTCAAGGACTATGCGTACGTGGAGGTCATGGCCTGTCCTGGCGGATGCACAAACGGCGGCGGACAGGTCAAGGTCCAGGAAGTAGACGAAGTACGGGTCTACGAAGGCATTCAAGAGGCGAATGTAGATGCGCCCACGCCCAAGCCCGGCCCAAAGGAGCAAAAAGAGTGGCTGGCAAGGGTGGATGAAGCCTACTTCTCGGGTACAGACTCGGAAGACGAGAAGACAGACGGGGACGACGATCAACACACGACAGATGGGGAGATGAATGGAGACTCTCCCGACCAAGATGTCGTTGATGGAATATCGAGGTCACGCATGAAGCAGCTCATGGCACACTGGGCTGATATCACGGGCGTCGATCAGCAGAAGCTGATATACACATCGTACATCAAGGTCGAAAGCGATGTTGGCAAGAAGAAGCCGAGTGATATGGAACGCGTTGCTGGGTTGGCTGTTACCGCTGGTGGTGGATGGTAAAGCGTCGCGTACAAGTAGACAGCATTAGATATCGGAAGGAGCATTGCATGGCGTTGTTTTACATATGGGGATTACTGCGACGGCTATGCAGTATCGCCTCCATAGAGGGTTGGAAAGACAATCCAAGAATCAATACATTTCATCGTTCATTGAATCAACCAGATGTGGCATCGCTTGAAACATTGCGTGATTAATCACCCGGAAGTCTTCTAGGTCAAGTGACACTATGACGTACATGTTCGTCGAGATCGAAGTCCACCCATACTTTCTTTTTCTATCCCAATATCCCCCCTTTAATGCGTACCAAACCCTGCCACTCCCAAAAGCAAAAAGAGTTTCACTTGAACATGCTGAATCGTACTAGTGATCGTAATCGCAACCGCAATCTCAATCGCGACAACCGACGTCATACGATCTCCTTTTCCGTAGTGGTTATGGCTGGTGGCTGCATATGTACACAGACCTGCATATGCGGCGGGCCGTCCCCTCCGCGCCTTACCGTGCTCGTGCTACTTTTCATTTCCGCTCTGTAAGACACCTCGCTTTAGGTAGGGTAGACGGAGTGGTGGAAATGCGCTGTTGTGCTTTGGGTGTAGTACCAAAGGAGGTGATATGTGTAGGCGAAGATCACGACGGCCATGGACTTGTTCGACGCTGCGGCTGGCCATCAGCGTATGCCTGCATCCCTCGCCATGGTGGGCAAGGACACCGCTGTACACTCCAGTACCATGTATCCAGCGATCTTTCTGGGAAGACGCTGTCAAGACCAAGTAAGGAACGACTGCCATGTACATGCACGTTGAACATCACGAGTAGGACCGATGGAGATCTTTCGGAGCTGAGTTGGAAGATTTGATGAGGGAAGATGCTTGTGAACAGTTGAAGACGTGGCTAGTGCGCTTGCTCGTGAACGCAAGAAGGGTTCATGGCAGGGGCGGGAGTGATGCGTTGGCTAGTCGAAGTGGTCGAGTAGGCGAGTTACGCAGTGGCGTTGCGTGTCCAGTGGAGAGTGAGCACGCAATCGAACAGGCTGGTAGATTGGGTTCACAGGATCAGGCATGGAGATGAAGAGCGGAGATGTAGTATGGTTTTTTGCAGTCTGGTGCCGCGGCGGAGGCAGGCAAGCGAGCAGCTTTCATTGATGGTAGGGAGATAACTAACTAATGGTACATAGGAGATGCGCGTTCGGCACTGCCAGAATCGCTTTGTTGGTAGTAATGGAAAAACAAGCCAGGTGGTATCGAACTCCTTCCCATGAGCCATACGCGTTGGGTGGACGCGAGGCAAGAAACATACAATGACTAGCCATCCTGGGCTATATGTACTATTACATATTACAACGGGTTGTGTGTGGGGATTTGCAAGAAAAGTCAAGATAGTAGTTGAGAGTACGCAAGGAGAACGCAGGTAGAAAACGGGACGCAAGGAGAAGAGTTGAAACAGGGCCAGTTGATCGCTCAAAAACTATTCTACCCACCTCCCATGTTGTTACCAAGTTTATCCCAAGAAAACATGGTTTGCCTCCCTTCCTTCACCAGCCTTCCCTTTTAACCAACAAGGATATATAGTAGAGGAGATAAAAGCTGACGGTATGATGTAGTCGCCAAATGCTCAAATTGGGGGGTATCCGCCGATGAAATGAAGCACATAAAGGAAAAAGCTCGGTCTAGTATAGTACGGGATAGCGCCAACAAGGCGCGCCAAAGAGAATCTGAAACAGAAGCAAGGTGTACATGGGTTTTCCCAAACACGGACTATCCCTGCAGCAACACCCAAGTAACTTGATGACAAGATATCGACAATTTCCCACGAGATGAACAGACGATGATCTCGCGTCGATCCGCCGCAAGTATGATGTATGATGCCGCCCGAGATGATGATTCAGTAAAAGGAAATATGTGGTGGTGGTGGTACAGAGCGAATGTGGAGCTGATATTGGAAAACGACAACGTTAACGTTGTGAGATGATAAACGATGGTGGATGCGCAAAAGGACGATGATGTGTTATGACGCCAGTAACACCGTCCCAGAAAGTGCGCTTTGCTTTTGAGGGCTTTGCAGCGCGTCGCGTCTGTGTCTATCTTTCTGTAATCGTGCACCGTTCCAGACGGGAGAGCTCAATGTCGTACGGTCGTATAGGGAGCGACAAAGAGCGGGTGCGGTGACCCAAATTACAATTATATGGATGCAAGAGCATGCAACGAAGGCAAGGCGAAAAGAAGTATGGGTCCCGCGATGTTGGATATCATCGGTGTCGGGTCTGTGCTGCCATGAGGCTGGCAGCCACACTTGAAGCCCAGTCGGAGCCATCATCGGGTGGTGTGGGCCACTTGGAAACAGGCTGCTCGTTCTTGCTCTGATGTTGAGAGATGTCCATAGGCTTGCTTGGTGTCATGTAGTCAGACTGTCCGAAACCCACGCTGTTGCGGTTCGCTGATGACGATGGTGTCAGGTAGGATGCGGCAGGACCACGCGGTCCTTGTGGTTTCGGGTTGTCAAGCTTCTTTGCAGCCTTTGTGGCGGATGCAAGAACCTCGCTAAGCAACTCCTCTTCCTCGTTAGGCGTCTCGTACCGATTCGATGGGTTGGACTTGTTCTGCATCGCGCGTCGTGTCCTGCTGGAGATTGGTGCATTCGGGCCGTTCTCAGCATTCCGTGGCTCGGGGCCATGAGGCACTGAGTGGTGGCGCTTGAGCATAGGGTTAGTTGCTACACGCGAGCTCTTCGTTGAGGCAGTCTGTTGGGAG